ATACCTGATGGTAATAGCGCATCATTTTTTTTATTATTCTGTTTTAAGCCTTACCCAAACCATAGCCCTAACCTTATCCTTCATCAGGTCATGCCAGAGACCATCACACACACACACACACACTAAACACACACACACACACACAGAACAGTTAGTCCTAACTAGTTATATCCATGATAGGGTTCAGAGGTCAGAGCTCTTTTTCTGTGGTGGGCTGTGCACATGTTACTACTGTCTGCTCTTCTTCTATGGTGAGCTGGGACCACGTTTCTACTGTCAGGCTCTTCTTCTATAGTGGGCTGGGGCCATGTTGCTACTGTCTGCTCTTCTTCTATGGTGGGCTGGGGCCATGTTGCTGCTGTCTACTTATCTTCTATGGTGGGCTGGGACTATGTTGCTGCTGTCTGCTCTTCTTCTATGGTGGGCTGGGGCCATGTTGCTACTGTCTGCTCTTCTTCTATGGTGGGCTGGGGCCATGTTGCTACTGTCTGGCTCATCTGGTAGACTGGGTGGACTAAAGGTATTCAGGCACACTTGGAGGGAAATAAGAGTAAGGCTGCCTCCCAAATGGCACCCTATTCCCCACATAGTGCACTTATTTTGACCATAGCCTATTCTCCATGTAGTGCACTACTTTTGACCATAGCCTATTCTCCATGTAGTGCACTACTTTTGACAACCAGGGTCCATAGGGTTATGTAGGGAATAAGGTTCCATTTGGGAGAAAACCTCAAATATAACGTATTTATTTTACTATTTGTAACATAGTCATACGCAAGTATTGTTTTTTGTTGATTCTCTGTAATACTACTAGCCACCTAGCAATTTTATGAAGTTGGCTTTAGCTAGCCCAGATAGGTTCCCAATCTCCCAACCTCATAACTATCTACCAAGAAGCCATTTCAGGCTATCAATCAAGTTAGAGTAGCTAGCTTGTCTAACTATCTCAGCTGGCATGCCTGCTGGCAAGGTTGGTAGACTTTAGAAAAGGATGCAATAACTAAATGTACTGAATAAGACTCACATTCCTTTCAATCTTTTACCCAGATTTTAGCAGAGAAGCATATTTAGTTTATTTTTAAAAATAACCACCAGTCAGGAGGATACAGACAGCTCAAGAGGTATGCTTAGATACGCAGAAAAATACACATTTTTTGTAATAGAATTGAGCATAATGATTATGGCTCTATATTGCAGGAAAAAGCTGTTTAAGGTGTTTGACAACCCCGTACAGACCACCCAACAGCCATCCTCACGTACTTTGTGCCCCCTTAGATTTTTGGTCGGTGCCAGTGGCATACCGGAAGAGGGTCTTTATGTGGGCTGTGGTGTGTGTGTGTGTGTGTGTGTGTGTGTGTTTGGAAGGAGTCGGGGAGTTTAGATACTCAGAGACAGGAAGAGAAGGACATTCAAATTGAAAGAATCCAGTCAATTACTTTGCTCTCATTTTTGACTTTACACAAGTTCAAGTTTCTTTATTAGCATTTCTAAACTACATCTCAAACATCAGGGTCTTGTTTAATAGGGCACTCAGCGGAAAACTGAAAATAAAAATAAGGTAGTCTCGCCCTGTTTCAGTTTGTTTGGTCCCTAATGAGCATGACCACTGTGAGATGAATCATTGTACTGCCACATACTGAGACTGATTACTTTTATAGGTTAAAAGTCAGGGGTCGAGGGGTTAAAAGGTTGTGAAGCGTGTGTGCGTGTGTGTGTGTGTGTGTGTGCAAGGTTGGGGAGTTACATGTCATCTGATTACAAAAAACTGTAACTGTAATAAGTTACGTTACCAGCAAAGATATTGTCTCACCTAGCTATCTTCATTTACTGCAGTGGGCTAAATCAGGGTCACACAGTGTTTCTTTGTAGTCTTAAACAAATCTACTTTGAAACAAAAGTATACACCTCACACACAAGGTTATGGGCTTAAAACACCTTTACCATGTCAGATATAGAGTTGAAATGTATTCAATTTTGAGTTTGCATCCCAATATTACACTTTATATACATCACAAAAGACTGAAATATAACAAAACCGTTTGGCATCGAAACACCGGATTTTTGTTAGTTAAAAAAAAACAATGTTTATTAATTATGAAATGACAAATATGACAAATATGAATAACATTTCACCCATGAGGCCACTAGAGGGCGATTTGGTCATTTGACTGCAGGAAAGGGCTACAGGGATACTTCGGGATTTTGTCAATGAAGCCCTTTATCTACTTCACCACAGTCAGATGAACTCATGGAAACCATTTTTATGTATCTACATCCAGTATGAAGGAAGTTAGAGTTAGCATGCTAGCAGTTGCCATAGACTTCCAGTCATTGCGTTAACGCTAGTTAGCAATTGCTCTAACGCTAGTTAGTAACTTATTTCGAACTGCACGCAGAGACATAAAAATGGTATCCACGAGTTCATCTGACTGGGGAAGTAGATAAAAGGCTTCATTGCCAAAATCCTGAAGTATCCCTTTAAGATGAATGCACTAACTAAGTCACTCTGGGTAAGAGCATCTGCTAAATGACTAAAATGTACATGTCAAATGTAAATTAAGTTACTGATTACAATTTTGGACAGGTAACTAGTAACTGTAACAGATTACATTTAGAAAGTCACCTACCCAACCCTGTGTGTGTGTGTGTGTGTGTGTGTGTGTGTGTGTGTGTGTGTGTGTGTGTGTGTCTAATGGAGGAGGTTGGGGGTAATGACCAGATTCACAAAGACAAATTCCAGATGCCGAGGAATTTCTCATTATCAGAGCACTGTGCCCCAGGCGTCCTTGTGTGTTTTCGTCTGTGCATCTCTCTTCTGGTTGTGTGTAACAGTCTTGCTTCCGTCCCTCTCCTTGCCCCAACCTGGGTTCGAACTAGAGACCCTCTGAACACATCAATAACTTGCCTCCCACGAAGCATCATTACCTATCGCTTCACAAAAGCCGCAGCCCTTGCAGAGCAAGGGAAACAATTACTTAATGGTCTCAGAGCGAGTGACGTCACCCATTGAAACGCTACTAGTGTGCACCGCTAATTAGATAGCCATTTCACACCGGTTACACTCACCCCCCTTTGACCTCCTCCTTCTCCGCAGCAACCCCAGCAGCTGGGCAGAGCCCAACTGAATGATCCGGGTCAACGGCATCAATGTAACAGTATTGCTTCCATCCCACTCCTTGCCCCAACCTGGGCTCAAACCAGGGACCCTCTGAATACATTGACAACAGTCACCCATGAAGCATCGTTACCTATCGCTCCGAAGAGCAAGGGAAACAACTTCTTCAAGGTCTCAGAGCGAGTGACGTCACCGATTGATACGCTACTAGCACACACAGCTAACTAGCTAGCCATTTCACACTGGTTACTTGTAGGGCCGAATTTGGAGGGCCGAATCACTTGGAGGGCCGAATTTGGCCCGCGGGTGATTTTATTTAGCCTTCTATGGTTTCGGAGCAAAAATATATATATTTTACTAAAAACACCAGCAAATCAGCTCCAAGTGATTTTAATTTTGGATATCTGTTCCAAAGTATTCCCACGTATAATAGAGAGATACCGTATATATGTGATCGTATACAAATGTAAGCAAGGTTTGAAATTATTATCTTGCGGTCTATTTGTGGTTTTCAAATTATTTGTAATTATGTTCCGGCCCCCTGACCATCCGCTCAAGAAAAAATCAGCCTGCGGCTGAATCTAGTTGATGATCTCTGCTCTGGTGTGTGTTAAAAAACTCTGACACAGCAGATAGAGGTGAAAGGTCATGAGAACTCTCAGTCTCATGTCTCTCCATGGTTGCACCCCAAATGGCACCCTATTCCCTATATAGTGCATTACTTTTGATGGGCCCTGGTCAAAAGTAGTGCACTATATATGGAATAGGGTGCCATTTGGGACGCAACCAAGTCTCTTCCTTTCCAGAGTCAGTCTCTTCCTTTCCAGAGTCATATAAAAAACACAGCCAGAAAGATACATCTGTAGGACATAGAGCCTCCACACATGTTACTTTAAAGGGGCCTGAGTAGGGTTGCAAAATTCCTGTAATTTCCCCCAAATTCTCAGGTTTTCCTGAAATTCTGGTTGAAGGATTCCAAATGTCCTGCTTATTCCCTCCTGAATCCAACCGACTTTTGCAACCCTAGACATCACAGTGGTTTGATGTAGGATGAAGTTTCCCCTAAGAACTGGTCTGTGGTCAGTTTTAGCTATTGCCTTCCTGATGGTTTAAGTTAGGGTTGGGGTAGGGTAAACTGATCCTGTGGTTAGGGACTGTTCAGGGGAACCAGGCTGGTATAGATTAGTACAGACCAGGATGTCAAGGACTGTGGTTGAGTGCGTTTTTAGCAATTACATTTAATTAAGCATGGCCCGTCCATGTTTTAAATGTTTAATTGAGAAAATACATAGGTTACATCTCAAATGGCACCCTACAGCCCCTGGTCAAAGGTAGTGCACTAGACTATAAAGGGAATAGACAATAGATATCTGCATCTGTGATGCCGACATCATTTTTCTTTGCCTCTGGGTACAGTACATTTTCAGATGACATTCTTTAAATACAAATGTATCAAAAGCAAGGAGAGTTGTCTACTGCATGATAGCTCAGTACGAATAGCGATCTCAGAGTAGCCTACGATTGGTCCGTTATACCTGTCAGTCATAGTCTGTTTTTCAGTCTCCTCAGTCACCCTTGGTTGAATCGGCAGACAGGCTTGTGACATCACATACCACGAAGCCCACTCCTTTGTTGGAAGCGTTTGGCCTTGCTGTCTCTGTGCCATTCCTTCCACAAGTGGAATATAGATTTCCTTATCTCAATGTTCTATTCCAATAGGAGGAAATAGAATATAGAACCGTTTATCACTTCTCACTGTTCCATTGAAACTGTTACATTCATTCTCATACAATGACATCACAAGAGAGTCAACTGGGCTAAATCCATAATTCCAATTCTGGAACCAAAACTAGAACCATCAGAACCATCTCCTTTTCCATTATTATCACAGCGTGGTAGTGGAAGACTTCCCCTTGGATGAGAGCACCTGTCGGAACCGCCTTTTTAGCTCTTGCATGTTGGGGGACTTAGGCCGGGCTAGGTGCAGCCCCCCTCTCCTCTTCTCCCCGTTCCCCCCGCCCAGCGCCCGGCTCACCTCGCCACAGAGGTGGAGAAAGGCGGCGTGGACCCCCTCGTGGTTCTCCCGGGCAGAGACTTCGTAATACGCACCACCCAGAGAGGCTGCCAAAGACTCACCATCGTCGGCTGGCACCTGGCGGGCACGGAGGAGGTCGCTCTTGTTGCCCACCTGGAAGGAGATGACAGATGGATTAGACCAATGTTAAGGCGATGTCCAGAAATACTTCTTGATAAAATAAAGGTCATCTAACCATCAGTATGACGAGGACATATACCGTGAAAGTTAAATATAACATATAATTTAATGTATCTCTATGGTCAAGGATGTAATAGATGGGTAATAGATACAGTTTAGTTAAATAATTATAATAACATCCAGCTCCCGTTACAAATAGATGTAATATAACAGTCAAACCCACCAGTATGACAGGTATATTCCCTGCAGGGTGGATGCGTCTGACGTGCTGGTAGAGAGGCTGGATGGTTCTATAGCTGCTGTGGTCGGTGATGGAGAAGACCAGGACGTATCCATCCGCCCAGTAGATAGACCTGTTGATCTGCTCCTGACAATATAGTCCCTCTGCATTGTCCTGGATGGAGGGGGGGGGGGGGGGGGGGGAGAGAAAGAGAGGGAAGAGAGAGGGAAACTCAATGGTATGTAGCTAGTGATGTGTTCATCTGAACTCCTACAGTAGTCTGCACGGTTATTATTATGAGATTATGGAGCAGGCAGACAGACAGACAGCCAGCCAGCCAGCCAGCCAGCCAGACAGCACACACTCTTTATCTCAAGCATATAGTTTGTTTACAAGACCAGGCCTTTGAACGGGTGGTTGAAGTGAGTTTGATAAATGAATGGGAGCCACCCCTAGGCCTGGCACTGAATTATCAAAAAACACTACAGAGGGAGAAAAATAATTGGGATATGCCCTGATACTGGATGTAGACCTGTTCTACTGTAACATCATACCTTCTTACTGGTAATGATGAACAGTAAATAAGGAGATGTTTCCACTTGGTATATCCAGACCGGGGTCAAATACATAAGCTACTGTATGTCAAATACTTTTTGCGATGAAACCAATACAACGGAATAGTCCCACAAGTGCAAACGGAGATACTGTCTGTGTTGGCACAACTCAAATACTTTCAAGTTTTTATTTACGGTCACTTTTATTTTATTTAACCAGAAAGTCCCATGGAGGTCAGAAAACCTATTTCCCAAGGGAGACTTGGCAAGTACTTTAAAGTACTTGACATTTGAAAGTATTTCACCTGTATTTGACACAGGTCTGGTTACATATACCCTTAGACTGTAGTGAGGACTAGGAGTTACCTGTAGCGAGACACAGGGGCCGTGTTCCAAATAGCACCACACTCCCTAATGCCTGAGACTCCAGTCACCCAAGCAACGGATTGTTCACTCTGTTACCATTTGGAAAGCGGTATCGGAGCATCGGGTCTCGGATCAACAGGCTCCGAGACAGCTACTACCACCAGGCCACCAGACTGCTGAACAGCTGACCCTAGCTGTCTCCCTGCACAGACCTGCACTGTAGTGACTATTTGCACCTAAGAGACTATCTGCACTTTAGAGATTATTTGTACTGACTACCCACACATCCGACCCTTACACACACACACACACACACACACACACAAACACCCATAAACACACACCCAAGCACCCACACGTACTCAGAACTCACACACAGACACACACACAGTCAACGCTGCTGTTCTATTATATACTATTTATTCCAATGTGGGAACAAGTCACTACCCACTTTATATTTGTAAATACGGTGTAATACAGTCCATTATTACTATGCTACCTCTCTTATTTGATATTTTTGACTTGACTCTTTTTATTGCTATTAATGTTATTGACTGATGTACTGCATTGTTGAGGGAGCTAGCACATAAGCATTTCACTGCACCTTTTATACCTGCTGTAAACTGTGTATGTGATGTGACTAATACAATGTAATTTGATTTTAAATGTAGTGTACTATATAGGGAATAGGGTGCTATGTGGGACACAGCCCTTGTGTAGAGAGAGAGAGACCTACCTGTAGAGAGACGCAGGGTGTGTCCTGAACCTGTAGTGAGACCTGTTCTCCATCTAGATTGATCTTTCTGGAGTACAAGGCCCCTGCGGACAGAGATAAGCAAAACATTACTGACTAAACACGATGGATTGATATGCAACAAATGAATGACGATGCAAAATGTATTAATTGCCTGTATTATTAGGGTGTGTGTTTACAGTATAAGTTAATAAAGAGAGTCGCCCACTCTATATCATTTATTGGGTAAACCACTAACGTTTCGGCATCCCAGTGCCTTCTTCACAGTGTAGTGCCCTATATAGTGCACTACACTGTGATACCGAAACGTTGGTGGTTTATCCAATAAATTACTGGGAGCTTATAGAGTGTGCGACTCTATTTATTTTTATAGCCTACATTTAAGTTGCCGTTAGTCAGCATCTCTACTAACTTTTTTGGGTGTGTGCCAGCTGATGCTTTTCACTGTGTGTTTATAACTGAAATTGTTTCTAAATGTATAGTAAACTAGTATGGGGTTCTTAAAAGATTATTACAATGTGAAATGACAAGTTCAAGTTCAAGTTTTAATGTCAGATGCACAAGTACGGTGAAATGCTTAACTTGCAAGCTCTACCCAACAGTGCAGTAATCAATATCAAAATAGTATAACTATATATAACAAAGAAAAACACAAAAATAAGATACATACAGGGTCAGTGCCAATACCAAATGTACAATATTATGCATATTATGCAAGGATACTGGAGTAATTTGAGGAAGATATGTACATGTAGGCGGGGGATTAGGAGAAAGTGACTGGTAGCAGGATAAATAAGGATAATAGCAAACAGTATGGCAGCAGCATAAGTCGTGGGTGGGTGAGTGCATGGTGGTCTGTGTATATTATATGACTGTGACTGTTAGAATGATAAAATCATACCGGTGTTTGCCTCATAGTCCCCGATGAACCTCTTGGTCAGAAACCTGACTATCAACGCTGTGAATGAAACAACGAGAAGAATAGTCTCCAATGAGAAACACCTTGAGAATAATAATGTAGTTGACTACATATTTTCATAGTTGCCATTGAAGAATACTGTAGTCCTATTTGGCATAGGCCAACAACATCCTAAACATGGCGGCAGGTAGCCTAGCGCAAAGCTAGGTCAAAAATATCGATGTACCCTTGAGCAAGGCACTTGACCCTAATTACTCCTGTTAGTTTCTCTGGATAAGAGTGTCTGCTAAATGGAAAAATTGAAATATAACACCTTGACAAGAATACTAGAAGGTCACATATCTGTTATAGTTGCAAGAAGAGAATACTGCAGGCTACATACTGTATCGTTTTCACAGTTGACATAGACTGCTCCTTAGCTGGCACAGGTCGGGTTCCCATCAGCAGTATACATGCAAAATATCACCCTATTCCCTACGTACTGCACTACTTTTGCCTATACCCCTATGGGTCCTGGTCAAAAGTAGTGCACTATATAAGGAATAGGGTGCCATTTGGGACATGATGTCAGCCTGTCTATCTATCTTGGTCTGGTCTGTGAATGTACACGTCGCCCCCTGGCGAGATTGTTTACCTCTCACTGTTCAACTGGCACACCAGTGTGTAGCCTATCCCAGAGACACAATAACATATTTAAGTGATAGGTGGAAATATTAGTACGTTTTTCCAAAATCGACATATGTTTTATAGGCTATACAGGCTACATGTATGGCCAATCCGTTTGTGCCAAACTGATGCAAATACATTATTCCCATTCTAGCCTTAGTTTTCCATTAGGACCCAATTAATACGCCTCGATAGATTCTGAAATTAAAAACCTCCGGACTTTCACTCCAACGGTGCGATTCAGCTTACTTTTGGGCACTTCTCCTAAAGCTTGATCTCCTACCTGTTTTCCCCACGTTGCTCGCTCCCAAAACCACGATCTTAACGTTTTTGTTGGGCACGCAGTCTAGAACGGGATACTCCGGTATTGGAACTAGCAGAAAGTTGCTAGAACCACTATTCATTGTTGTCGTTGGGTCGACAGGAAGACGCATTTAGGAGTCCTTATCGGTCCAGTCTGGGAATGCCGTGCCTCTCTCTTCGTCCTCGTCACCCCACTGCTAAAGCAATCCTGAGCCTCAGGAGCTGAGGCTTAGTGTGTCGCCCATGATGATAACTGAAATTATAATCGTCCACTTTGGCTGCTACTCGAAACAATCCAAACTACCACTTGCATTGAGTGCGCAACAAGAACTGTTATCTGACCGAAGGTTTTATAATTGGCCCGGTTATTTCACATAGGCTAAATATACCGAGACAGAGCACCAACTAGTCCACATAAGCCAAGAAGAGGTTAGAATAGCCTAGACAAGTCTATCCCGCCAGTTCCAGAGCCCGCAGCAGTGGTTAGTCAAGTGAGAGAAGAGAGACAGAGCAGCCGGAGCGGGTTGAGAGAGAATAATGAGTAGGCTAGAGTTGCTGAAGAGGCACAACCCCAAACCGCAAGACACTTTTTTGTCTCATAAATGGCACCCTATTCCGTAGCCTATATAGTGCACTACTGTTGACCAGAGCCGTATTGTACCCTGGACCAAAGTAGTGCACTATATAGGGAATAGGGTGCCATTTGCCCTGGACGAAGTAGTGCACTATATAGGGAATAGGGTGCCATTTGGGACTCTATCACAGACCCAACTCAAGGTGTCATAACAAAATACACCTCACTCCCCAACGTACAAAATATTTTCACATCATTCTCCTACTGTAAAATAAATGTAACACCCTTCCCCCTCATATAATTAACTCAAAATAATGTTTACGCCCACAAATAACAATAACTGTAGCGACCATGTGTTTATAAACGTGTATATCGACTTTGACACTTCAGCATGCTTTTGAGGCACAGTTGATACCACGCTGGGCTTCGGGACAGAAGGTTGAGGGTTAGCTGACCGCCGATCACCACAGACAAGCTCACTCTCCCTGAATGTTTCAATACCTCACGATCAGAGCCTGTTGCAGACAGTGATCAACTAGGAGGGAATCAGATTATCAACATATTGATGCCATATTTATAATTATATAAAAAGATATGCAACACATTTTCCACCATCAAGTTTCTGTGCCAATGCACCACACAACCGATAAACAAAACATTTTTTTGCTGTAGTTTTAAAACAGCATATCACTTGAATATTGTTGCTTTAAATCAGTGCGCACATGAGCATTCTGTCATAGTCTTTCTCTCTCTCTCCATCAATTCCATCCAAAACAGATAATACTGTTCAAGACTAATAGATAGATAGATAAATAATAATATGCCATTTAGCAGATGCTTTTATCCAAAGCGACTTACAGTCATGCGTGCATACATTTTTGTGTATGGGTGGTCCCGGGGATCGAACCCACTACCTTGGCGTTACAAGCGCCGTGCTCTACCAGCTGAGCTACAGAGGACCATATGTGTGGGGAGTCTCCCACATGCCTTTTGGCGAACACCAAACGTGTTTGCTTATTTTTTTCTTTAGGCAATGGCTTTTTTTCTGGCCACCCTTCCGTAAAGCCCAGCTCTGTGGAGTGTACGGCTTAAAGTGGTCCTATGGACCGATACTCCAATCTCCGCTGTGGAGCTTTGCAGCTCCTTCAGGGTTATCTTTGGTCTCTTTGTTACCTCTCTGATTAATGCCCTCCTTGCCTGGTCTGCGAGTTTTGGAGGGCGGCCCTCTCTTGGCAGGTTTGTTGTGGTGTCATATTCTTTCAATTTTTTAATAATGGATTTAATTGTGCTCTGTGAGATGTTCAAAGTTTAGAATATTTTTTAATAATCCAACCCTGATCTGTACTTCTCCACAACTTTGTCCCTGACCTGTTTGGAGAGCTCCTTGGTCTTCATGGTGCCGCTTGCTTGGTGGTGCCCCTTGCTTAGTGGTGTTGCAGACTCTGGGGCATTTCAGAACAGGTGTATATATACTGAGATCATGTGACAGATAATGTGACACTTAGATTGCACACAGGTGGACTTTATTTAACTAATTTCTTCTGAAGGTAATTGGTTGCACCAGATCTTATTTAGGGGCTTCATAGCAAATGGGGTGAATACATACAGTGAGGGAAAAAAGTATTTGATCCCCTGCTGATTTTGTACGTTTGCCCACTGACAAAGAAATTATCAATCTATAATTTTAATGGTAGGTTTATTTGAACAGTGAGAGACAGAATAACAACAACAAAATTCAGAAAAACGCATGTCAAAAATGTTATAAATTGATTTTCATTTTAATGAGGGAAATAAGTATTTGACCCCCTCTCAATCAGAAAGATTTCTGGCTCCCAGATGTCTTCTATACAGGTAACGAGCTGAGATTAGGAGCACACTCTTAAAGGGAGTGCTCCTAATCTCAGTTTGTTACCTATATAAAAGACACCTGTCCACAGAAGTAATCAATCAATCAGATTCCAAACTCTCCACCATGGCCAAGACCAAAGAGCTCTCCAAGGATGTCAGGGACAAGATTGTAGACCTACACAAGGCTGGAATGGGCTACAAGACCATCACCAAGCAGCTTGGTGAGAAGGTGACTACAGTTGGTGCGATTATTCGCAAATGGAAGAAACACAAAAGAACTGTCAATCTCCCTCGGCCTGGGGCTCCATGCAAGATCTCACCTCGTGGAGTTGCAATGATCATGAGAACGGTGAGGAATCAGCCCAGAACTACACGGGAGGATCTTGTCAATGATCTCAAGGCAGCTGGGACCATAGTCACCAAGAAAACAATTGGTAACACACTACGCCGTGAAGGACTGAAATCCTGCAGCGCCCGCAAGGTCCCCCTGCTCAGTAAAGCACATATACAGGCCCGTCTGAAGTTTGCCAATGAACATCTGAATGATTCAGAGGAGAACTGGGTGAAAGTGGTCAGATGAGACCAAAATCGAGCTCTTTGGCATCAACTCAACTCGCCGTGTTTGGAGGAGGAGGAATGCTGCCTATGACCCCAAGAACACCATCCCCACCGTCACACATGGAAGTAGAAACATTATGCTTTGGGGGTGTTTTTCTGCTAAGGGGACAGGACAACTTCACCGCATCAAAGGGACGATGGACGGGGCCATGTACCATCAAATCTTGGGTGAGAACCTCCTTCCCTCAGCCAGGGCATTGAAAATGGGTCGTGGATGGGTATTCCAGCATGACAATGACCCAAAATACACGGTCAAGGCAACAAAGGAGTGGCTCAAGAAGAAGCACATTAAGGTCCTGGAGTGGCCTAGCCAGTCTCCAGACCTTAATCCCATAGAAAATCTGTGGAGGAAGCTGAAGGTTCGAGTTGCCAAACGTCAGGCTCGAAACCTTAATGACTTGGAGAAGATCTCTGCAAAGAGGAGTGGGACAAAATCCCTCCTGAGATGTGTGCAAACCTGGTGGCCAACTACAAGAAACGTCTGACCTCTGTGATTGCCAACAAGGGTTTTGCTACCAAGTACTAAGTCATGTTTTGCAGAGGGGTCAAATACTTATTTCTCTCATTAAAATGCAAATCAATTTATAACATTTTTGACATGCGTTTTTCTGGATTTTTGTTGTTGTTATTCTATCTCTCACTGTTCAAATAAACCTACCATTAAAATTATAGACTGATCATGTCTTTGTCAGTGGGCAAACGTACAAAATCAGCAGGGGATCAAATACTTTTTTCCCTCACTGTATGCACGCACCACTTTTCCGTTATTTATTTTTTTGAATTTGTTTTGCCAAGAATTTTGTAAGGAACTGTATCTCTTAACACCATCCATATTGGATTTCTACTTGCCATATATTTCTCAACTGTACTGTGATGTTTCACAAAAGTTCTGAACCCTTCTATTCTTTTTGTTTCTACAGATTGTAAATTGAAAATAAACATTTTTGCTAAAAGTATTATTATATTATTGATCGATTGACTATGACTTTTCAGATCACCCAGTAGTGCTATCTGCAGGGTTAGCTCCAGGTAAATATTGCAATCCTTCAGCCATTTCTGGACCTGTGACCAAAAACAAGCTACAAATGGACAGTACCAAAACGAATGATTAAATGATTCTGTCTCTTCGCAGCAAAATCTGCTGAGCTGGGAAGATTGTATCCCCCATATAAATAACATTCTATTGGTTGCAAGAATTGTATATAATAATTTAAATCGGACAATTCTAAGTTTTGAATCCGGCGTCGTTTTGCGTATCAGTTCATAAACCATTTGCCATGGAATCGGTACGTCAAAAATCTCTTCCCAACGATTTTGCAGCTGTCAATCCTTTGGTCCTTAAATGTAACTGGTATACTTTTTAAATCTTTGTGAAGACAAAAGAAAGCCATCTGCATCTTATTCTATATTATAAACTGGGTGTTCGAGCCCTGAATATTGATTGGCTGAAAGCTGTGGTATATCAGACTGTATACCACCTGTATGACAAAACATTTATGTTTACTGTTATAATTATGTTGGTAACCAGTTTATAATAGCAATAAGGCACCTCTGGGATTTGTGGTATATGGCCATTATACCATGGCTAATAATATTGTTTACATGCAGATTTTTGAATATTCGCATGAAAATCTGTTGTGAGCATTATGAGCAAAAAATATATATAACTTGTATAAATAAAGGAAGAGAAGCTTAGGCCTATCCCCAGAGAGATAGAGAGGTAGTGATATGCCAGCGGCATGCTACCACACTGACTGAGTCTGCTATATAGTTTAGTATACTATATATAAGGTACTGTAGACCAGGGTTCTTCAATTCCGGTCCTGGAGGGCCGAAACACCTCTGTTTTTCATCATCTCCTTCTAATCAGGGGCTAATTCAGACCTGGGACACCAGGTGAGTGCAATTAACTACCAGGTAGAAATAAAAAACAGAAGTGTTTCGGCCCTCCAGGACCGGAATTGAAGAACCCTGCTGTAGACTATACTAACCTGTTGTAAAAATTAACACACAGAAAATAGTAGTGCATAAGGGAAGTACCAAAACACCTTGATATAGGGGAGGCGCATGCAAGCAGATTAGGAAATGTGGCTAGGATGGAATAAATTATATAGTAAAACCTGCAAAAGAGCAAACGTTAACCAGGGAAAAAAACGCACAACCCTCCACTGTGCCAAATAAAAAATCACACAACCTTCCCCAAAGCAAATAAACAAGTTTGAAAACCAACCCCTATTTTGGACCACTTCTCCCCCCTCAATAAATTGCGGTCTGTCCCTAATTTAGCTCAACCAGGACACTTCCACATCTTTGACGGTTTTGCCTGTCTATGACCATGTTTTCTTAGATCTGCATTCTTGCATGAGTAATCTATTAAACATTCTGAAAGTGAGTTGCATAGGCTACGATTTAGCCTGCTATAATGTATTATCTGCGCAACGACCGATCAATTATAATCCACCCAGTGCTAGTGCACAAACGTGTGTGCGCGTGTACTTTATCTGCGAGCCTCGTTCTCGCCATGAAACTGGCCTGTGAGAAAACAGTGCATCAACACTCTCTCATCCCCAAACTGGACCGTGCGAAAGGTCTCCCCGGAACAGCCGTTGCGGCTGTCACTGTTTTCAAATTGGGGTTCGGTCCAATATGGCGACAGACGGATGGAAATACTGATGACTGTCCGAAAGATTGCCTCGATTTGTACGATGGTACGGTATTTTTTCTGTTTAAAATCCGTTATTTTTTATGCGACTAGCTAGTTGGCTAATGCTAGCTAAGTAAACTGGCAAACAGGACATGACTGAGGAGGTTTTCCAGAAAGTTGGTTAGCTAGTTAGGCACATCTCTCTAGAGAAGCAAACATAGGTGACTGTTATTGATGCGTTTAGTTGTTGGGGTTCAAGAATGCTAAGTATCACTAGACTGCATGGTCTTTTGATATAGGTGGATCAACAGGGATAGCTAACGTTAGCAAATAAGATAGCCAGCTAACTAGTTAGCATATACCCTAGCCACAAGCAAATGCTAGTTTTATCAATACCACAAAGTTGTTTTGATAGTTAGCTAAATTAATTGTCTAGTTAACCAGGTAACGATAGTTATGTTGCTTTCTCAGTCATCTTAGGCGTTTATTTGATAAAAGTAATTTGGAAGCTGCTAACAGTAGCTAGCGAAATCATATTGGTCAACCTTTCAACTTCAACTAGCTAGCTAACGGTACATCAAGGTAGCTAGAATATTAGCCAGCTACTACTGAATAGATGCTTGCCAGCAACATTTATCTGGCTAGTTAGCTACCTACATAGTGAGTTAGCTGTGTTCTGCTAATCTAGTTCTATGTATTATTTTGATGTGCCTAAAGGCAGTAATGAAATGGGAAATCCGTTGCAGAGGTCAGTGCTTTTTAGTTAGCTAGCTAGCTACATAACAAACCAATGAAGCCCGAACTATCAGCAGCAGCTGAATTCTATGGATTGAACGAACGCTGGCTGTATCTAGAATTCCTGGAGAGATGCTCCACCTGAAATGCAACTCAACCAATTTCCTCCCCTGTCCCTCTGTCAAAACATCAAAGTTGCCAGGGAACGCGCCGTCAGAGTGCCACCTGACAAGTGACAGTTTGTTTATTTACTTCGCCTACCAGTCGCTGACAAAGAAGTGCATTATCCGGCGACAGATTAAGTTTGAACCCCTCTGCCGCTGCACCAAGCCATATCAGACCAACAGCCGGTTGAGATGAATGACAGGGGTGTATTCATTATGGCGATTCTGTTACAAAACATTTTGTCTGTTGTACAACGTTTTGCAACAAACGGTTTACTCCAAACATAACTTTTTGCGACGAAAACGAGTTTATATTCGACAAAATTCATTTAGGTCTCTCCCAGTGATTTATATATACACATCATTGGTTTCTCCCCGTTTCTTTCAGTTTACTCTATTTGCTTCAGTTTAAATGGTTTCCGTTGCAAGACGTAATGAATGCACCCCAGATGTCAGGGAGAAATCTCACACACAACCTTTTTTAATTAAGAGTGTGTTGAGACTACGTTTAAGCCTTGCTACTGCTAGTCATATTCATAGCCTTTGGTCTTCATGCACAGCGGTTAGCTAGTCAGTTCACTGGCGTCTTCGGTCTGTCTGTGCATCTTGTAGATCTGTTGCATCATATGGAACCATCACACATGAGACACACACACACACACACATCTTGTAGTTATTTCAGTCAGCTGTGGCTGTTCTTAAATGATGACATAGAGCATAGTAAATGTGATATCATGGATAAGGACTAGGAGGACCACTCCTTCTGTCCCAAGGTGTTACTGGACTGGTGGAGTCTCGGGCAGACAGTGCACTTGATACCGTGTAAAAACATTACATAATGATTGTGAAAGACTGTTGCACATTGCAATGATAACTTAGCATAACCAGGGGTCAAACTGGGTGGGAATATAGTCCAAACAGTGGTTAGCGCAGGCCTACAGTGAATCTAACTAGGCTACGTCCCAATAATTATACTAGCATACTATATGGGCTCCCGAGTGGCGCAGCAGTCTAAGGCACTGCATCTCAGTGCTTGAGGCGTCACTACAGACCCCGTGATTGGGAGTCCCATAGGGCGGCGCACAATTGGCACAGCGTCGTCCGGGTTTGGCCGGTGTAGGCCGTCATTGTAAATAATAATTTGTTCTTAACTGACTTGCCTAGTTAAATAAAGGTTAAATAAAAATAAAAAACATGTAAGCCATTGCCAAGCGTACTAACTTTGTAGATGTACGTACCAGACCCAGGGGAAAATGGGGTGGGTGAGGATACAGTCCAAACAGTGTGTAGGGCATGCCTACAGCCAATCTAACTAGGCTATATCCCAATATTCATACTACATGAAAAGTTATTAGAGTATACTAAAAAGTATGCTAGTGTTGATTTTATCGGCAGTATTGGCTAGAATACATGGCTCATGGTATGTACTTCCTTTGACTCTTACTGATTGTAAGTCACTCTGGATAATAGTGTCTGCTAAATGACAAAAATCGATGTAAATGTAATACTTTCCTTTCCAGGGCGCCAATGCCTCAGCTTTGGAGAAGGAGATCGGACCGGAACAGTTTCCAGTTAATGAACACTACTTTGGATTGGTCAACGTAAGTACCAACACAACAATATAAACCATAGCTGTTGGTCAACGTAAGTTTCCCAGCATGCACCTGCACAAACACAATATATAACCATTTTACTGTTAGTGTGTTTGCTTTTGAATTAAGATTGGATTACTTTGTTCCAACAATCATAACACAAGACTTAGCACACGCTCTCACACTTCTCCCTCCCTCTCTCTCCTCCCTCTCTCCTTTCGTCTTGTCTCCTCTCTCCTCTTCTCTAGTTTGGGAACACCTGCTACTGTAACTCGGTGCTGCAGGCCCTCTACTTCTGTCGTCCTTTTAGGGAGAAGGTCCTAGCCTACAAGGTCCAGCCCAGACGTAAAGAGTCCCTGCTCACTTGTCTGTCTGACCTCTTCAACAGGTAAATGGGAGGGAATGTGCCCCACCCTTAGCATCTTGCATAAACAAATGAAATGGTGCTTGGAACCAAAAATTGATCAGAAATGGAAAAAAGGCCAGCATGCACTTTAAGTTACAATTTAAACTTTGTTACAACTTGTTCAACAGCATCGCTACACAGAAGAAGAAGGTCGGAGTCATCCCTCCCAAGAAGTTCATCTCACGTCTGAGGAAGGAGAATGGTGAGAAGGATGGAAGGGTGGGGTGATGGGAAGGGGTGTAAAGGAAAAAATTAAAGTTAATCTCGCTCCTGAAAAAGAAGGGATAGAGGGAATAGTGCAGATGGAGATTGGAGAAAATGTAGCAACTTTAGACAGCTAATTACTCTTCCTTCATCCCCTCTTTCTCTATCCTCTTCTCTCTCTCCCTCCAGAGCTGTTTGACAACTACATGCAGCAAGATGCCCATGAGTTCCTCAACTACCTCCTCAACACTATCGCTGACCTGCTCCAGGAGGAGAAGAGCCAGGAGCGACAGCAGAATGGAAAACTGGTGCAGAACGGAGGAGGTGGGGGGAGCAGTGGGACAGGAGGAGGAGACGAGGGGGAGAAGACACAGCAGACCTGGGTCCACGAGATCTTCCAGGGAACCCTGACCAACGAGACGCGCTGCCTCAACTGTGAAGCTGTAAGTGGAGGGAGATCCAAGATGGAGGCTGTTAATGGGGAGATGAATGGGTCTCTGAGCAGGAATGGATGCCGGGCTGTGCTAGTTTCCCGATACTATATTGTAATGGGAAAGGGAGATCCAAAATGGAGACTGTCATTGTTTTTTAAATTAAGGAGAGGAATAGGGCCAGGAGTTGTAATTTATGCCAGTTTCCTATTATTGAACATTGTTTAAACAGAGGTAGATTTAACCAGTGTTGTGCTTGGCTCTGCTTGTCCAGGTGAGCAGTAAAGACGAGGACTTCCTGGACCTGTCTGTCGACGTAGAGCAGAACACCTCCATCACGCACTGTCTTAGGTAGGTGTGTGTGTGTACTGTCAGAGAGATAGCCACTGAAGGGATGGAGTGGAGATGGAGAAAGGAATAGAGGTAAATAACAGAGAGAGGAAAAGAGAAATGGATGGAGGAAAAACAGAACAGAGTTCAGTAGGCCCAAATAGGAGGAAGCGTTATGGAAATGTCCAAGTCATACATATGCCAAATGACATCACTTTGTGGATGCTCCAGAACTCATCTGTGTCTTCTTTTCTCTCCACAGGGGTTTCAGCAACACCGAGACACTATGTAGTGAATACAAGTACTACTGTGAACAGTGTCGGAGTAAACAGGAGGCACAGAAAAGGTGAGCTAGCTGGTCTCTGTGAAAAACGTACCCAAAAAGTGCATTTAAATGGCTGTCCGAGCAAACATACAGTAAGTAGGTGATTAGTAGACAAGAACAAGGCTAGCCTGTCTTTCTGCCTGTCTTACACCTAAAGAGGTTTAAATACTAACATTAAAGGCCCAATGCTGTCATATATTTACACACTATGAGGTTGGAATAATACATTGTTAAAATATTAATAATGCCCTTTTAGTGTAAGAGCTGTTTGAAAAGACCACCTGAAAATTCAGCCTGTTTTGGTGGGAGGGAGTTTTGGCATTCCATGTTGACATCACCATGCGGTAGATTAGTTAATAGACCAATAAGAAAGCTGATAAAACTGGTTGTTTGGATCCTGGATGCTGATTGGACAAGCAGCGTTCCAAGCTGTGCTGTATTGGCTGTCACAGGCACACTAGGTCTGCTAACAGTTCCATCTGAAAATGATCACTGCGCCTCCATAAGAATGTCATGTTGCTGTCCGATTCATCTTTTGTGTTTATCACACATTATTTCCCCTTGCTTCCAGCCTAGCATTTAGTTTGGTACAGCGGGGATTAATATAATCCTCGCTGTCTGCCAGTCTGACCTCGGAAACAATGCTTCACTTTTGAGTGTCGGTCTCTGTACCATACATAGAGTGAACGGTGCCCAGACAAGATGAGACATTTTCTGAGCCAGGCGAAATCACACATCAACGTCATTATCATGGAGATATCCAAATAAATGGTGCTATCGCTTTGGGCCGAACAACGCCATTTACCTGTGACTGTGTTCATGATGCAGCACTGCCTCTTGTGCCTTATTGCTTAAGTGTTCCAAACCTCTCTGCCAATAACAGCTCATTTTCTGTTACCCAGAAATGATTTAATATTGAGATAAAAACGGCTGCATTGGACCTTTAACCCTTCCCGCTCTATCATATAATATTATCATGTTCTTTTATTATTAGGATGCGTGTTAAGAAGCTTCCTATGATCCTGGCGTTACACCTGAAGAGGTTTAAATACATGGACCAGTTGCATCGCTACACCAAGCTGTCCTATCGCGTCGTCTTCCCCCTGGAGCTCCGCCTCTTCAACACCTCAGGAGACGCCACCAACCCCGACCGCATGTACGACCTGGTCGCCGTGGTCGTCCACTGTGGAAGGTAAAGAGAGCGACTGTGTGTGCGGTCGCTCACTCAGTTTGTGCCAGAGATGATCTGTGTGTCTGTTTTAGACTGTGTGTCTGTTTTAGACTGTGTGTCTGTTTTAGACTGTGTGTCTGTCACCTTTTCAATATTTCTCTCTCTTTCTGTCCATCTGTCTGTCTCTTCTCTCCTGCTCAGCAGAGTGTTTAATTGTACCTCCTGTCTATAACGGTTATATTTATTTTCCTCTCTCCAGTGGTCCAAACCGTGGTCATTACATCACCATAGTGAAGAGTCATGGATTCTGGCTCTTATTTGATGACGACATAGTAGAGGTAAGGAGAGCTTGTCTATACTCTATTGGCTATATTATTTTCTAGTGATAAGAGTTCTCTTTATATTCTAACGGTTGTTTTCCTTCAATGAATCTATATTCCATATGTTGAAAGAGAAGAGTGAAAGACGCTGATCGTCTGTAGTACATGGGACCCTCAAACACCCAAGCTGTCTTTTCAAAGACAGTTCTTAGTTGTAATACGGTATAAAATAAACTTGTACAAGACCTGCTGGAGACAGGCAAAACAGAACGGCAAAATTAACTTTAGGTACTCGCAAATTCGCAATGAATGTCTCCAACGGCACCTCCAATAATGACGTGTTGTCAACAAACGACACCTTCATTTATTTTGATGGTATAAACTGGTAGTTTGATTCTACTAACTCATTTCCAGCATCCATAGAGATCCAACAGAGACCTATTCCAAGCTGCATTCCAGTCCATCCCCCTACTCCCTACCAGACCTGGGTTCAAATACTATTTGCAATAATTTCAAATATTTTTATCTGGGCTTGATTGAGCTTGCCTGGCACAGTGGAACCAATAAAATACTCGGAAGGAGTGCAAACCCTGAACATCTGGCACTCCAGGCAGGCTATAGCAAATGCTAAAAGTATTTTAAAGATTTCAAATAGTATTTGAACCCAAGTCTGATCCCTACTCGCTCCCAATGTTGTCTGGAATTCCATTGCGCCGCACCGGTCGACCCAGATAGCTCCAGGTGGCTGTGTGAATAATGTATAATCTTTATAAATAGGGAGTGGGAGACAGACTGGAATACCAGTTTTAGATAAGTTAGTAGAATGAGCCGGAGGACTATGAGAACTTTTGTGTGTGCGTATTTGGTAGTGTCGCTCTCTCTCTCTCCTCACTCACTCAAAATAATCAACCTGCTTTTCTCAGGTTATGAGAATGCATTAAAACATGGCAGAGCACACACTATGAAATACTTCAGTTCCTGTAGAACGTAACGTAGGCTGCCTGCGTCTGTTGAAATGCTTTCAGTCCAGATCACATTCAGGGAATGAGTCCACACAGTAGTAGCATATGGCCCTGTTTCAAATGTACCCACAGTGTAGAGGTATGTTATAGCAATCGAGGGGCCTGCTTTTTCCACTCCGGGAAGACACTTTCCATAGGCAGAGATCTAGAATCAGTTTACACTCAGTTTACCCAGCGTAACCATTAGAGTGGAACAATGCAAAACTGACCTTAGATCAGTGTCTAGGGTTTTTCCACTATGGAAAGAGTCCTATTGTAACATCTGGTAGATGAGCAGAACCTGGCTGAGTGATGAAGTTTCCGCTGGGCTTGGAAAGACACTGGTCTCAGATCAGTTTTGGGTTTACCCTCTAATGGTTAAAGGGATAGTTCGACATTTTGGCAATTAAGCCCTTTTTTGTACTTACACCGAGTCAGTCTAGACGTCCAGTCATGAGCTAACTAATGTCTCCTACTACACGCGGAGACATTAATGGTATCCATGAGTTCATCTGACTCTGGGTAAGTAGAACATTCTTGAACTATCCCTTTAACACTAGAACCGCTGGGCTTCGAGGGAGCCCCCTTCAAGCTAATGAGCAGTCATTCTAACTGCAACATTCTAACAGTATAATTAATACATTTAATTAGGGATGTGCATCTTTCCCTTTCAAGACGCTTTGATATGTATCTAGATACATGGGCTCTGATATGATACTGGAACGATACGTTTTAGTTTGAAACGATTCGGTTTGATGCACTAACTTTTCTTGCTTAAGCATGTTCATTTTCCATTCTATACTGAAAACATATATAAACACAACATGCAACAATTTCAACGATTTTACTGAGTTACGGTTTATATTAGGTAATCAGTCAATTGAAATAAATGAATTAGACCCGTAATCTATGGATTTCACATGACTGGGCAGGGGCGCAGCCATGGGTGAGCCTGGAAGGGCATAGGTCCACCCACTTGGGAACCAGGCCCAGCCAATCAGAATGAGTTTTTCCCCACGAAAAGGCTTTATTACAGACAGAAACACCCCTCAGTTTCGTCAGCTGTTTGGGTGGCTGGTCTCAGACGATCCCGCATGTGAAGAACCCTGATATGGAGGTCTTGGGCTGGCGTGGTTACACATGGTCTGCGGTTGTGAGGCCGGTTGAACGTACTGGCAAAATCTCTAAAACAACGTTGAGCAGGCTTATGGTAGAGAAATTAACATTAAATTATCTCGCAACAGCTCTGGTGGACATTCCTGCAGTCAGCAGGTCAATTGCACGCTCCCTCAAAACTTGAGACATCTGGGGCATTGTGTTTTGTGACAAAACCGCACATCTTAGTGGCCTTTTTATTGTCCCCAGCACAAGGTGCACCTGTGTAATGATAATGCTGTTCAGTCAGCTTCTTGATATGTCAGGTGGATGGATTATCTTTGCAAAGGAGAAACGCTCACTAACAGGGAAACATGGGACCAACACATCTGTCTGAGCTTGTGTGAATTATGTATGCCTATGGTGTATGTACTATGTAGGCACCTGATGTGAACCCCAAGGGAGACTAGGTAGGCATCTACCACCCCACTATAGTGTTATAGGGTATAGCACTATGAGATGGGGGGGGCAATAGCATATGTTTTTTGTCCACTTTGGTTCTGAAATCACCATCACCCACTAATTAACTTGTCATTTTTGCAGATTAAGTGTTTGAGCTTGAGGTCAGGGCTCTGTGCATGCTAGTCAAGTTCTTCCACACCGTTTTCGACAGACCCTTTCTGTATGGACCTCGCTTTGTGCACTGGGGCGTTGTCATGCTGAAACAGGAAAGGGCCTTCACGAAACTGTTGCCACAAAGTTGGAAGCACAGAATCATGTAATTGTATGCTGCAGCGTTAAGATTTCCCTTCACTGGAACTAAGGGGCCTAGACCGAACCATGAAAAACAGCCACAGACCATTATTCCTCCTCCACCAAACTTTACTTTGCATTGGGGCAGATAGTGTTCTCCTGGCATGCACCAAATCCAGATTTGTCCGTCGGACTGCCAGATGGTGAAGCGCGATTCATCACTCCAGAGAACGCATTTGCACTGCTCCAAAGGTCAATGGAGACGAGCTTTACACCACTCCTGCCGACGCTTGGCATTGCGCATGGTGATCTTAGGCTTGTGTGCGGCTGCTCGGCCATGGAAACCCATTTCATGAAGTTCCCGACGAACAGTTCTTGTGCTGACGTTGCTTACAGAGGCAGTTTGGAACTCGTTAGTGAGTGTTGCAACCGAGGACAGACGATTCAGCACTCGGCGGTCCCGTTCTGTGAACTTGTTTGGCCTACCACTTCGTGCCTGAGCCATTGTTGCTCCTAGATGTTTCCACTTCACAATAACAGCACTTACAGTTGACCAGGGCAGCTCTAGCAGGGCAGAAATTTTACAAACTGACTTGTTGGGAAGGTGCCACGTTGAAAGTCACTGAGCTCTTCACTCTCTTCACTAAGGCCGTTCTACCGCCAATGTTTGTCTATGGAGATTGCATGGCTGTGTGCTCGATTTTATACACCTGTCGGCAACAGGTGTGGCTGAAATAGCCGAATCCACTAATTTGAAGGGTTGTCCACATACTTTTGTGTATATTGTGGATCGCCCATAAATTCGAATAATTTAGATTTTTATGCCATATCGCCCAGCCCTACCTGGATTGTACAATATTTGCCCATTATTTTTTTAATTATTCAAGCTCTGTCAAGTTGGTTGTTGATCATTGCTAGACAGCCATTTTCAAGTCTCGCCATAGATTTTCAAGACGCTTTAAGTGAAAACTAAGTCGTCTTGGTAAGCAACTCCAGTATATATTTGGCCTTGTTTTTTTTAGGTTATTGTCCTGCAGAAAGATGAATTTGTCTCCCAATGTCTGTTGGAAAGCAAACTGAACCAGGTTTTCCTCTAGGATTTTGCCTGTGCTTGGCTCTATTCTGTTTCTTTTTATCCCAAAAAACTCCCTTGCAGATGACAAGCATACCCATAACATAATGCATTCACCACCATGCTTGAAAATATGAAGAGTGTTACTCAGTGATATGTTTGGGGCTAATTCAAAACAACACAACTTTTTGTGTTCAGGACATAAAGTTAATTTCTTTTTTTTGCAGTTTTATTTTAGGGCCTTATTGCAAACAGGATGCATGTTTTAAAATGTTTAGTCTGTACAGGCTTCCTTCTTTTCACTCTGTCAATTAGGTTAGCATTGTGGAGTAACTACAATGTTGTTGATCAATCCTCAGGTTTCTCCTATCACAGACATTAAACTCTGTAACTGTTTTAAAGTCACCATTGGCCTCATGGTGAAATCCCTGAGCAGTTTCCTTCCTCTCCGGCAACTGAGTTAGGAAGGATGCCAGTATCTTGGTAGTGACTGGGTGTATTGATACACCATCCATAGCCAAATCAATAACTTCACCATGCTCAAAGGGATATTCAATGTCTGCTTTTATTTTTATTTTTAACCCATCTACCAGTAGGTACCGTTTTTGCGAGGCATTGGAAAACCTCCCTTGTCTTTGTGGTTGAATCTGAATTTGAAATTTACTGCTCGACTGAGGGACCTTTTCAGATAGGTAGTCATTCAAAAATTTTGTTAAACACTTCTTGCACACAGAGTCCATGCAACTTATTATGTGACTTCAGCAAATGTTTTATCCTGAACTTATTTAGGCTTGCCATAACAAAGGGGTTGAGTACTTATTGACTCAAGACATTTTAAGCTTTTCATTTAATTAATTTGTAAAAATTTCTAAAAACACAATTCCACTTTGCCATTATGGGGTATTGTGTGTAGGCCAGTGACCCAATCTCTATTTAATAAATGTTTTATTCCGGCTGTAACAACAGAATGTGTAAAAAGTAAAGTGGTGTGAATACCTTCTGAAGGTACTGTGTTTTCGGAAGGTAGAAAGAAAGTAATATGAGAAAAAAATGTCAGTGAATCAGCGATTCGTAACGTTTTAATTGATCTTCTGACCAATGCATGCCACATTTGGATCGATTTGGGGTCCATGGAATTGATGCGTATCGGTGCATTGTTACATCTCTACCTTTCATATATATTCTATCGCAGAGATAATCATTTGGTTGTGTTTATGATGGTCTTATGTAATTGAAATAACACTAGCGTTTTCATTAATTTGTTACTGTAGTCTATATGTAAAAAAAATATAAAACACATTCAAGGGCATATGTCTTGAAATGTGGTAAAAGCTTCTTTTTGTAAAGACAAAAAAAGAAAAATGACCCCAACCACCAAGATGCACACTCAGCAAGACGCACAATCAAATAATGAAAACATCAGTAGCCTACACATCATTATAAGCGCCAAGTGTGCTTGATAAATAGTGAAAATCAGGCAAAAGCAATAATGGCGTTATAGTGAATATGAATGTCGAATTGACAGGAGTCAAAACTAGTCAATTATTGTCCGTTCGTGCTTACATGGTGTGCGTCTTCCACGGTTACAAAGAAATTCCCTGGTTTTCCCGAAATTCCGTATGGAATATTCACGGAATCTGGAGGCAATAAGCAGGAAATCCGGAATCCTCCAACCAGGATTTCTGGAAAACCAGGGAATTTATTGAAAGTTCCTGGAACTTTGCAACCGTAGCGTCTTCATGCAATGGCATCAGTTGGAGCATGTCACATAAACAACAACAACATTTGGTGAGTGCGTTGCTGATGTCGTTTTTTGCTTGATGTCGGGCCTGCTCTCTGTGATAATCGACCTGTAGCATTGTCACCAGCTTGTTCTATCCAAATGGTGCCATCACCTCTTTTATCCTGCCTCGCAGTTTCATTTGGTGGTGGTGCGGGCACCTGTTCAGTGCGCACCGTTCTGGCTTTATTGCACTTAGGGCTCGGAAGTGTAGGTTCAGGCTGGGGCTCAGAATCAGAAAAATAATCATCAGAGATGTCATGATTCATTTCTTCCCCACCATCTGAGTCCTTTTCATTCAGATTTTGTAGCAACTTTAACGCGGCAGCCATTTTTCTTGGCATTGTAAATTACACACGCACTCACTGTGCACTCCAAGTAGGCCAGAGTAGACTTATATATATATATATATATATACAGTGAAGTTGGATGTTTACATACACCTTAGCCAAATACATTTAAAAACTCAGTTTTTCACAATTCCTGACATTTAATCCTAGTATAAATTCCCTGTCTTAGGTTAGTTAGGATCACCACTTTATTTTAAGAATGTGAAATGTCAGAATAATAGTAGAGTGATTTATTTCAGCTTTTATTTCTTTCATCACATTCCCAGTGGGTCAGAAGTTTACATACACTTAATTAGTATTTGGTAGCATTGCCTTTTAAATTGTTTAACCTGTGTCAAACATTTCGGGTAGCCTTCCACAAGCTTCCCACAATAAGTTAGGTGAATTTTGGCCCATTCCTCCTGACAGAGCTGGTGTAACTGAGTCAGGTTTGTAGGCCTCCTTGCTCGCACACACTTTTTCAGTTCTGCCCACACATTTTCTATAGGATTGAGGTCAGGGCTTTGTGATGGCCACTCCAATACCTTGACGTTGTTGTCCTTAAGCCATTTTGCCACAACTTTGGAAGTATGCTTGGGGTCATTGTCCATTTGGAAGACCCATTTGCAACCAAGCTTTAACTTCCTGACTGATGTCTTGAGATGTTGCTTCAATATATCCACATAATTTTCCTTCCTCATGATGCCATCTATTTTGTGAAGTGCACCAGTCCTTCCTGCAGCAAAGCACCCTCACAGCATGATGCTGCCATCCCCGTGCTTCACGGTTGGGATGGTGTTCTTCAGCTTGCAAGCACCCTCTTTTCCTCCAAACATAACGATGGACATTATGGCCAAACAGTTTTATTTTTGTTTCATCAGACCAGATGCCATTTCTCCAAAAAGTACGATCTTTGTCCCCATGTGCAGTTGCAAACCGTAGTCTGGCTTTTTTTATGGCGGTTTTGGAGCAGTGGCTTCTTCCTTGTTGAGCGGCCTTTCAAGTAATGTCGATATAGGACTTGTTTTACTGGGGATATAGATACTTTTGTACCTGTTTCCTCCAGCATCTTCAAGGTCCTTTGCTGTTGTTCTGGGATTGATTTGCAGTTTCACATCAAAGTACGTTCATCTCTAGGAGACAGAACGCATCTCCTTCCTAAGCGGTATGACGGCTGCGTGGTCCCATGGTGTTTATACTTGCGTACTATTGTTTGTACAGATGAACGTGGTATCTTCAGGCATTTGGAAATTGCTCCCAAGGATGAACCAGACTTGTGGAGGTCTACAATCTTTTTCTGAGGTCTTGGCTGATTTCCTTTGATTTTCCCATGATGTCAAGCAAAGAGGGGTTAGGCCTTGAAGAAGGTAGGCCTTGAAATACATCTACAGGTACAACTCCAATTGACTCAAATGATGTCAATTAGCCGAACAGAAGCTTCTAAAGCAATGACATCATTTTCTGGAATTTTCCAAGCTGTTTAAAGGCACAGTCAACTTAGTGTATGTAAACTTCTGACCCACTGGAATTGTGATACAGTGAATTATAAGTGAAATAATCTTTCTGTAAACAATTGTTGGAAAAATTGCTTGTGTCATGCACAAAGTAGATGTCCTAACCGACTTATCAAAACTATAGTTTGTTAACAAGACATTTTGTGGAGTGGTTGAAAAACAAGTTTTAGTGACTACAACCTAAGTGTATGTAAACCTCCGACTTCAACTGTGTGTGTGTGTGTGTGTGTGTGTGTGTGTGTGTGTGTGTGTATGTATGTAATATATATATATATATATATATATATATATATATATATATATATATATATATATATATATATATATACACACACACACACAGTGGGGAAAAAAAGTATTTAGTCAGCCACCAATTGTGCAAGTTCTCCCACTTAAAAAGATGAGAGGCCTGTAATTTTCATCATAGGTACACGTCAACTATGACAGACAAATTGAGGAAAAAAAATCCAGAAAATCACATTGTAGGATTTTTTATGAATAGATTTGCAAATTATGGTGGAAAATAAGTATTTGGTCACCTACAAACAAGCAAGATTTCTGGCTCTCACAGACCTGTAACTTCTTCTTTAAGAGGCTCCTCTGTCCTCCACTCATTACCTGTATTAATGGCACCTGTTTGAACTTGTTATCAGTATAAAAGACACCTGTCCACAACCTCAAACAGTCACACTCCAAACTCCACTATGGCCAAGACCAAAGAGCTGTCAAAAGACACCAGAAACAAAATTGTAGACCTGCACCAAAGTAGAGCTGGGACCAAAGTAACAAAGCCTACCATCAGTAACACACTACGCCGCCAGGGACTCAAATCCTGCAGTGCCAGACGTGTCCCCCTGCTTAAGCCAGTACATGTCCAGGCCCGTCTGAAGTTTGCTAGAGTGCATTTGGATGATCCAGAAGAGGATTGGGAGAATGTCATATGGTCAGATGAAACCAAAATAGAACTTTTTGGTAAAAACTCAACTCGTCGTGTTTGGAGGACAAAGAATGCTGAGTTGCATCCAAAGAACACCATACCTACTGTGAAGCATGGGGGTGGAAACATCATGCTTTGGGGCTGTTTTTCTGCAAAGGGACCAGGATGACTGATCCGTGTAAAGGAAAGAATGAATGGGGCCATGTATCGTGAGATTTTGAGTGAAAACCTCCTTCCATCAGCAAGGGCATTGAATATGAAACGTGGCTGGGTCTTTCAGCATGACAATGATCCCAAACACACTGCCCGGGCAACGAAGGAGTGGCTTCGTAAGAAGCATTTCAAGGTCCTGGAGTGGCCTAGCCAGTCTCCAGATCTCAACCCATAGAAAATCTTTGGAGGGAGTTGAAAGTCTGTGTTGCCCAGCGACAGCCCCAAAACATCACTGCTCTAGAGGAGATCTGCATGGAGGAATGGGCCAAAATACCAGCAACAGTGTGTGAAAACCTTGTGAAGACTTACAGAAAACGTTTGACCTGTGTCATTGCCAACAAAGGGTATATAACAAAGTATTGAGAAACTTTTGTTATTGACCAAATACTTATTTTCCACCATAATTTGCAAATAAATTCATAAAAAATCCTACAATGTGAAGCTGCTTACCTATTGCAGATTCAGTCTTCCCAGCCTGGTGCAGGTCTACAATTGTGTTTCTGGTGTCCTTTGACAGCTCTTTGGTCTTGGCCAGGGACGGCCTGTTCAATAGGGCGATATGGGCGACGCACTGCCAAACGGGAAAAGGAAGGGATTTTTTTTCTAATCAATTATATCACGGCAACAGTAGTTATCAGTGTTGTAATCTATACGTCTGATCTGCCACAGTGCCACACTGCCACTAAATGTCGAATCAGGCTAAAGTCGTGCTTCAAATGGCTCCACCCCCTTTTGGGGCGATTTCAGTCAGATTGAAAAATCGCCCAGAACTTCTGTCATAGACTCCCCATGTAAAATCTATTTTTTTCAAATTTCAGAGCCTTCATACAATCTCAATGGTGTCTGTGGGCTTGCACTTACGCGCTTTCGTCATACGTGTACTAACCATGAACGTAAAATTTCCCAAACCCTTTTTAAACCCATTTAAAAGCCTTCCTCTGAATTTCCCAAAATTTCCCTAATTTTTCCCGAAGTTGGGCACCGTCCCTTCCGCAGCAAAGCACCCTCACACAGATGCTGCCATCCCCGTGCTTCACGGTTGGGATGGTGTTCTTCATTGCAAGCACCCCTTTTTTCCTCCAAACATAACGATGGACATTATGGCCAACAGTTTTTTTTTTTTCATCAGACAGATGCCATTTCTCCAAAAGTACGATCTTTGTCCCCATGTGCAGTTGCAACGTAGTCTGGCTTTTTTTATGGCGGTTTTGGAGCAGTGGCTTCTTCCTTGTTGAGCGGCCTTTCAAGTAATGTCGATATAGGACTTGTTTTACTGGGGATATAGATACTTTTGTACCTGTTTCCCTCCAGCATCTTCAAGGTCCTTTGCTGTTGTTCTGGGATTGATTTGCAGTTTCACATCAAAGTACGTTCATCTCTAGGAGACAGAACGCATCTCCTTCCTAAGCGGTATGACGGCTGCGTTGGTCCCATGGTGTTTATACTTGCGTACTATTGTTTGTACAGATGAACGTGGTATCTTCAGGCATTTGGAAATTGCTCCCAAGGATGAACCAGACTTGTGGAGGTCTACAATCTTTTTCTGAGGTCTTGGCTGATTTCCTTTGATTTTCCCATGATGTCAAGCAAAGAGGGGGTTAGGCCTTGAAGAAGGTAGGCCTTGAAATACATCTACAGGTACAACTCCAATTGACTCAAATGATGTCAATTAGCCGAACAGAAGCTTCTAAAGCAATGACATTCATTTTCTGGAATTTTCCAAGCTGTTTAAAGGCACAGTCAAACTTAGTGTATGTAAACTTCTGACCCACTGGAATTGTGATACAGTGAATTATAAGTGAAATAATCTTTCTGTAAACAATTGTTGGAAAAATTGCTTGTGTCATGCACAAAGTAGATGTCCTAACCGACTTATCAAAACTATAGTTTGTTAACAAGACATTTTGTGGAGTGGTTGAAAAACAAGTTTTAGTGACTACAACCTAAGTGTATGGTAAACCTCCGACTTCAACTGTGTGTGTGTGTGTGTGTGTGTGGGTGTGTTGTGTGTGTGTGTGTGTTGTGTGTGTGTGTGTGTGTGTGTGTGTGTGTATGTATGTAATATTATATATATATATATAATATATATATATATATATATTAGATATATACACACACACACAGTGGGGAAAAAAAGTATTTAGTCAGCCACCCAATTGTGCAAGTTCCCCACTTAAAAAGATGAGAGGCCTGTAATTTTCATCATAGGTACACGTCAACTATGACAGACAAATTGAGGAAAAAAAAAAATCCAGAAAATCACATTGTAGGATTTTTTATGAATAGATTTTCAAATTATGGTGGAAAATAAGTATTTGGTCACCTACAAACAAGCAAGATTTCTGGCTCTCACAGACCTGTAACTTCTTCTTTAAGAGGCTCCTCTGTCCTCCACTCATTACCTGTATTAATGGCACCTGTTTGAACTTGTTATCAGTATAAAAGACACCTGTCCACAACCTCAAACAGTCACACTCCAAACTCCACTATGGCCAAGACCAAAGAGCTGTCAAAAGACACCAGAAACAAAATTGTAGACCTGCACCAAAGTAGAGCTGGGACCAAAGTAACAAAGCCTACCATCAGTAACACACTACGCCGCCAGGGACTCAAATCCTGCAGTGCCAGACGTGTCCCCCTGCTTAAGCCAGTACATGTCCAGGCCCGTCTGAAGTTTGCTAGAGTGCATTTGGATGATCCAGAAGAGGATTGGGAGAATGTCATATGGTCAGATGAAACCAAAATAGAACTTTTTGGTAAAAAACTCAACTCGTCGTGTTTGGAGGACAAAGAATGCTGAGTTGCATCCAAAGAACACCATACCTACTGTGAAGCATGGGGGTGGAAACATCATGCTTTGGGGCTGTTTTTCTGCAAAGGGACCAGGATGACTGATCCGTGTAAAGGAAAGAATGAATGGGGCCATGTATCGTGAGATTTTGAGTGAAAACCTCCTTCCATCAGCAAGGGCATTGAATATGAAACGTGGCTGGGTCTTTCAGCATGACAATGATCCCAAACACACTGCCCGGGCAACGAAGGAGTGGCTTCGTAAGAAGCATTTCAAGGTCCTGGAGTGGCCTAGCCAGTCTCCAGATCTCAACCCATAGAAAATCTTTGGAGGGAGTTGAAAGTCTGTGTTGCCCAGCGACAGCCCCAAAACATCACTGCTCTAGAGGAGATCTGCATGGAGGAATGGGCCAAAATACCAGCAACAGTGTGTGAAAACCTTGTGAAGACTTACAGAAAACGTTTGACCTGTGTCATTGCCAACAAAGGGTATATAACAAAGTATTGAGAAACTTTTGTTATTGACCAAATACTTATTTTCCACCATAATTTGCAAATAAATCATAAAAAATCCTACAATGTGAAGCGCTTACCTATTGCAGATTCAGTCTTCCCAGCCTGGTGCAGGTCTACAATTGTGTTTCTGGTGTCCTTTGACAGCTCTTTGTCTTGGCCAGGGCCGGCCTGTCTTATAGGGCGATATGGGCGACCGCACTGCCAAACGGGAAAAGGAAGGGATTTTTTTCTAATCAATTATATCACGGCAACAGTTACGTTTCAGTGTTGTAATCTATACGTCTGACTGCCACAGTTGCCACCACTGCCACTAAATGTCGAATCATGGGCTAAAGTCGTGCTTCAAATGGCTCCACCCCCTTTTGGGGCGATTTCAGTCAGATTGACAATCGCCCAGAAACCTTCTGTCATAGACTCCCATGTAAATCTATTTTTTCAAATTTCAGAGGCCCTTTCAATACAATTCTCAATGGGTGTCTGTGGGCTTGCACTTACGCGCTTTCGTTCATACGTTACGTAACCATGAACGTAACTGATACAAAAGAGTGGATTGTTTGAAAGAAGTTTCCTTTTTGTCGGCGAACAAATGAAGATAAATTGGCAACGGAAACAATTAGGACCTTCCCAGCACCAAATTTTATAATTCCAAACAGGTTTCTACTAAAGGCGGACACGTCCGTACACGGATTTTCCAAAAATTGGTACGAACGAAAAAAAGACATTGCCACTCACTCAACTGGATGACGAGGGATACAGGCTAGCTGTCCGCCGCCACAACGATGAGGTTAGTGTTGATAATCACAAGTTTACTGGATGTGGATATGGTTGTAATAAAGGCAGTTTATTCAGAGGGTAAATATATCTGGAATCGCGTTCACGGACCCGTTCGTCAAACTCTTAAAAATGAACTTGGGCTGGGAATTGCCAGGAACCTCACGATAAGATATATGCATCAGCATTGCGCGTCTCATGATTCTATACGTATTGCGATTCGATACTGTGATTTTATTGCGCACCATATGTCTGTTGCAGAGGGATCAGAAAGCCATGAGAACGAGTTTTGATCAGTCATGGAAATAAAAGTGCTGAAAACAAATTGGCTCCCAATGTGAAAAGATTGAGAACAAGCTATGAAGGAACAATAATGGTGTTTTGGTGCAGGTACAGCCAACTAGCGCTAAAATATTGCGATATTGTCAATACAGTATATCGTAAAGTATCACTATGTAACTCGATTTCTTTCACCCCAATCCCTCAAATTAACGGTAAATAACTGAATTGTTGCCCCACATTTAGCTAAGATGATTAGCTAGCCAGCTAAAATGTTTTAGTTAGTTAGCAGTCGCATCTACAATAGTTTACTGTCAATAACATGTCTCCAAAAATGACGTGGTGTCTCCAATTGTGTTGACATTTTACAATTGCAATGCGCATCCATGAGTATCCACTTTCTGTAGCTCAGCTGGTAGAGCATGGTGCTTGTAACGCCAAGGTAGTGGGTTCGATCCCCGGGACCACCCATACACAAAAATGTATGCACGCATGACTGTAAGTCGCTTTGGATAAAAGCGTCTGCTAAATGGCATATTATTATTATTATTATTATTATCTGAAGAGAGCCCCGAAACATTGTGTGCAGACATTTTATGCAATAAATGAAGTAGGTTCAATCTAGTAGTTCTGATCTTCTGATTGGTCCTGATGAGTTGGGCGAGGTCCCCTGCAGGCTACTGTCACTGTTGCATTGGCTCTGAGTCGGGTTCTCTGTCTTCAAATGTTCAGCCTAAGAGAGGGGATTTTTGTGTGTGTGTGTGTGTGTTTAACAGTGATGATGTGTGTGTGTGTGTTTAACAGTGATGATGTGTGTGTGTGTGTGTGTGTTTGTGTGTGTGTGTCCTCAGAGCAAGAACTCGTGAGTTGGAAGAAACTGAGAGGCCTATGGCGTGGGTGTTGTCCTTGGCCACCTGCTGACAAGATAGGACCCTTTTGTCCATTGTTATTGGATAGGAACAGAACTTATAACCAGCTCCTGACCTAAATAGATCTTAGCACAACATTTTACTCAACATATCATATTCCATATTCACTATAACAAATATATTTACTACGACATTAGCAAGAACCGCCACATCCTCAGCCGGCTAATCCAGTGTGTGAAGTTTTGCGTAGTGTTTGAGTTAGCTTTGCGAGGCAAAGATGAAACTGAGGGCTCCACCAACCCTGGTAAGCCAACACTTTGAGATCAGTCAATAAATGCTTCTGGTATTGACTTATATGCTGCCCCTGTCTTCATGTTGTTGCTGGACATATCTTTTTTTAAATGTGTGTAGGTCACCTAAATCATCAGAAAAATTGCCCCTCCTGAGAATTTTTTCAGGAGCCGCCACTGGTCTTGGCCATAGTGGAGTTTGGAGTGTGACTGTTTGAGGTTGTGGACAGGTGTCTTTTATACTGATAACAAGTTCAAACAGGTGCCATTAATACAGGTAACGAGTGGAGGACAGAGGAGCCTCTTAAAGAAGAAGTTACAGGTCTGTGAGAGCCAGAAATCTTGCTTGTTTGTAGGTGACCAAATACTTATTTTCCACCATAATTTGCAAATAAATTCATAACAAATCCTACAATGTGATTTTCTGGATTTTTTTTCCTCAATTTGTCTGTCATAGTTGACGTGTACCTATGATGAAAATTACAGGCCTCTCATCTTTTAAGTGGGAGAACTTGCACAATTGGTGGCTGACTAAATACTTTTTTTCCCCACTGTGTGTGTGTGTGTGTGTGTGTGTGTGTGTGTGTGTATATATATATATATATATATATATATATATATATATATATATATATATATAGAGAGAGAGAGAGAGATGGCCCTATAAAATCTGCATTGTGGACAGAATCACGGAATCCAGACATTAAAACAGAATTCAACAATATGTTTTTTATTGAACTTATTAGAAAATGTATTAATATGCCCAATTTCATAACACATGAACAAAATGCATCAGGGATACATATTTTCTTTCGAGGCAACGCATGAATGCCCCGGTCTGTGTGCGTGCGTTTGTCTACCACTTTGTGTAACTGTTAGCGATGATGCTAATAATTATAAACGTCTTCTGGTAGATGGAAAGGCTTTCCTAAAAACCTTCTCAATTAAATGTTAACTACAAAGTAGCAAGTGCCTACCTTATATCATGATTGTTTGCATCAATGCAGTGGCGATTTGTTTAGCAAACTCTGCAATCACATGTATGCTACAGAAACACCACTTACAAAACAAGTCTCTTGCTGGTGTGCAGTTGAATTAAAGGATATCTACAACCAAAAATGACAATGTCTTTAGATTTTTCCCAAACCTCAAAAGTGGTCTCCTGGTGCGGTTTAAGCATTGTTGAGGACTTAGAACATCCAATTTGGTTGTTCAGCATATGGTCTCACAAGGGGTCTGAGGATCTCATCTCGGTACCTAATGGCAGTCAGGCTACCTCTGGCGAGCACATGGAGGGCTGTGCGGCCCCCCATGACTGACCCACTGCCAAACCGGTCATGCTGGAGGATGTTGCAGGCAGCAGAACGTTCTCCACGGCATCTCCAGACTCTGTCACGTCTGTCACATGTGCACAGTGTGAACCTGCTTTCATCTGTGAAGAGCACAGGGCGCCAGTGGCGAATTTGCCAATCTTGGTGTTCTCTGGCAAATGCCAAACATCCTGCACGGTGTTGGGCTGTAAGCAAAACCCCCACCTGTGGACGTCGGGCCCTCATACCACCCTCATGGAGTCTGTTTCTGACTGTTTGAGCAGACACATGCACATTTGTGGCCTGCTGGAGGTCATTTTTCAGGGCTCTGGCAGTGCTCCTCCTGCTCCTCCTTGCACAAAGGCGGAAGTAGCGGTCCTGCTGCTGGGTTGTTGCCCTCCTACGGCCTCCTCCACATCTCCTGATGTACTGGCCTGTCTCCTGGTAGCGCCTCCATGCTCTGGACACTACGCTGACAGACACAGCAAACATTCTTGCCACAGCTCGCATTGATGTGCCATCCTGGATGAGCTGCACTACCTGAGCCACTTGTGTGGGTTGTAGACTCAGTCTCATGCTACCACTAAAGTGGTAGCAGCATTCAAAAGTGACCAAAACATCAGCCAGGAAGCATAGGAACTGAGAAGTGGTCTGTGGTCACCACCTGCAAAACCAGTCCTTTATTGGCGGTGTCTTGCTAATTGCCTATAATTTCCACCTGTTGTCTATTCCATTTGCACAACAGCATGTGACATTTATTGTCAATCAGTGTTGCTTCCTAAGTGGACAGTTTGATTTCACAGAAGTGTGATTGACTTGGAGTTACATTGTGTTTAAGTGTTCCCTTTATTTTTTGAGAGCGAGAGAGAGAGAGGGAGAGAGAGGATTTTTATAGGGCCCTAGATATAGCGTACATACCATTTTGAGATTATAATTACAATAGATCAATACAAAAGAATGGCCCTCCCTCTTATTCATTCACAATTGGTGATTACATAATTAGGCATCATTCTCTCCCCTCACACATTCTCTCCCATCGTACTTGAACTTCATTTATTTAATCTGTTATACTGTATGTGTAAAATTTGTTTAGGTTAAGTTTCAAGGCAATTATCAACAGGGCACGGCACCTTTAACTGTCGGGGGAAGGAGGGGCATTCAAAGAGAAAAAAAAAAAAAATGAAATGCCCTCCTAAAACTGATTTATAACTCCAGTTCTGTTAGTGATAGTAAGATTCCAACAACGACAGTATGTTATATAGACTTATTTAGCAAAAGTCAAGGACGGAGGGGGGCATAACTTTAAAAATGGCAGTAATATTTAAAAACAATTCATGAGCAGTCAAATTACTGTTTTAGCGGTTCTAGTGTTGGGGTTTGGAGAAGGTAAGCTGATCCTAGATCTGTAGCTAAGGGCAAGGGGAGCGGAGGGAAGAGTAGACATGGCTGCTGTGGGTTTGTTTTACATTTCTTATTTTCCTCCACTCTCTCTCTCTCTGTCTCCGTTTGTTTACTAGCAGTCCACTCCAATTTCAGTTTCCAGACGAAAGGGAGAGGTCCCTTTATCCTGGAAACTGAGATGGCCGTGGACTTCTAGTAAACATTGTTTCCTCACTACTCTACCCCCACAACTGGTAGAAGCACAACCTATTTATTCTCGCTTTTCTCTGAAGGGATCCACATTTGTTGTACCACATAAACATATATTATTCTTACAGATTTCCAAAATGTGTTTGACAAGTAACACAGTAAAAAGATAGGGCGGTCATTACACATAAGGCTCCTCTCCAAAAGTAGCGCACTATATGGTGAACTTTGTCGCTACATGTCTGTGTCGTGACAGACGAAGTCATTGGAGATTCGGCCTTCTCTAACCTTAAACTCTCCTCCTCTTCTCCTCCTCTATAGAAAATCGACGCCCAGGCGATCGAGGAGTTCTACGGTCTAACGTCTGACATTTCTAAGAACTCTGAGTCAGGTTACATCCTGTTCTACCAGTCCCGGGACTGAACCAGCCAATGGCAGTGGCCCAAAGCTGAAACGGGCCATTGGGATTGGGACTCTGCATAGAGAGGGAGGGGCTTGGGCAGCCACAGGCCCTGCCTAGCCCACCACCTGTTTTAAATATTTAAGCTTTACAGTGGGAGCTGTGGAGTACCGAGAGGATGAATGGAGGAGGATCTTCAGCAGACAGGAGCCAACGATGCCCGAGCGACCGATCAGTTGATATGACAGGATATGACGTCATCATCGTAGAACGAAGAGCAGGTACCCGGGATTGTTATGTTTCGTCATCCTCTCTCTCCTCTTCATCATCGTCAACATCGTCCTGATTGTCTTTTTTTTGGTTTGACAGCAGATTAGAAATATATGGTGTGTTGGCTTGGCTAGCTCTCTGCTTACATGGTGTGCCATTAATGGTATGGCACCATTACTGGTGTTGAATCAATTATTGGTATCCTTGTCATATTTAGTACCACTCAGGGGCTAAACAGGATTTGGGTTTGATGAAAAGTGGATCTGCCATTTCCTGAATGTTCTCAATACTTTGTTGCCAGTTGTTTTAGTTTGGAGAGTCGAGTTTGGTCCCTTTGCAGTTCAGCAGGCCAGATCTGGCTGTGTTTTATTATATCATGGTTCGGATGCTGAAAGCTGCACATATATTACCATCTGTTTAAAGGGACACACACACACACACACACACACACACACACACACACACACACACACACACACACATACACACATACATACATACGCTCTCTAGCTTCCCCCTCTGGCAACAACAGCAAACTACACCACCAACTACAAATAACCTGCCAACCAGATATTTATCTTATATCCATCTCCTAAGCAAGCAAGTTACTCATTGGTGTCAATGGCTGTGCTTCAAATTGCAGCATATTCCCTACGTACTGCACTCTAAAAGTAGAGCAATATATATCGAGTAGGCTGTCATTTGGGACATAACCCAGCCATCCTCTTTGTGTCGTCTTTAACGCAGTATAAACCTGATTGGCTGCTGCAACATTTAGCTCCTCTTCCTGTCACCTGATCTGAACCTTCAAATCAGAGCCTGAGGTAGACAAATGTTTCCTGTTTATTTTGTATTTTTTTGAACGCACAAGTAAACCAAACATAGCGGTTTTGTTTATAATATTAAGTATGTGCTACACTGCCAGTTGGGGTAATTAACCTAACTTCACTCTTTAAAAGGCTACGTCCCAATATCTATTCGAGCACACTACCAAGTATGTAGTCCCAATACATTCTAAGTAGTACGCTGGTGTGGGTATTGGAGCAGAGCCTGTTTCTCTCAACAGAAATATACATTGATTAAGGCCCACTATTCATAAAGCATCTCAGAGTAGGAGTGCTGATCTAAGATCAGTTTTGCCTTTTAGATCTGATCCTAGATCAACACTCCTACTCTGAGACGCTTTATGAATACAGGCCCTGATCCATAGCTCTGACATGGGAGGTGTTTATGTTATGTTAGCTAGGCCCAGAGTGGGCCCTGTATTAAGTTGAATGTAAGACAGTCTGCCGTTGAAATGTACAGTAAGAAACTGGCTGCTTATTGGTTGGCCCATACATAGGGCCTGGAGTTTTTACCTATCCTGACCAATACTAGATATATAGGTTACGTCCTAAATGGCACCCTATTCCCTACATAGTGCGCTATTTTTGACCAGGTCACATAGGGACTCAGCTATAGTCTATGACAAGGGCCCAGAGTTCTCAAATCTCAAACACACCCCACCAGTTGGAGACCTAGGCTGTGTGTCAAATGGCACCCTATTCACTACATAGTGCACTACCTTTGTCTAGAGCCCTAATGGGTATAGTGTGCCATTTTGTGTATTTAGGCTGTGCTCTGCAACCATATATTAATTCATATTTTAACACATAAACCATTCCTTTATGTGTGATCAAATCTAACTGTCTAAGACATGCTGCTTGTCTTTAAGGTTAACTAATTACTAATATGAGATTGTCATTTGTGAAGGACTAAAACTGAAAAATGTTAGATTGTGTATAGAGTTGCAAAACTCCGGTAACTTTCCCAAAATGCAAAGGTTTTCCAGAAATCCTGTCTGGAAGATTTGCAGAAATCAAGAAGAAATAAGCTGGAAATCCGGAATCCACCAACCAGGAATTCTGGAGAATCTAGGAATTTGGGGGAAATTACAGGAGTTTTGCGAACCCTAACTAAACTGATATTAAAGGGCAATTCAACCACTTTTCAACCTAATTTTCATTATCTTCAGCACAATACCATTGTCTAGATATGTGAAAAATGCAGATTTCTACGTTAAGTTCTACCCAATGACATCATTAAATGTTAAAACATTTTCAAACAGTGATTTGCGGTGAAGTGGGGAGCAAGAAAATACATTTACATTTTGCAGACACTCTTATCCAGAGCGACTTACAGTTAGTGCATACATCATTATTTTATATATATATATATTTTTTTTTACTGGCCCCCCGTGGGAAATGAACCCACAACCCTGGCGTTGCAAACGCCATGCTCAACCAACTGAGCTACATCCCTGCCGGCCATTCCCTCCCCTATCCTGGACGACGCTGGGCCAATTGTGCGCCGCCCCATGGGTCTCCCGGTCACGGCCGGCTTCGACAGAGCCTGGATTCGAACCAGGATCTCTAGTGGCACAGCTAGCACTGCAATACAGTGCCTTAGACCACTGCGCCACTCGGGAGATTACCCTCCCTCTGGCTAAATCAAATTGAAATATTTGTAACATGCTTTGTAAAACAACAGCGAAATGCTTACTTCCTAACAATGTAGAGAAAAAAAAGGAGAACTAACAGAAAAATAATAACATGAGGAATAAATACACAATGGGTAATGATAACTTGGTACCAGTACTGAGGCGAGAAAGTCTTTGCAGGTTTTGAAAAAAGTTGTTGTACTTTTAATCGTACCCTGTGATGTCACAGAGAAGCGTTATTTTTTTACCTTAACTTTTTAACCAGAGATCATTGGGCTCCCGAGTGTCGCAGCGGTCTAAGGCACTGCATCTCAGTGCTTGAGGCGTCACTACAGACCCCCTGATTCGATTCCAGGCTGTATCACAACCGGCCGTGATTGGGAGTCCCATAGGGCGGCGCACAATTGGCCCAGCGTCGTCCGGGTTTGGCCGGTGTAGGCCATCATTGTAAATAAGAATTTGTTCTTAACTGACTTGCCTAGTTAAATAAAGGTAAAATATATTTTTTTTGAAATACGTCGTTTTCACATATGTAGACACTGGTATGGTGCTGGAGATATGAGGTTGAAAAAGGGGTGGAATTGCCCTTTAAATGTAAGATTGTGTGACTTGCTACTCTACATAGAACGCGTTTGGAGTGTGGGAGAGCTAAACTCATTAATGATTGAACTTAGTAATAGCCTATCTATCTAGAGTATCTACCTAGTACACTCCGCTAGCCTCTAGCCTATAGGGTTCACTGTCACTGTCTTAGTCCCAAATGGAACCCTATATCTTTTGTAGTGCACTACTTTTCACCAGGGCCCATAAGGAATAGGGTGCCATTTGGGACGCACTTCTGTCTACCCTGTCTGTCTGGGTCTCTGTACTCCCTAACCTTTGGTGTGTCTGTGTGTAGTAGGTGAGTGAAGTGAGGCGTGGCATACCTGAGGTGTGTGCGTGCGTATATATAAACAGTAGTTTGACCCCTTTCTATCCGGGTTGTTTGGGGTTGCTGCTGACAGTGCAACTGACACACACACACACATGGCCAATTATCACGCTTGGGTTGATTTGTGTTTGAAGTGAGCGACCGCGAGCACACGCCGCAGGACACGCATGGCTGGACACAGTACATAGAAACAGGTGTCACACAGCTTTCCATAGCGTGTATTCCAGCCTAACTGACAGAGCGACATGTAATGTAGCCTAATGTTAAAGGTAGACTCAGTGAAATGATGTTGCCACAAACAGCACCGCCGATATTTGCGATGAGCGAGATGCAAGACTTCGCTCGCACACAATATTTGCGAATGTGGATGGGTTTGCTTCACACAGATGTTTAGCCGCGCGCTTCAACGCTCTTAGTTGCGGAAATGTACCCACTATGCGGTTTACTTTGTGCACCTACGTCATATCGCTGAGTCTACCTTTAGCAGCAGTGAATGGTATTTTAGATCTAGCAGCTTCAGATGTAACTAACAAACTACACTGGTCTGCAATGCATCCCGTTTTGCTTCCTGGGTGCGTATCAATAGTCTAACGTGGCTTCCTCTCCTCGTCTCCTCTCCTCTCCTTCATCTGCAGTGACGTGTAAAACCTAGGTAGGGGACAGCAACATTTTCTATCCATTTCCAGGGATTTGCTTTAACCAGTCCAGTTCTTTTCACCTCAGTGTAGATCAGTGGTAGTCACTAATATTTCAGAGGGAGACACTTTTGTAGGACAAAATCACTGGGCGAGTCGTCATACCCATCAGAGAATGGGGGTAGAGGGGGTCACAAAGTCAAATTGTACATTATATTAAATGGATTTATACATGATATTTAAGATACTATTAACATAGACCATCAGTATATTTGATTATCTATTTTTGGAAACTTGGGGGTATCAGAAACAAAATAATTTGAATGTTGAAATGCATCAGAAAAGTATTGGAAAACATCATGGATGATAATCAAACCATCCTATAAGATCATTTGTGGAGAATCAATTCATTTCCCTCAGTTATTCTGTGCAGATTCATCACTCTCCCTTCTAACAAGCCCTGCAAAGCTTTGTAGGTGGTAATCGCTCCAACCGTTCAAAATCTAGAGCAAAATGTGTAGGAAGAAAACGATTTCAAGATGCGCTAGAAACTATTTTACTGCTGGGTTTGTCCCTTGATTCTACCAAGTAAGCGTCGCATTCAGCTGACTGAGGAAAACACAACACATTCTTTCAGATTATTGCAGCGTGTCGGCAATTAAGTCACAGAGCCGCATGTCGCGAGCCGCGCAATGACTGACTGGTTTAGACTAAGGAGAGGAGAGGAGGCTATGTTAGACTATTGAGACCCAGCCCTCATGTCTTGGAGGAGTTCTAGGATCTGTGGGATCAATAAACCCTAACCTTTACCATTAGGTTGAAAACATCTTAAACTGACCTTTAGATTAGTGTCTTAATGCAACTTCATCTGTTTATTTTTCTTCTAAAGAAATTCTCTGTATGTACTGACACATACTGATTGTGTCCCAAATGATGCCCTTTTCCCTATGTAGTACGCATCCACCACCATACCTCCATAAACTTGATGAGAGGGGTAGTGATGGTTTAGAAGACAAGGGTGGGAACAACTCAAATTAAAACTAGGGTCTGTAGTTTTTATTTTATTTTAAGTATTATTATTGTTAACTTTTTCCTAGATGTTCACTTTTTATATATATTTTACTAATTTAGTCCTACAATTGTTGTGTAGGCAGCTGAGATGAATGGGGTTGTGATTTTATTTGGGGTTATATTTGAGAGATAATGACTGTGTCCCAAATGGCACCCTATCCCCTATGTAGTGCACTACTTTTGACCAGGGCCCATAGGGCTGTCAAAAGTAGTGCACTATATAGGGTACTGTGTCAAAAGTAGTGCACTACATAGGGAATAGGGTGCAATGTGGGACATAAGCATTGAAAATGTGTAAATTATAAAGATGTTATTATTGGAGTATAATTAATTGCTTGCTTGAAATAAGAGGTCCATAGGTTAGTATGGTTGATAATGTTAAATTACAACCAGGAAGTTTTTCCTGACTGTGACCTGACCAGGAAAAACCCCTGGTCCTAGAAATATTACCTGGGGGGGTAATTTCATTTAAATCCCAGTCAACTAAACTTGCCATGGGGGATTTGTCCATAGAGGTCCACTTCACTTCTATAACTCGCCAAGAATGTAAATGGAATTTAACCCTGCTCTTCTGTGTAAAGTGATTAAGTTGATGTGCACTTTGAGAAGGGGAGGAGGGTTTATTGGGGTGTAGAGTGAGACGTCGCGGCCCGGATGCAGTGAAAAGTGGAAGAAAATAATGTTTTGGTCTCCAATAAATAAAAAAAAGAACTGGTTTATGATGGGAAAAGTGTCTCTCTTTCTCTCTCTGTTGTATGTGTGCACTAGTTTGGTTACATTGCACATTTTTATAAGTAGAATATTTACAGAATTTGGCTGGTAAAGCTGATTTGATTTCCTCAGGGGTTGCTGCGGTGTCTCCACTGACCCATATTGTTCTACACGGTCATGTCTTTTCCATAACTAGATGAAATTCAAAAAATACAGAATTTCCCCAAACATTACGAGGGATATACTTGAGAATTAAAACAAGATTATTCCTGCTTCACTAAGCTATGAATCAACAACTGTTTTGTGTTTCTAAATCTGTTTTACCCACAAGGGTTTCCCCCCCCCCAATGGATTCAATAAAGGATGACAAAGCAACAATTGTACATTTAATTCAGGTACATAGATACATTCCGAGATACATGTAAGAAAATACAGTTTGAAGTCTAGCTACACCTCGAGGGGATATTGCTTGCTTGTTTACAAAGTATAGAAAAGTATTGCCAAGTAAAAATATATATATATACTGTATATGTAATGGTACAAGAGTTAAGGAGAGAGAACTTCATATTTACAGGATAGCAAGCACCTCATGGAACAAGTCGTTTGTTCGATAACAACACTGAAATGCAATGAGGTCCAGAACAAATACAGAGACTGATGCATACACAGGCCTACATATTTTTATATACATACAAAAACGAGACAAAATACTGCATTTACATGGTAGGAACAGATTTACTATAAGTAGAAGTTGTCTCAATCCTCAGCCCAATAGAGTTGTCAGGTAGTTCAGTTAATTTGGTTTCTTAGTTATTGAACATATGGGCTCTCAATGGCCACATTGTCCCTGGTAGTTAATTAAAATAGTCCTGTGAAGCATGATCAATTCCAGACAGAAACGGTGTATATAGGCCCTATCGTGTGGCAAAGGTCGCCCCCTTGTGGAACAGGAAGAAGAGGCCCAATTTCTAGTTATTTACAGCAGAAGATGAAGCAAACACATTGAATGATTATATACTTTTCTGGACATCTGAAAAACTGCACGTTGTCATGGCAACCAATATTTCAAACCCAATATATGAGCTTCGAGAAAATTGTATTAATTTCCGATTGAACCGACATATGCAGCGTTTACCGTGAATGCAGTCTCCGCTAGCACGGGAACATTGTCTTAAAATGTCAATCGGGCTATAACGTGAAACTTCACTGCTACGGATTAAATCGAGCCTAGTCTTCATGGTTTAAAATAGTGATGTATTTACAGCGTGATGGCATTGCCCATCGTCTCCCTAGTCTTCAACCGTATCACACATACGAGTTGAGTTAGCCAACAAAGGCTTCAGAATATAGATGATCATAAAGGATACATCCACTGACGTTTTTTCTGGCTGTTAGATTGGATGGAGCTCAGCGTAGCATCACGAGAGATCACGGATAAATTGAGGGATAGAGGGATGGGGATATAAACGCTATAGTAAAAAAAAAAGACTTTGTAATGAAATACCCATATAAATTCACACGTTACAACAGTGTGTGTGTGCGCGACTATATTTGCACTCGTATGAATACGTATAAACACTCTTCACCCGTGTCTACAACATTCGCAGAGTACGACCCTACTTTACACAGAAAGCGGCACAGGTCCTAATCCAGGCACTTGTCATCTCCCGTCTGGATTACTGCAACTCGCTGTTGGCTGGGCTCCCTGCATGTGCCATTAAACCCCTACAATTTATCCAGAACGCTGCAGCCCGTCTGGTGTTCAACCTTCCCAAATTCTCTCATGTCACCCCGCTCCTCCGCACACTCCACTGGCTTCCAGTTGAAGCTCGCATCTACTACAAAACCATGGTGCTTGCCTACGGAGTTGTGAGGGGAACGGCACCTCCTTATCTTCAGGCTCTGAATCAGACCCTACACCCAAACGAGGGCACTACGTTCAACCACCTCTGGCCTGCTAGCCCCCCTATCTCTACGGAAGCACAGTTCCCGCTCAGCCCAGTCAAAGCTATTCGCTGCTCTGGCACCCCAATTGTGGAACAAGCTCCCCCACGACAGCGGAGTTACTCACCACCTTCCGGAGACACTTGAAACCCTACCTCTTTAAGGAATACCTGGAATCGTCTAACAGTAATCCTTCTACCACCCCCCCCTCCCCTCCTCCTCCTCCTCCCCCCCCCCCCCCCCCCTCCCCCAGTGGTGGTTGTCCCACTGGCTATCCTAATTGAATGCACCAATTTGTAAGTCACTCTGGATAAGAGCGTCTGCTAAATGACTTAAATGTAATGTAAAATGTCCCTCAACATGGTCCAACCACCTCCCAGCCACCCAGAAATGACAATAGGGCAGACCAGGCAAAGGCATGGTGGACCACTCCAACCATTTATAGTCCCAATCCGCCCTGCACCCACCCCTCCATACCACCCACCAGTGTTCGAACCTATCATACCATAGTCTCAGACCCTGAGCCCTTGCCTGTGAAGAAGTCCCAAAAATGACTCGTATGACTAGGAGAGGGTTTCTCTTTCTCCTCCTGGGGTGTCTGCCTCACCCAGATACTGTTTTCCCCCTGTCCTCCCAGGCTGGAGCATGAGGCAGCCCCCAGGGTGAAGCTCAGACCTTCGCTGTGCTCTGGGTGGACTCTGGAGCTACTGGAGGGCTGGGCCAGACTCAGTAGGTTGTGGTGGGAGTGGAACTGTCTCATCTGACCAATGGATTTAGACGGGATCTCGCTGGAACCTGGTGAGGGAGAGGTGTTATTACAATGCTACTTTGTTGTTACAATGTTATCAAGCTCTTAACAGAATAATAAGATCAGTATTTAGGCCAGGCACCCAACCCTAAAATATATATTTTTAAAAATCTTAATCATATCACAATCAACTTTTAACAGTTGAATGTACACAAATATAATACTTTTTTGTATTAACATTTTCCAGAAATATTTTATTAAAATATGCAAATTAGGCGATGGTCAGTAAATATGCCCATATTTGCGCATCATGCAGATCTATTTTTCTGGGCACTGGATGAAGTCAGCCTAAATATTTTGGTTTAATTTTGTTAAGACACTCCAGGACCAGATTTGTCCAGAGTGACTTGTGGATAAATACTTTTAAAATCTAAAAACTTACGTAAAATGTATTTTTGGCACATTTTCCCCCTAAGAAAATGTTATCTAGAATAAAACATTTACAACATATCAACAATTCCCCCTGGGGAAGTCTGGAGAATATATCTAAGCATAACCACACAAAATGTGGTGAATGCAGATGCCTCTGAAGAGGAAAAAATGTGGGAAGTCTAACTGCCATTTCCCAAAAGTCAAAGACAAGTACACTGAAATTAGACTACCAAATGACAAACCCCTATTTAGACCCAATCACCATCTCTTCTAAGTTACTAAATTTAGTCCAGTTTGTAATGTTCTCTATGAAATGGGCTTTTACATTATTGATGTGTCCATTTTAAAGTGGTTAAAATTCATAAAAATGGTGATGACAGTAGTATGATAAACTAACGAAAATATACATTTGCATCCATTTTTTTAATATATATTTTGAAAATACAAAATGGACCAAAATACCAACAAATCTCAAAATCGATAGGTAGATGCAAAAATTTAATTTCAGCCTGTGGTGCCTTAACCCTAACCCTAGTGTGGCAGACCTGAGGGTTTGATCAAGACATTTACACAGATCAGACACAAGTGTGATACCTCAGTTTCAAGGTGTTTATTTAAAACAATAAAGAAAAAGAAAATAAACCAGTCTCCTCCTGGAGACCTCTTCCGGGTTACCGCCTTCTGGGCTCCGGGGAATGCTGTCTCCTCTGGGGTAGATAACCAAGCCCCTCGGTTCTATCAGACCGTGAGGACGTCTGTCTGGAAGCAACCTCTCATTACCTCCAACCCTCCCATGTGCTGCCCTCCTTGCAGCTTTATGGGCCCCATATGGCTGGTGAGTAATCAGCCCCTTGATTACTCACCAGCCTCAATCAGCCCCAATTAGTCCTGGCCGTCGAGACCTGGCACGTCCAGCAGAGGGAGCCACCTCCGCGTGATGTAGGCCTCGACGAGTCTGTCACCAGGCCTCGACGAGTCTCCCCCTTGTGGCTTGTCCGCGGAACGCCACACTGGCTTCATGTCCACACCCCGGCTCAACCCTAGATTCATGTCTACACTGCGGCTCAACCCTAATCCTAACCATAGCACGTCCACACCTCGGCTCACCCCTAACCCTAACTTTAACCCTAGCTGGATGTTGCATAACAATAGAGCTAATAAAGGTGTAGTGACCCCATAAATATCGATAACTCACGTCCCGCTAAGTACACTGAACAAAAATATAAATGCAACATGCAACAATTTCAAAGACTTTACTGAGTTAAAGTTCATATAAGCAAATCAGTCAATTGAAAGAAATTAATTAGATGTTAATCTATGGATTTCACGACTGGGAATACAGACATGCATCTGTTGGTCACAGATACCAAAAAATAAAAAAGTAGGGGCGTGGATCAGAAAACCAGTCAGTATCTGGTGTGACCACCATTTGCCTCAAGCAGCGTGAGACTTGATCAGGCTATTGATTGTGGCCTGTGGAATGTTGTCCCACTCCTCTTCAATGGCTGCGCAAAGTTGCTAGATATTGGCCGGAACTGGAACACGCTGTCATACATGTAGATCCAGAGCATCCCAAACATGCTCAATGGGTGACATGTCTGGTGAGTATGCAGGCCATGGAAGAACTGGGACATTTTCAGCTTCCAGGAATTGTGTACAGATTGTTGCGACATGGGGCTGTGCATTATCATGCTGAAACATGAGGTGATGGCGTCGGATGCATGGCACGACAATAGGCCTCAGGATCTCGTCATGTACAGTGCATTCGGAAATTATTCAGACATTACGTTACAGCCTTATTCTAAAATTGATAAAATATTTTTTTCCCTCATCAATATACAAACAATACCCCATAATGACAAAGCAAAAACAGGTATTTTTGAAATTTTTGCAAATGTATTCCAAATAAAAAACAAAAATACCTTATTTACATAAGTATTCAGGCCCTTTGCTATGAGACTCGAAATTGAGCTCAGGTGCATCCTGTTTCCATTGATCATCCTTGAGATGTTTCTACAACTTGATTGGAGTCCACCTGTGGTAAATTCAATTAATTGGACATGATTTGGAAAGGCACACACCTGTCTATATAAGGTCCCACAGTTGACAGTGCATGTCAGAGCAAAAACCAAGCTATGAGGTCGAAGGAATTGTCCGTAGAGCTCCGAGACAGGATTGTGTCAAGGCACAGATCTGGGGAAGGGTACCAAAACATTTCTGCAGCATTGAAGGTCCCCAAGAACACAGTGGCCTCCATCATTCTTAAATGGAAGAAGCTTGGAACCACCAAGACTCTTCCGAGAGCTGGTCGCCCGGCCAAACTGAGCAATTGGGGGAGAAAGGCCTTGGTCAGGGAGGTGACCAAGAACCCGATGGTCACTCTGACAAAGCTCCAGAGTTCCACTGTGGAGACAGTAGACCCTTCCAGAAGGACAACCATCTCTGCAGCACTCCACCAATCAGGCCTTTATGGTAGAGTGGCCAGACAGAAGCCACTCCTCAGTAAAAGGCAAATGACAGCCCACTTGGAGTTTGACAAAAGGCACCTAAAGGACTCTCAGATCATGAGAAAGAAGATTATCTGGTCTGATGAAATCAAGATTGAACTCTTTCACCTGAATGCCAAGCGTCACGTCTGGAGGAAACATGGCACCATCCCTATGTTGAAGCATGGTGGTGGCAGCATCATGCTGTGGGGATGTTTTTCAGCGGCAGGAACTGGGAGACTAGTCAGGATCGAGGGAAAGATGAACGGAACAAAGTACAAAGAGATCCTTGATGAAAACCTGCTACAGAGCGCTCAGGACCTCAGACTGGGGCGAAGGTTCACCTTCCAACAAGACAACGACCTTAAGCACACAGCCAAGACAACGCAGGAGTGGCTTTGGGACATGTCTCTGAATGTCCTTGAGTGGCCCAGCCAGAGCCCAGACTTGAACCCGATCTAACATCTCTTGAGAGACTTGAAAATAGCTGTGCGGCGACGCTCCCCATCCAACCTGACAGAGCTTGAAAGGATATGCAGAGAACAATGGGAGAAACTCCCCAAATACAGGTGTGCCAAGCTTGTAGCGTCATACCCAAGAAGAATCAAGGCTGTAATCGCTGCCAAAGGTGCTTCAACAAAGTACAGAGTAAAGGGTCTGAATACTTATGTAAATGTTATATTTCCGTTTTTGCTTTGTCATTATGGGGTATTCTGTGTAGATTGATGAGAATTGATTATTTTTTAAATACGTTTTAGATTAAGGCTGTAACGTAACAAAATGTGGAAAAAGTCAAGGTGTCTGAATACTTTCCGAATACACTGTATGTGTGACTTAACATTCCTGTTGTGGTTGAGTCTACCTGCTATGGGTGTAATAAAAGAGGTGGGACCCCGTAAGAATGAGTACCTTCCGTTTCCTGTTGTGGTGGTGTCAGAAGACGTCCAGGACACTGTTTAAACCTAAACCCAAACCTGATCCTCAACCTAGACCTAAACTCGATGACTTACGTTTTTTGTTGTTATGGTGGCGTTGGAGGACGTCGAGGTTGAGGAACACCTCTGTGGTCAGCCTGCCGTCCCCGGGCTCGTCGGGGTTGAAGAGGAGCAAGGGGGGCTCCAGGGGTGACAGGCTACCACTAGACGCCCCTACAGAGTCCAGAGATGCCCCCGTGTCCCGCCGACCCCCCGCTGTGTCTGCCGTCTCCACCGTCAGGTGACTGCCACTGTGGGAGCGGGGAGAGGGGGTAAGAGGAGAGGAGGGGAAAGAAAGGAGAGGAACGGAGAGAGAAATGGGGGAGGAGAGCAAGTAGAGGGAGTAGAGATTAGAGTATTTTATTATCCACGTTGCAAAAAGTCTTGCAGCGCCACAAATAGAGCTATTGAAACATGCTCAATAAACACACAACACTAAGACTCAGAGACAACTGAAGTGCTGATCCAGAATCAGTTTAGCCTTTTAGATCATAGTAAATAAGAATATATGGACAGGCTGGACCTAATCCGAGATCAGCATTCCTACGCCGAGACTCTTTGTAAATATGGGCCCTGAAGTGTACACCTACCTGATTTTCCTGCGAAGGAGATAGTCGATGATTTCAGGATCTGTCTGGATGAGACTCATCAGCACCTCCTGCTGGAGCTCTGCTGTCACCTAGGGAGATGAGGACAGGAGGGTGACCCACACACACGTGCTTGCGCACGCTAACACACACAGTGGTGTAAAGTACTTTAAAGTGCTACTTAAATAGATTTTGGGGGTATCTGTACTTTACTATTTATATTTAGGACAACTTTTACTCCACTACATTACTAAAGAAATAAGGTACTTTTTACTCCATACATTTTCCCTGACACCCAAAAGTACTCGTTACATTTTGACTGCTTAGCAGGACAGGGAAATGGTCAATTTCACACACTTATCAAGAGAACATCCCAGGTCATCCCTACTGCCTCTGATCTGGCGGACTCACTAAACACAAATGCTTCGTTTGTAAATTATGTCTGAGTGTCGGAGTATGCCCCTGGCTATCCGTACATTTAAAAAACCTGAAACCCACCCACACACAACCACACACTCCAACTACCGTACCGTGAACAGTCGTCTGTAGTTCTGTATAAGGTGCAGGGTGACGTTGATGATGGCAGCGCTGTCCACAATGCCCATGGCGTGGGGACTCATCTCCCTGTCCCCTCCGCCTCTCTCCCCCTGCAGCAGGTTGGGACCAAAGATCACTGCCAGGTTGGTTGCTGTCATCTTGTTGCCGGGGAACTGCAGGGAAAGAGTTAGGGAGAGAGAGGTTAGGGGAGAGACCGCATATTAGGTCTACCTACTGTGTAGGCTAGGCTAGTTAGTGTGAGCTACAGAAAGAGAGAGGCGTTAGTAGACAGTATATAATATAGAAAGGGTCTCGAGAGACAGAGAGAGAGAGAGAGAAGCTAGTGTGTTGAGGACGGACAGATGCTGACAGAGTAAGACAGACAGAAAGAGAAACGGACAAACTGACAGAAAAAATATGGACAGAATGATATACAGTCCCATGACTTGTATACTAAGTTGTGGAAGCGACAGACACTCACGGACCCCCCCCCCCCCCCCCCCTCACCCCACCCTCATTTGGGACTAACCTCCTGATGCTGTGGTCCTATGGTGTCCTGTGCATGGCTCTCTACGGTGTGTAACAGGGTGAGGAGGCGGAGCAGGGTATCACAGTTACATGGGGGTAACAGGTAGAGCAGCTGCTGGAGGTACAGGAGCTGGTCTGTCCCTCGCAGAACTGAGAGAGAGAGAGAGAGGAGCAAGAAGAGACCTTGGTGAGCATAAATTCACTTTGTGAATTTACCAGTAGGAAATGATAACGGTTCGTACAGCTAGTGTGTTTCGTATAGGTTCATGTGTGTGTGTGTGTGCGCGCGTCGTACGGTTGGCGTGTAGGAAGGCAGCGTAGAGCTCTCTTGGCAGTAGAGGGTCAGGCATGTCTCTGAGGAACTCCTTCAGTAATGCTGCTACATCATGGACACTGTGCTCTTCATCCAGACACACATCTGTTCCTATGTCAAAGTCCTCACGCAGCTGGGTGGGGCAAACACACATCAGCACCATATCAGAACACACACACACACACACACACACACTAGAACGAGCAGAGAGACATACACAGACACACACTTAAAAGGCAGTGGCAACGGATACACACACACAAGGATGCACAGTTCGAGGCAGCACCCATGTGAGAGTCAGCACGCACACACACATAAATCACAACCAGACACATACACAAATAAGTTCACATGCACCGGCCACACACAGTATAAGGTCAGTTTCCCATGTGACACATTTCTTTTTAACAGGAAATGAAAGGGATCAACGGCCCTGGGTACAAAGTATACAGCAGAAGAGAAGTACATCTGCCACAACATCAACACACTGGCTAGTACTACCTAGTAGGCATAAATAACTACTGTATAAAGTTAAGGTAAAGCACAATTCTGCTGTAGTTGGGCTAACATTTGTGTACTATGGAGAGCAAATGTACATCAATACACTGGCTAGTAAATAGGCCTAAACAAGTGGGAGAGCTAATTGGAACGTTGAAGACATTAACATTTATGTGTGGTGAGCAAAAATACTCACCTGCCGAACTCTCTTTTTGGAGCTCCCAATACGAAAGATCCCCACAGTTTGTAGACCTGTGGAGAAGGAAAGAAAGGTACTTCAGATTATTGCGATACACCAAGATCTCTCAATATTCTATCCCATATATTGTACACTTTAGAAGTGTCAGAGAGGTGGTTCAATAAACCACACTCACATGATGAGTAACCTTGCTTAAGACCTGAAGACTTATGTTAGCTCCCTGATCTAATGCCTAAGCTGTAGCTAAGTGGGCTAACATAGTCACATCAGCAGACAGCCGTGTCTCACCGTATCTCTCTATGTGGCAGCAGCACCTCTCCAACACACGGGGAACCTGTCTATAGATGGGGTTGAGGCTCAGCTTGGTCTGGGTCCGCCCCCCGGCACCTGCTGCAGTCTTCTTCAGCTCCAGCTCTGCTGGGTGGGACAGCTGCAGCGCCTCCAACAGGCGGGACTGACTCTCTACAAGATCTGAGATGGAGTCCACTGACAGGCCACCCTGTAGGGGGGAGAAGGGGAAGGCGGGAGGAGAGGGAGAGAGAGATTAAGCATTTCAAGTTCAAGTTTCAAAACCTTTAGGAGTTGATTAAAAGGGAGAGTGAAAAACAGAGGGATGAGAATAAAGAGTAGGAGAGGAACGATAGTAGGAATGAAGAGAGGGAGACAGATGAGTGAGGATCACCGGGAAGAGATGAGAGAGCGGGAAGGAGAGAGGAATATTAGGAAATGATGGATGAGAAGGAAGGAGAGGGAGTGAAGGAACAGAAGAACGAGGGTGTGAGAGGGTAAATAGATGGGTGATGGAGAGGGGGTAAAAGTAAAGAGAAACTATTATTTCAACAATATTTTTCCTGGCTTTCAAAAAAGATTTCCTTTAGTTGATCATAGAACAAAATTCTGCCAGTTGCCATTAAAACTTTTTTGCAAAACTATCCAGTTAGTGTAGGGATGAATATGACATTTTCCCTGGGTAAAATAATGAGGTAAAACATTTAAAGAATTCAAGTTTTAATTTTTGGGTGAAATGTTCTGGGTTTCTTCAGGATAGTGTTCTCATTACTAATTATATTATTTATTTGTCGGCCATTTATTTGCGTTCCCTTTGATTCCTGTTTTCCTGTGTCTCCATCTTTCCCAGTAGTGGAAGTCTAGTATGTGTGTGTATGCGTAACTGATTATTTTTTCATGTAACTGTAATCAGTAACAGATTACATTTTATCAAGTAATCCGCCCAACGTGTGTGTGTGTGTGTATAAACAAGTTGCTGCTACTGCCATTTCCATCTACTCCAGTCAACTTCCTTCTATCTCTTGGATATGGAACCTAGAAAAACACAACTACCGCCCTTTAACATTCAAGCTTTAAATAAAGATTTCTATGGAAACCTGAGTCATGCAAGCCCTTAGGGTGCATCTCAATCATAGCCACAGGAAGTAGGGGTGCTGCAGCAATTATGTATTATTATAATTTGTATTTCCCACCAAATGAGTGCACTAGGCCTTTATTACTGCAGTATGAGCGGAGAACAATACTCGTCAGTAGGGCGGAGAAAAGCATCCCAACCCCAAAATATTTTCCCGCAGCCATGATCTCAATAGTCTAAAGCAGATTCCTCTCCTCGTCTACGTTCCTTCCTCTGTTTTGATTTGAAACGTGTGTGTCAGGGTCTTTCACTTTCCAAAGTAAATGTGAATCAGAAATAGTAAAAAGCATTGCTACACCGAATAATTAGTCAACTCAACCTTCTTGTATCTCTTAGATGTAGGAAGTACAATCACACAAAAATCTCCCATCAACATCAATGCATAATTTACACAGAAGTTAAGTTATGCATGAGTAACCTGGTCCCGGATTCGTTTGTGCTGTCTCTTATTGTCTTTGTCACATTTGGCAGCACATTCAGAATTCAGTGTAAATTAGGTTAGGTTTGGGCCCTAATTAAAGGGTGCATCTCAAACGTGCCTTCCTCGTCTCTATCCCTTCATTCTGTTCTGACGTGAAAACAAATACAGTATCAGGCCCCTTAACCCTGGCTAGTAATGACAGTGAGTTAGAGCCACCAGCAGAGAAGGTGTCTGAGCTCTTACCCAGACCAGCAGGACAGCAGGTTAGAGCGCAGCATGATACAGATATTAACACAGCAGGGGCTCAACTTAAATACACACACACACAGACTCTATGCCCGAATGCATGCACGCATGTGCACACAGTATTTGCTCTGCTAATATTTTGACTGTGTTGCTGTAACAAACAACGGTCTGACTCCATACCAGGAAAATGAATTGATTGTGAGAATGTTTGATGGAGAGACAGCCAGATAGAGGGCAGACAGATTTAACTGAATGTTCCTTGTGTGCATCTCCAATGGCACCCTATTCCCTATATAGTGCACTACACGGTGCCATTTGGAATGCAGACCTTGTTTCATTTTCCAATATCATTAACATTACATTTACAACATTGATTACCGGGGTCGGGGTGCTGAGAGAGTAATACTGATAGTCATCGTTGAACTTCTGTACCCCAGATTTTTGTTGAAGTTGGGTATATTGTTATATTGTTAAAGTAAAACAACTCAGATGTATTTTTGAACGGATATGTTTGGATCAGTTTCACCTAAGTTACAGTATTTCACAATAACCACATTCTTAGGACTACGGAATGTGCTGGCTAGTACGTTCAAGTGAAAAATGCCTACATTAGAAATGTTTGATTATCTTGGAGGAGATATGTCAGCGTGGTCATGTTTTGAAACCGTAGCTTGAAGTTGATAAGTCATGGTTGACAAATGTTTGTTGGATTTTTGACTGCTCTTTTGAAAGCCAAAGAGAGGTCTGCATATTTCAGACAAAAGTAAAGCCCAGACATACAGACGAGCATTTACATCTACTTGTCTCTGTGTGTGTGTCTCTGTATGTGTGTGTGCGCGCGTCTGCGCTCTCCAACTCCAACTCACCCGTCTCTGCACTCTAGCCTTCTTATCCAGGAACCTGGGTGAGAGTGGCTTGCTGTGCAGCGGCAGTGCTGATGATGATGAAGATGTAGCCGTGCTACAGAGGGGTTTATTCCCGTTGCTCTGCTGCTGTTTCTCAGCCCGGAACCACAGGACGCTGGCCTCTAGATCCAGGCAGTCTCTCCGACTCTCCTTCAGAGCAAATCAAATCAAACTTTATTTAAAGTGCATAATTTTATAATCACAACACACTTTACAGTAAATAGAACTAAAGTAAAGGTTGGTCGTCTGCCTTTTCTAGTGTGCGGTTTTTACACTTGTTTTTGCATACGTGTTTTTTTTCTGTATTTTTCACACTTTACAGTAAGACAATCTATTGAAGTAGATTAACAAATAAACCTTCAGAGCATCCTGACGCTGCTTGTATGCCCGGTCGTTGGCTATCACTTGGGAGAGAGGGATGCCAAATGCCTTGGCGGCCGTCTCTGTGGGATGAAGGAAGAGGTCAAAAGTGGTATGGATGGAGGAAAGGAAATAGGGATAGATAGGGAAGGAGAGAGAGGGAAGAACAGATATTTCGTTTCAGTAACATTTAAACTATCTACTAACCCTAACCTTAACCCTTATCCTAAAAAAATATATAAATATAAATTTCTCACCCATCTACACACAATACCCCATAATGACAAAGTGAAAACATGTTTTTAGAAATGTTTGCAAATGTACAGAAATATCTAATTTACATAAGCATTCACACCCCTGAGTCAATACTTTGTAGAAGCACCTTTGGCGACGATTACAGCTTTGAGTTGTCGGGTACGTCTGTATCAGCTTTGCACATCTGGATTTTTTCCCATTCTTCCTTGCAGATTTTCTCAAACTCTGTTAACTTAGATGGGGAGCGGCACTGAACATCAATCTTCAACTCTTTCCACAGATTTTCAATGGGATCCAAGTCTGGGCTTTGGCTGGGCCACTCTAGGACTATCACATTCTTGTTCTGAAGCTATTCCAGCGTTGCTTTGGCTGTATGCTTGGGGTCATTGTCCTGTTGGAACGCATATCTTCGCCCCAGTCTAAGGCCATTTGCACTCTGAAGCAGGTTCTCATCAAGGATTTGCCTGTATTTGGCTCCATTCATTGTTCCCTCTATCCTTACCAGTCTCCCAGTCCCTGCCGCTGAAAAGCATCCCCATAGCATGATGCTTCCACTACCATGCTTCATGGTAGGGATGGTGTTACACAGGTGATGAGCTGTGCCTGGTTTTCTCCATACATATCGCTTTGTATTCAAGCCAAAGAGTTACATTTTTGTCTCATCAGACCACAGAATCTTTTGACTTATGCTCTCAGAGTCTTTTACGTGCCGTTTTTGCAAACTCCAGGCGTGCTGTCATGTGCCTTTTTCTCAGGAGTGGCTTCCGTCTGGCCACTCTCTCATAAAGCCCAGATTGGTGATGTGCTGTCGAGACACTTGTCCTTTTGGCAGGTTCTCCCATTTCAGCTAAGGAACGCTGTAGTTCTGCCAGAGTGGTCATTGGGTTCTTGTTCACCTCCCTGACCAAGGCCCTTCATGCCCGGTTGCTCAGTTTGGTCAGACGGCCAGATCTAGGCAGAGTCTGGGTAGTTCTATATTTTTTCAATTTCCCAATGATGGAGACCACTGTGCTCTTGTAAACTTTCAACACTCTAGACATTGTTTTATACCCTTCCCCAGATATATGCCTCAACACAATTCTATCTCAGAGATATATGGCCAGTTCCTTGGACTTCATGGTATAGTTTCTGCTCTGACATGCACTGTCAACTGTGGGACCTTATATAGACAGGTGTGTTTCTTTCTAAATCATGTCCAAACAATTGAATTGGCCACAGGTGGACTCCAAGCAAGTTGTAATGACATCTCAAGGATGATCAAAGGAAATTGGATGCACCTGAGCTCAATTTGGGGTGACATAGCAAAGGAATGTGAATACTTATGTAAATGAGATATTTCTCGATTTCATTTTCAATACATTTGCAGCATTTTCTGAAAACATGTTTTCACTTTGTCATGATTGGCTATTGTGTGTAGATGGGTGAGAAAATAAATGCATTTAGTTCATTTTGAATTCAGACTGTAACACAACAAAATGTGGAATAAGTCAAGGGGTATGAATACTTTCTGAAGGCACTGTACATGTAGGCAGGTATTCGGAGAAAGTGACTGGTAGCAGGATAAATAATAATAATAATAATAATAATAATAATAATAAACAATATGGCAGCAGCATAAGTGGTGGGTGGGTGTGTATGTGAGTGTTTGTGTGTGGGTGTTAGTGTGAGAGTGTAGGCGTAATAGATGGATATACTGTTCATGTACTGTAAACAGGGTTTAAAAGTGACTGGTAGCAGGAATATATAAATACTTATGTTAATATACTAATGGCAATATATATTGCCTTCAGAAAGTATTCACACCCCTTGACCTTTTCCACATTTTGTTGTGTTACAAAGTGGGATTCAAATGGATTTTTGGTCAACGATCTACACAAAATAATGTCAAAGTGGAAGAAAGATTCTAACATTTATTAAACATTTATGGAAAATAACGAACTAATATGTACTGTATCTTGATTAAAGAAGTATTCACCCCCCTGGAGACAATACATGTTAGAATCACCTTTGGCAGTGATTACAGCTGTGAGTCTTTTTGGCCAAGTCTCTAAGAGCTTTGCACACCTGGATTGTACAATTCTTGCTCATTATTATTTTTTAAATTCTTCAAGCTCTGTCAAGTTGGTTGTTGCTCATTGCTAGAAAGCTATTTTCAAGTCTTGCCATAGATTTTCATGCCGATTTAACTCAAAACTACAACTAGGCCACTCAGGAACATTTAATGTCATCTTGGCAAGCAACTCCAGTGTAGATTTGGCCTTGTGATTTAGGTTATTGTCCTGCTGAAAGGTGAATTCGTCTCCCAGTGTGTGTTGGAAAGAAGTCTGAAGCAGGTTTTCTTCTAGGATTTTGCCTGTGCTTAGCTGTATTCCGTTGCTTTTTATCCTGAAAAACTCCCTAGTCCTTGCCAATGACAAGCATACCCATAACATGATGCAGCCACCACTATGCTTGAAAATATCAAGAGTGGTACTCAGTGATGTGTTTTGTTGGATTTGCCCCAAACCAAACATAATGTTTTGTATTCAGGACAAAAAGTTAATTTATTTGTCACATTTTTTGCAGTATTACTTAAGTTCCTTGTTGCAAACAGGATGCATGTTTTGGAATATGTTTTATTCTGTACAGGCTTCCTTCTTTTCACTCTGTCATTTAGGTTAGTATTGTGGAGTAACTAGAATCTTGTTGATCCATCCTCCGTTCTCATATCACAACCATTAAACTCTGTAACTGTGTTAAAATCACCATTGGCCTCATGGTGAAATCCCTGAGCAGTTTCCTTCTTCTCCGGCAACTGAGTTAGGAAGGATGCCTGTATCTTTGTGGTGACTGGGTGTATTGATACACCATCCAAAGCCTAATTAATAACTTCACCATGCTCAAAGGGTTATTCAGTGGGATATTTTTTACACATCTACCAATCGGGGCCCTTCTTTGTGAGGCATTGGATAAACCTCCCTGGTCTTTGTGGTTGAATCTGTGCTACTCGATTGAGGGACCTTACAGATAATTGTATGTGTGGGGTACAGAAATGGGTAGTCATTCAAAAATCATGTTAACCACTATTATTGAACACAGAATGAGTCCATGCAACTTATTATGTGATTTCTTAAACACATTTTTACTCCTGAACTTAGCTAGGCCTGCCATAACAAATGAGCTTTTCATGTTTGTTTAAAAACATTTTTTATTTCAACAAACAAAATTCCCCTTTGACATTATGGGGTATTGTGTGTAGATTGGTGACACAAAATCTCAATTTAATCCATTTTAAATTCAGGCTGTCACACAACAAAATGTAGAATAAATAAGGGGATATGAATACTTTGTGAAGGCACTGTACATGTAAACTGTCACGTCTCCTAAACCCAACGCACCCTAATCACCTCCAGCGCACCTGCACCTCATCATCTCATCACCACCCCTATATAGCCCTGAATTGTTCAGTGTTGTGTTGTGTGTGATTGTTAGTGTAATGTCGTGTACTCGCTCTTTGTTTATATCTTGCTCAGTGTTAAGTAAACCTTTACATTGTTGATTCCTGCCTCTTCGTATCCTCAGTACTCATCACAGAATCACGAAGATGGATGCAGCAGGTAATCCTCCTGGAGTTCCCCAGCGCCTCGACCAGCACCAGCAGCAGATTGCCCAGCTGAACGCCGCCATGCAGGAAGTGCTCCAAACGCTCCATAAACTGACCATCGCTCCGGTTCATTTTACATTTACATCATTTAGCAGACGCTCTTATCCAGAGCGACTTACAGTTAGTGAGTGCATACATTTTTTTTTCATACTGGCCCCCTGTGGGAATTGAACCCACAACCCTGGCGTTGCAAACACCATGCTCTACCAACTGAGCTACACGGTTCCACCTCAGGGAGCGGCGAGTGCACCCAGTCCACCTCCTCCCAGGCTATCACCAACGTCTGAGGGACCCCTACCCTGCCGGAGCGCTATGACGGGAAAACAATAAAATGTAGAGGCTTCCTGCTACAGGTCTCACTGTATCTGGCACGTCAGCGTGGGGCATCTCCATCGGACCAAGCCAGGATAGCGCTGGTGATTTCGCTACTGAAGGGAAAGGCACTGAATTGGGCCACGGCAGTCTGGGATGGAGGTGAGGCCGCGGCGCTTCCCTACTCCACCTTCCTCGCTCGGTTCAGGGCGGTGTTCGATCATCCCACAGAGGGAAAGGATGGCGGTGAGCGTCTCCTCTGGCTACAACAGGGAGAGGGGGCCGCGTTCGAGTATGCCCTGAGCTTTCACACGGTGGCGGTGTCTTCCGGCTGGAATGAGCGTGCTCTGCGCACAGCCTTCAGGAGAGGCTTACGGGAGGCCATCACGACGGAACTCGCATGTTGGGACAACGAGATGGACCTTGATACCCTCATCGCCACGTCCATTCGTCTTGACGGCATGTTGAGAGACCGACGGCGTTCCCAACACCTCCTGGAGCCTCGACGCTCACCCCATCTGAGCTATGGAAGCCGCCCTGCCTCCAAGTCCTCACCCATGGAGGTGGGCAGCAGCCCCTACACCACCACGGACCACATATCTCCTGGCAGCTCCCTATCTAGGTGGAATAACTCCCGTCGCCGCTCCGTGAGTGTTCCGTCATCACCTGTCACCAAACCATTGTTTTTAGTTCCCCTAACGGTGAATGATTCTTCCTTCTCTTCACTTTCCACGGCAATGATAGATTCCGGATCAGCGGGGAACCTTACAGATAGGGAGCTGGTCTATGAATGGGGGTTGCCCATCGTGGCACTGCCTTCTCCGCTACACGTCACCTCGCTGGACAATAAACCACTTCGATCAGGCACCATTACGCAAGTCACTCTCCCCATCACCATCACCATTCCCACACTACCGGAGCACCACGAGGAGCTGTCCTTCCACATCGTCACGTCACCCTTTCACCGGATCGTCTTGGGATTGCCCTGGCTCAGACTACACAACCCCACCATCAATTGGATCACTAAGAGGATCGCAGCCTGGTGCCCCTCATACAGGTGTCTGCCGGTGGTTTGTTGTTCTCAGTGGAGAGTCCGTAGTCTGCCCTCCAGCCCAACATTCCACGTGAGTATGCAGATCTCTCCGATGTCTTCTCTGCCTCCAAGGCTAAGTGTCTCCCTCCTCACAGGCACTGGGACTGCGCCATTGACCTGCTGGAGGGACAACACCCCCAGAAGAGTCACATTTACTCCCTCTCCATAGCGGAGACTGAGGCCAGTGGTCCTCTGTAGCTCAGCTGGTAGAGCACGGCGCTTGTAACGCCAAGGTAGTTGGTTCGATCCCCGGGACCACCCATACACAAAAAAAATGTGTGCACGCATGACTGTAAGTCGCTTTGGATAAAAGCGTCTGCTAAATGGCATATTATTATTATTATTATTATATATGTGGCGGAGACCCTGAAACAGGGGTTCATCAGATGCTCTACCTCTCCTGCCTCTGCCAGCTTCTTCTTCGTGGCCAAAAAAGATAGAGGACTGAGGCCGTGCATTGACTACCGGGGGCTGAGCACAGTCACCACCAGGTACTGGTACCCCCTCCCTCTGGTTCCATCGGTCATCGAGCAGCTGCTAGGGGCCTGGTACTTTACTAAGTTGGACCTGAGGAGTGCCTACAACCTGATCTGAATCCGGGAAGGAGACGAGTGGAAGAAGGTATTCAGCACTACCTCAGCCCACTATGAATATTGCGTCATGCCCTACGGCCTACACACCTTCTGTGTTCCAGTCCTTCGTCAATGACGTATTCCGAGACATGAGTAGACAGGTGGTGGTGTACATCGACGATATCCTGATCTACTTGGCTATGTTTGAGGAGCACGTCATGGACGTCAGAGCAGTCCTACACAGCCTGTTGGTGAAGGGGGAGAAATGCAAATTCCACCAACAGGCCATCTCCTTCCTGGGATACAGGATCAGTCCTCAGGGGGTGTTCATGGAAAGAAGACGGACGCCGTCAGGTCATGGCCAGTCCTCACCACCATCAAGGGCCTACAGAGCTTCCTGGGCTTCGCAAATTTTCATCAGGTCCTTCAGCTCCATAGCCGCCCCGCTCACCTCTCTCCTTAAGGGGGAGCCTCAGAAGCTGGCCTGGAATCCTGAGACTGACGCTGTCTTCAAGAGGCTGAAGGAGAGGTTCACCATAGCGCCCCTCCTAAAACACCTAGATCCAGCTCGTCCTTTCATCCTGGAGGTGGATGCATATGAGGAGGGCAAGGGTGGGGTCCTCTCCCAGCGGCAAGGAAAGTCAGAGAAAATGTATCCCTGTGCCTTTTTCTCGAAAAAGCTTACCCCCGCAGAGAGGAACTATGGAGTTGGAGACAGGGAGCTGTTGGCGGTGGTCCTCGCTCTGGAGGAATGGAGACACTGGCTGGAGGGCGCAGTCCATCGATTCCGGATTCTCACTGACCACCGGAATTTGGAGCACATACGGGCAGCGAAACTAATGAACACTCGTCAAGCCAGGTGGGCCCAATTTCTTACTCGCTTTCAGTTTATTCTGTCCTACCGCCCAAGATCTCAGAATGTGAAAGCCAACGCACTCTCCAGGATGCACCATACTGGAGAAAGGAAGGATCTGGGGGGTCCTATCCTGCCTCCGTCTCTCATCGTGGCACCTGTCATTTGGGATGTGGACGAAGACATCCGCCTGGCGGTTCAGGAGGACCCAGCACCTGCGTGTATGTACCCACCAGGGTCCGTGACCGCCTGCTGATCTGGGCGCACACCACCCTTATGGCAGGGCACTCCGGTATGACGCACACCCTACATTCTCTCTCACAAAAATACTGGTGGCCCACCTTGGCTACTGATGTCTCCCGCTATATCAACTCCTGTTCCGTATGTGCCCAAACGAAGACACTTCGGAATGCCCCGGCAGGCAAACTAGTTCCTCTCCCAGTGCCTCAGCGACCTTGGTCACACCTGTCCATAGACTTTGTCACTGACCTCCCACGTTCTGACTGCTTCACTACAGTCCTGGTGGTCGTAGATCGGTTCTCCCAATCATGCCGTTTTTTGTTCCAACAGGTCTTCCGGCATTATGGACTTCCAGAGGACATCGTCTCGGACCGTGGCCCCTAATTCACCTCCCGAGTGTGGAAGGCTTTCTTGGAGAAGATCGGGGCAATGGCCAGCCTCACTTCTGGGTATAGGCCTCAGTCAAATGGGCAGGTGGAGTGCATGAACCAGCAGCTGAGTGGGCGAGGTTTCTTCCCTGGGCAGAATATGCCCAGAACTCCCTCGTTCACTCCTCCATGGGGCTAACTCCCTTCTAGTGGGAGTACTCCTGAGTGGCGCAGTGGTCTAAGGCACTGCATCGCAGTGCTAACTGTGCCACTAGAGATCCTGGTTCGAATCCAGGCTCTGTCGCCGCCGGCCGCGACCGGGAGACTCATGGGCGGCGCACAATTGGCCCAGCGTCGTCCAGGGTAGGGGAGGGAATGGCCGGCAGGGATGTAGCTCAGTTGATAGAACATGGCGTTTGCAATGCCAGGGTTGTGGGTTCGATTCCGACGGGGGGCCAGTATAAAAAAAAAATATATGTATTCACTAACTGTAAGTCGCTCTGGATAAGAGCGTCTGCTAAATGACTAAAATGTAATGTAAATGTAGTGCGTCCTGGCCCCTTGGACACCCAGCCAGTCCGATGCGCCCGCTGTCGACGAATGGTTCCGCAGGGCTGGACAGGTCTGGGATGCCGCCCATGTCCATCTCCAGAGGGCCATTCGTCGGCAGAAGGACCAAGCCGACCGCCACCGCAGTGAGGCCCCCGTATTCCAGCCTGGTGATCATGTCTGGCTGTCCACTAAAAACCTCCCTCTCTGCCTGCCCTGCAAGAAACTGAGCCCCTGGTTTGTGAGGCCATTTAAGGTCCTCTGGCGGATAAATGAGGTATCGTACCGGCTGCTCCTTCCCCCTCTCTACCATGTCTCACCCACTTTTCATGTGTCTCTCCTCAGGAGTTGATTAATCACAAACCCATATTGAGAATCTTTTGTTTGATTAAGAGTGAATTTGTGTGTGGAGATATATTATGTACAACCTACCTAAAAGCAAAAGAAAGATTGCTATGTGCACAGGTAAGATCAGCAATATTGCCATTGCTATTGAAACAGATCGGTATTGTGGTGAAATGGAAGAGGAAATACTTTGTAAATATTGTGACCTCCAAGAGATAGAGAATGATATTCATTTTATCCTCTATTGCACATCTCTACCACAATATACGCTTGTCCTTATTCCAGAAAGCCCACCAGATATACCCTGGCATTATGTGACTGAGCGATGAAGACAAGGACATTTTATTTTTTGTCCATTGTGTATTTCCATTTGATGAACATTTTTTAGAAAGCCTGGAATAAAATTAAAAGGGTGACCTTTTGCAACATGCAACCATTTCTAAGATTTTAATAAGTTACAGTTCATGAAAGGAAATCAGTCAATTGAAATAAATAAATGAGGCCCTAATCTATGGATTTCACATTACTGGGCAGGAGTGCAGCTATGGGTGAGCCTAGGAGGGCATAAGCCCACCCACTTGGGATCCAGGTACACCCACTGGGGAGCCAGGCCCAGCCAATCCGAATGAGTTTTTCCCCACAAAAGGGCTTTATTACAAACAGAAATATTCCCCCACCCCTCATCAGACAATCCCGCAGGTGAGGAAGCCGAATGTGGTGGTAGAAAAATGAACATTCAAAATCTCTGGCAATAGCTCTGATGGACATTCCTGCAGTCAGCATGCCAATTGGACACCCCCTCAAAACCCTCAAAGACATCTGTGGCATTGTGTTGTGTGACAAAACTGCACATTTTAGAGTGGCCTTTTATTGTCCCCAGCACAAGGTGCACCTGTCTAATGATCATGCAGTTTAATCAGCTTCTTGATATGCCACACCTGTCAGGTGGATGGATTATCTTGGCAAAGGAGAAATTTTTACTAACAGGGATGTACACAAATTTGTGCACAACATTTAAGAGAAATAAGCTTTCTGTGCGTATGGAACATTTCTGGGATCTTTTATTTCAGCTCATGAAACATGGGACCAACACTTTACATGTTGCATTTATATTTTTGTTCAGTATAAATTATACAAATATTTAGCTCCAGGCATAGGCATATGTACACTGAGTATACCAAACATTAGGAACACCTTCCTAATATTGAGTTGCACACCCTTTTGGCCTCAGATCAGCCTCAATTCGTCGGGGCATTGACTCTACAAGGTGTCAAAAGCGTTCCACAGGGATGCTGGCCCATGTTGACTCCAATGCTTCCCACAGTTGTGTCAAGTTGGCTGGATGTCCTTTGGGTGGTGGACCATTCTTGATACACATGGCAAACTGTTGAGCGTAAAAACCCCAGCAGCATTGCAGTTCTTGACACAAACCAGTGCGCCTGCCACCTACTACCATACCCCGTTCAAAGGCACTTAAATATTTTGTCTTGCCCATTCAGCTTCTGGATGGCACACATACACAATCCATGTCTCAATAGTCTCAAGGCTTAAAAATCATTCTTTAACCTGTCTCTTCCCATTCATCTATACTGATTGAAGTGGATTTAACAAGTCACATCAATAAGGGATCATAGCTTTCACCTGGATTCACCTGATCAGTCTACATCATGGAAAAAGCAGGTGTTCTTAATGTTTTGTATACTCAGTGTATATAAATTGTGTGTGGGCCTACTGTTTTTCTCACACTTTAATCTTCTCTTTGTGAGAGACCGGGATTATTTATCTGTATTTTATTTGTATTTTTACTGCTCTAGGTTTATTATTATTGCTTGGATAACCCTATCTACTATTATGTATTGATTTATTTTTCATTCCTTAAGAGATGTGCACTATGCAGAACACCGGAAGAATTATCACTGTGAATCATTGTAATGTCTGTTTATGTGTCAGTTATTCCAGTAAGGGATGGGTTGCCAACTGGCAATTTGACGTACTTTTTTTTGTTCATTAATTATTTCATATAAAACACACAAGCACACACACACATCCGCACACACTCCTGCTGTGAAGAGGTCATAAGACCTAAAGCTGGTCAGACATGGGAGACTGGCAGAGTGCCAAGAAGTAAAGCTCTAAGGATAGGGGGATTGAACCTGAAATACCGCTTGAACCTGAAATCCCCTCTCTCTCTCTCTCTCTCTCTCTCTCTCTCTCTCTCTCTCTCTCTCTCTCTCTCTCTCTCTCTCTCTCTCTCTCTCTCTCTCTCTCTCTCTCTCTCTCTCTCTCTCTCTCTCCTCCGTCTCTTGTTTTTACCCTCTCTGCATCTCCTCCCCTCTCTCTCTCCATCTCTCAAACCCTCCTCTCTCTATAATTCTCTCTACCCCTATTCTCTCCTTCTAGCTAGGTTTCCATCCAATTGGAGACAGGTTTTCATGCAAGTATTCTAACATCTGCATAAAGAAATTATGTATATTTTCCCACCAGTGGTGTTTCCACCAAACGGACTTGTTGCAGATACAAATCAGTATGTGATGGCGTAGTGCACAATGTTCATTGTGTTTCCATCGCATTTTCAACTCTACCGATAATTTTGTCACAAAAACTGTTGCGTTAAATAGCAAATGTGCCCACTCTGGTCTTGGCACATGCGCTCTAGCCAACATTTCACATATACATTTACAATGTGTGTAGGCTCTGCGGGTAGGTTATTCTGCATGATGAGATTATTATGGATAAGAGCGATAATATTTTTATTTGTCAAATGGCAGTCAAACATTTATCATCATGTCACCAGAATAAGACCCTCGACATTTATTGGAAAGGCGCATCAAGCTCATCACTGTGCACTTTCATCACCCTGTGAAGTTCATCATAATTTATTTAATCTGTAGCCTAATAAACTGCATGGTTTCCCAAGTCGTATGACTCCAAGTTTACTTCGATAGGATGGTTATTATATCAATATATGTGGCATAAAGACATTTACACCGCCATTTCTCGCATACTAAATTTTACCGACACAAAAAGACCCCACCATGTCGGCATTTCAAAAATTTTACCTAAACTTCCTGTTTCCGTCACAGCTGTCAAGAATTTGTTTTATACAGTATGACATTACTCACATAAAAACTATGGATGAGAATGTGGTTTCTGTCTCCCTTTTTCATTCTCTCTCTCTCCCTCTCTCCCTCTCTCTCACCCCACCTCTCCCTGTCTCTCAAACTTTCCTTCTCTCGTTCTCCCTCCCTCCCTCCTCTCTCACCCCATCTCTCCCTGTCTCTCAAACCTTCCTTCTCTTTTTCTCCCCCACCCTCTATCTCTTCCCTTCACCCCCCACTCCTCTTCTTATCCTTTCCTTGAAGCTGGTTCAAGGTACATACAAGCCATGGACACGTGTATGTCGGTACATCAATTAACTAAATCCTCCCGCAGATGCCACTGTTTGGTTGAGGGCCAGTGGCTAGCTACAGTAGCTGACAGGCTAACTAGTTAATAAGCTTACTGGCTAATTAGCAAGCATGTAGCTAGCTGACTAGCGTGCTAATAAGCTATATAGTTTACCGGCGGGCTAAGGTTTAAGAGGCACACTACACTACTAGATCATGTGTGTTGTGGTTTTTCATTAAGCTCAAGAGGTTTAATAGGGTACACTAGGCCTACACTTTGTCATTGCAGAGCGAGAAGTCAACGTTGCATTATGTGAGTAGTCTGAGTAGATTGAGTGTAGTCTGGCCCAGGAGTGTGAAGGTGAACGGAAAGGCTGGAGCAACGAACAGCCCTTGCTGTCTCTGCCAGGCCGGTTCCCCTCTCCACTGGGGTTCTCTGCCTCTAACCCTGTTGCAGGGGCTGAGTCACTGGCTTGCTGGTGCTCTTTCATGCCGTCCCTGGGAGGGGTGCGTCACTTGAGTGGGTTGAGTTACTGACGTGATCTTCCTGTCTGGGTTGGCGCCCCCCCCTTGGTTTGTGCTGTGGTGGAGACCTCTGTGGGCTATACTCGGCCTTGTCTCAGGATTGTAAGTTGGTGGTTGGGGATATCCCTCTAGTGGTGCGGGGGCTGTGCTTTGGCGGAGTGGGTGGGGTTATATCCTTCCTGTTTGGCCCTGTCCGGGGGTTTCTTCGGATGGGGCCACAGTGTCTCCGGACCGCTCCTGTCTCAGCCTCCAGTATTTATGCTGCAGTAGTTTATGTGTCGGGGGGCTGGGGTTAGTTGGTTATACCTGGAGTACTTCTCCTGTCTTATCCAGTGTCCTGTGTGAATTTAAGTATGCTCTCTCTAATTCTCTCGTTCTCTCTTTCTCTCTGAGAACCTGAGCCCTAGGACCATACGTCAGGACTACCGGGCATGATGACACCTTGCTGTCCCCAGTCCGCCTGGCCTTGCTGCTATTCCAGTTTCAACTGTTCTGCCTGCGGCTACGAAACCCCTACCGGTCCCAGACCTGCTGTTTTCAACTCTTAATGATCGGCTATGAAAAGCCAACTGAGAGACCTGAGCCCTAGGACCATACGTCGGGACTACCGGCCGTGGTGACTCCTTGCTGTCCCCAGTCCGCCTGGCCTTGCTGCTATTCCAGTTTAAACTGTTCTGCCTGCGGTTATGGAACCCCTACCTGTCCCAGACCTGCTGTTTTCAAACTCTTAATGATCGGCTATGAAAAGCCAACTGAGATTTATTCCTGATTATTATTTGACCATGCTTGTCACTTATGAACATTTTTGAACATCTTGGCATGGTTCTGTTATAATCTCCACCCGGCACAGCCAGAAGAGGACTGGCCACCCCTCATAGCCTGGTTCCTCTCTAGGTTTCTTCCTAGGTTTTCGCCTTTCTAGGGAGTTTTTCCTAGCCACCGTGCTTCTACACCTGCATTACTAACTGTTTGGGGTTTTAGGCTGGGTTTCTGTACAGCACTTCGAGATATTAGCTGATGTAAGAAGGGCTATATAAAATAAAATTGATTGATTGATAAATTACTATGTTTTTGGTCACATTACCCGAAAAATTGTGGGACATGGACCATCATGATAATACATTGTAAACAACTACCATGCTTTCATGTTTCACTAGTATCACTACATGCTGCTAGTACAAAACTATGGTATTATCATGGTATTTTGGTCACTAAAATGGCAGGAAAATATAATAGTACTGCTGCAAATGCCATGGTATTTTCCTGCCATAGTAGTACAATTAAAAAGATACTATGGTACTATCATGGTGTTTTGGTCACTACCGTGGCAGGAAAATACCATGGTATTTGCCTTAAAAGAACAAGCACAACTGGCATCCATTCATCCAGGGTTGTAGTGGAGGGTAAACAGACACGTAAACACAGTATACACAACCTTTTATTTTGTGAAAAGTGCTTTTACACCCCTAAGGTCGATGTCTGCGCGTGCACTGAAATCGAATTAGCATAATACAAAAATCCCCATAAAAATCCATCAGTTTAAGATAGAGATATCTGTTTTTTTTTGCATTGGATGCATCTCAATCCACCGCATCTGACTATGTAACACTTCCGCACCTGCGGTGAAGGTGACAGAGCTAGAGCGGTGTTTGTCAGATCATGATACATCCCAAAAATCGATCTTCTCACAAAATCATCTGTAGCATCCGAGTGGTTTGGCCTACAAACTATTATGGAAAGATGAGACTCTCACGAACATGATGGTGTTCTCCGTTTTGCTCTACGACCCCCACAAGCGTCTTGGGACTCGTCTGAAGTCGGAATAGCTGATCTGCCAACTTCTGTCTGTAGCGTCCAAACAATTTGGGCTAGACACTTATATGACCCCTCTGTGTAAAGGTGAGATTCCACAGGCCTCACAAGAGTCATCTGAAGGTCCCCCGGTACCAGTCAAAAAAAATTATGGAAGTATATGTGGAGACTGTTTAGTGACAAAATAAGGGGTTAAATACATGTAAAAAAAAAAAAAAAAAAAGTATATATTGGATAGACACTTCAGAACAAACTTCCTTTAGATTTTTTTGAGGGGGACTATCTGTTGTTCCATGTAGTGGATCTGTTATTAATTGCATTTGTATGGGCTAGTAGCAGTAAGCCCCCCCTCCCCCATCCCCTGGCTTAGACAGGGCTTAGACTCTTATGGGTTAATTTGCATTTGTTGGCATTAGCGTTAGTGACGCTACTCGCCTCTGATCACCTGAGCGTTCGTTTACCCTCGTTTGTTTTCGACCACTCCATCCCTTCATCCATTCACCCATCCCTGCCAAACCCCAATGTTCTGACTGAGCGTTAAGTACTTTCATCTTAGGAGATTTACCCAGACCCAGACCTGAGAGCACCAACAGACAGACAGACAGGCAGGCTGGCCACTGCCCTGCGTAACACAACAGGCTCGCTATCTGGCTGTAATGACAGACAGGCTTCCCTAGGTACATCAACAGGAAGGCTAGCTGGCCCTAACGTCAGACAGGCTGGCTACTGCCTGACAGGTACAGCCACTGCCCTGGCCTTTTCCTGGGTAGCTAGCCTAGGCAGATTGTCTGGCCACTGCTCTGGGGTTAGAAAGACAACAGGCTGGTCATTGCCATGGCTTGGCTTGGGTAGTAATTCTTACAAGTTGGCCATTGGCTTTGGTAACAGGATGGCTAGCTGGCCGTAATGCTAACAGGCAGATTGTCTGGCCACTGTTCTGAGATAGGCCTAATACAACAGACTGGCTAGCAGACCCTGTCCTGTCGCGGGTAACCTAATCAACCCTAACCCTGGGTAAGACAACAGGCTGGCTAGCTGGCCCTGCCCTGGAGGTAACCAGCTGGAGGAGGAAGAGAACATCTCTTTATTCTCTCTGATCACACCTCCACATGGCCAGCACTGGGCCAAGGAGAGGATAACAGAGTGTGTGTGTGTGTGTGTGTGTGTGTGTGTGGGGGGGGGGACTGTGTATATGTGTGTGCATTTGCCTTTTAGTTTTTTTGTCAGTGTGTGTATGTGTGTGTGTGTGAGAAGGAGAAAGAAAGCAACTGTGTACGCATATACAGTGGGGAAAAAAAGTTTTTAGTCAGCCACCAATTGTGCAAGTTCTCCCACTTAAAAAGATGAGAGAGGCCTGTCTTTTTCATCATAGGTACACGTCAACTATGACAGACAAAATGAGAAAAACAATTTCCAGAAAATCACATTGTAGGATTTTTTATGAATTTATTTGCAAATTATGGTGGAAAATAAGTATTTGGTCAATAACAAAAGTTTCTCAATACTTTGTTATATACCCTTTGTTGGCAATGACACAGGTCAAACGTTTTCTGTAAGTCTTCACAAGGTTTTCACACACTGTTGCTGGTATTTTGGCCCATTCCTCCATGCAGATCTCCCCAAGAGCAGTGATGTTTTGGGGCTGTCGCTGGGCAACACATACTTTCAACTCCCTTCAAAGATTTTCAATGGGGTTGAGATCTGGAGACTGGCTAGGCCACTCCAGGACCTTGAAATGCTTCTTACGAAGCCACTCCTTCGTTGCCCGGGCGGTGTGTTTGGGATCATTGTCATGCTGAAAGACCCAACCACGTTTCATCTTCAATGCCCTTGCCGATGGAAGGAGGTTTTCACTCAAAATCTCACGATACATGGCCCCATTCATTCTTTCCTTCAGTCGTCCTGGTCCCTTTGCAGAAAAACAGCCCCAAAGCATGATGTTTCCACCCCCATGCTTCACAGTAGGTATGGTGTTCTTTGGATGCAACTCAGCATTCTTTGTCCTCCAAACACGACGAGTTGAGTTTTTACCAAAAAGTTCTATTTTGGTTTCATCTGACCATATGACATTCTCCCAATCCTCTTCTGGATCATCCAAATGCACTCTAGCAAACTTCAGACGGGCCTGGACATGTACTGGCTTAAGCAAAGGGACACGTCTGGCACTGCAGGATTTGAGTCCCTGGCGGCGTAGTGTGTTACTGATGGTAGGCTTTGTTACTTTGGTCCCAGCTCTCCGCAGGTCATTCACTAGGTCCCCCCGTGTGGTTCTGGGATTTTTGCTCACCGTTCTTGTGATCATTTTGACCCCACGGGGTGAGATCTTGCGTGGAGCCCCAGATCGAGGGAGATTATCAGTGGTCTTGTATGTCTTCCATTTCCTAATAATTGCTCCCACAGTTGATTTCTTCAAACCAAGCTGCTTACCTATTGCAGATTCAGTCTTCCCAGCCTGGTGCAGGTCTACAATTTTGTTTCTGGTGTCCTTTGACAGCTCTTTGGTCTTGGCCATAGTGGAGTTTGGAGTGTGACTGTTTGAGGTTGTGGACAGGTGTCTTTTATACTGATAACAAGTTCAAACAGGTGCCATTAATACAGGTAACGAGTGGAGGACAGAGGAGCCTCTTAAAGAAGAAGTTACAGGTCTGTGAGAGCCAGAAATCTTGCTTGTTTGTAGGTGACCAAATACTTATTTTCCACCATAATTTGCAAATAAATTCATTATAAATCCTACAATGTGATTTTCTGGGGGGTTTTTCCTCAATTTGTCTGTCATAGTTGACGTGTACCTATGATGAAAATTACAGGCCTCTCTCATCTTTTTAAGTGGGAGAACTTGCACAATTGGTGGCTGACTAAATACTTTTTTCCCCCACTGTACTGGTGTGCACATGCCTTTTGTGTCTGTCAGAGTGTATGTACACTCTCAATGCCAAGAGTGTGCAAAGCTGTCATCAAGGCAAAAGGGTGGCTATTTGAAGAATCTCAAATATAAAATATGTTTTTATTTGTTTAACACTTGTTTGGTTACTACATGATTCCATATGTGTTATTTCATAGTTTTGATGTATTCACTATAATTCTACAATGTAAAAAATTGTAAAAATTAAGAAAAACCCTTGAATGAGTCGGTGTGTCCAAACTTTTGACTGGTAGTGTATGTCAGGAAGAGAGCGAGACTGTACGCATATACTTGTGTGCATATGCCTTTTTTTTTTGTCAGTTCGTGTGTATGTTTATGAGAGTGTGTCAGTGTATACACTCAGGAGGCAGTGTTTAAACATTCTACAACAGACAAAAGTTGCAAAAATGAGTCATCTACAGTATAAAGAGGCCCTTGCCTCTTGTGGTTGAAATGGAGCTCACTGTCATCAACACAATGATTTCACAGGCATTAAGCAATTAGTCCCTGTTAAACAAGGAAGAGGTAGAAAAGCTACTGTACTGTAGGTCAACAGTGCGTGATGATTTCACAAGCATTAATCACTAAGTTGTCATTAAGGAATAAAGACGGAGTATTGGAGCTACTGTACTGTACGTCAACAGTGGTTGATCATTTCACAGGCATTAGTCAATTAGTCAAGAAGGAGTAGAAGCTACTGTAGACCTACGTCAATAGTGGTTAGTCTGTCTCAGAGCCGTGTATCTAACTATATGACTCCGGTCTGTCTGACCTTCTGAGGTATGGTATGCGGTCTTCAGTTTTAACGAAGAGTACTGAGTCACAGGCTGCGTCCTACACCCTATTCCCTACATAGTGCACTACATAGGGTGCCATTTGGGATGCGGCCACACTGTGGAAGATTTAAACACTTCATCATCTAGTTTATGAGGGGGTGGGGGGGGGGGGGGGGGGGGGGGGGGTGGTGAGGGACCTTACCTCGCTCTTTCTCTTTCTTTTCTTTGGAGAAGGAGTCAAGCTTCCTTCTGAGCGATTTTCTCCTCTTACGGATTTCTAGAAAAAGGGGACAAAAAAGAGGTTGTTAAAAAAAGACAAAAATAAACAAAAGAGGGTGTTTGTTCATGAGAGTGAAGAGTAATGTACTGTTTGCCTGGTGACATTTTTAACTGACTTCTTTATAATCTGTGTCTTACATGCAGTTCATGCAGTTCATTTGAATTTACATCCCAAATGACACCCTATTCCCTATATACAGTATAGTGCACTACGCCCTGGTCAAAAGTCTCCAACCCTGTTCCTGAAGAGCTACCCTCCTGTAGGTTTTCGCTCCAACCTCAGTAGTTACTAACCTGATTTATCAACCAGCTAATTATTAGAATCAGGTGCGCTAGATTAGGGTTGGAGTGAAAACCTAGAGGACAGTAGCTCTCCAGGAACAGGGTTGGAGAGCCCTGATATAGGGGATAGGGCGCCATTTGGGATGCTTCCTTGGTAATGTTGGGTTTTCTCCTACTCCTCCCACCATATCATCTCCTTGTAAAAAAAGGAACCAAAAACAACCTCAAACAAACATACACACAAAATATCCACCCACGTGAAGACCAAACAAGAGAAGAGGAAAACACACACACACACCCCACCAACGCACTGCGGCAAGTCGTTTTCCTGAGAATTACATCTCTTCCTCAATTCAGGCGTTACTAAGAATAGACCTTTTACAACATCAAGTCTTTTATTTCATTTTTTTGTTCATTTTTTTGTGTCTTTTTTTTGTCTTTTATTTTTGTTTGTTTATTTTTTGGAGGGGTAGATCAGCTTAATATTGCAGATAGATTGTAACTTCCATCAATGTAATTGTCTGCATCACTTCCAATCCCCCATTTTTTATTTATTTATATATATATATATATATATATATATATATATATATACACTGCAAAAAAAAAGGGAAAACTTAAACAACACATCCTAGATCTGAATGAATGAAATAATCTTATTAAATATTTTTTTCTTTACATAGTTGAATGTGCTGACAACAAAATCACACAAAAATTATCAATGGAAATCAAATGTATCAATCCATGGAGGTCTGGATTTGGAGTCACCCTCAAAATTAAAGTGGAAAACCACACTACAGGCTGATCCAACTTTGATGTAATGTCCTTAAAACAAGTCAAAATGAGGCTCAGTAGTGTGTGTGACCTCCACGTGCCTGTATGACGTCCCTACAATGCCTGGGCATGCTCCTGATGAGGTGGCGGATGGTCTCCTGAGGGATCTCCTCCCAGACCTGGACTAAAGCATCCGCCAACTCCTGGACAGTTTGTGGTGCAACGTGGCGTTGTTGGATGGAGCAAGACATGATGTCCCAGATGTGCTCAATTGGATTCAGGTCTGGGGAACGGGCGGGCCAGTCCATAGCATCAATGCCTTCCTCTTGCAGGAACTGCTGACACACTCCAGCCACATGAGGTCTAGCATTGTCTTGCATTAGGAGGAACCCAGGGCCAACCGCACCAGCATATGGTCTCACAAGGGGTCTGAGGATCTCATCTCGGTACCTAATGGCAGTCAGGCTACCCCTGGCGAGCACATGGAGGGCTGTGCGGCCCCCCAAAGAAATGCCACCCCTCACCATGACTGACCCACCGCCAAACAGGTCATGCTGGAGGATGTTGCAGGCAGCAGAACGTTCTCCACGGCGTCTCCAGACGCTGTCGCGTCTGTCACATGTGCTCAGTGTGAACCTGCTTTCATCTGTGTTCTCTGGCAAATGCCAAACGTCCTGCACGGTGTTGGGCTGTAAGCACAACCCCCACCTGTGGACGTCGGGCCCTCATACCACCCTCATGGAGTCTGTTTCTGACCGTTTGAGCAGACACATGCACATTTGTGTCCTGCTGGAGGTCATTTTGCAGGGCTCTGGCAGTGCTCCTCCTGCTCCTCCTTGCACAAAGGCGAAGGTAGCGGTCCTGCTGCTGGGTTGTTGCCCTCCTACGGCCTCCTCCACGTCTCCTGATGTACTGGCCTGTCTCCTGGTAGTGCCTCCATGCTCTGGACACTACGCTGACAAACACAGCAAACCTTCTTGCCACAGCTCGCATTGATGTGCCATCCTGGATGAGCTGCACTACCTGAGCCACTTGTGTGGGTTGTAGACTCCGTCTCATGCTACCACTAGAGTGAAAGCACCACCAGCATTCAAACGTGACAGGAAGCATAGGAACTGAGAAGTGGTCTGTGGTCACCACCTGCAGAACCACTTCTTTATTGGGGGTGTCTTGCTAATTGCCTGTAATTTCCACCTGTTGTCTATTCCATTTGCACAACAGCATGTGAAATTTATTGTCAATCAGTGTTGCTTCCTAAGTGGACAGTTTGATTTCACAGAAGTGTGATTGACTTGGAGTTACATTGTGTTGTTTAAGTGTTCCCTTTATTTTTTTGAGCAGTGTATATATATATACACACATATACACACATATACACATACATATCCTTTAAAAATATATATATATTCCCCTTTATTACTTTCCAACCCCACCACCCTTTCCCTACTTGGAGTAAACTAGTGAACAACAATGCTTAGGCCTCTACTTCCAGTTTATACCTACTATCTACATTTTATGGACACAGTCAATTTTACAATAATTATATTTTGTTAGTTTTTTCTCCTGAACTTCCTCTACTCTCAACCTCTCCGATCATTTTCATGATGTCCATCCGGTTTGCTTCTATATGCCATATCTTTCTAACTGTGCTCTTTCACAAAAGCTCCCAACCTGCAACCTATATACTTATTATGGACACAGTATGCTTACATTATTAGTTATCTTTGTTATTATTTGTTGTTAGTTGTTATTAGTCCCATCCTTCAATTCCATTCAACACCTCCCATCTATCTTTTCACACCATCCATATAGGATTTCTATTTGCCATATATATTTCAACTGTACTGTGATGTCCTACAGATTGTGAATTGAAAATAAACATTTTTGCTAAAAGTATTATTATGTTATTGATCGATTGACTATGACTTTTCAGATCACCCAGTAATGCTATCTGCAAGGTTAGGTCCAGGTAAATATTGCAATCCTTTAGCCATTCCTGGACCTGTGTCCAAAAACAAACTACAAATGGACAGTACCAAAACAAATGATCTAATGATTCTGTCTCTTCACAGCAACATCTGCAGAGCTGGGAAGATTGTATCCCCCATATAAATAACATTCTATTGGTAGCAAGAATGTTATATAATAATTTAAATTGAAAGATTCTAAGTTTTGAATCCGGTGTCGTTTTGCGTATCAGTTCATAAACACTATGCCATGGGATCGGTCCGTCAAAAATCTCTTCCCAACTATTTTGCAATCTATATGGGATGGCTGTCAATCCTTTGGTCCTTAAATGAAACAGATATACTTTTTTATTTATCACAGTTTTCCTTAACCAATTATGTTCTTTAATGCAAGGCAGACAGACAAGTTCCTTACTTTCTCCCCCTTCCACTTTCCTCTTTCATTTTTGCGGTAAGGCTGCAATTATTTGGTTGTAATTTTGGGTAGAGCAGACATTTCCATATGTTTTTGTTAGCTGCATGTGCGACATAACTCCACCAGTCCTACCGATGATATCATTTACGAAGATTATAATTTTTTTAAACATTTTGTAAGTTTTTTTGTCAATTAGTATATTTGAGTTTAACCACAATATTTGTTCCATTATTTGTTCTGTCGTTTCTGGAGGATTAAATTGAAATTGCAACCAACTTTCCATGGCTTGTTTTAGAAATAGTGATATTTGGGAGAGTTATTCAAATAACTGAAAGTGAGTGGTTGTAATCTGAATAAAGGGAAAAAGGCCATTCTTGAACATTGGGTGAGACAATCTTACTAATTTGCTAGAAAACCAGTTCGGATTTAAGTATAACTTCTGTGATAGGTCTAATGTTTTAATATCTAATAATTTCTGTCCTCCGAATTCATATTCATTGTATAAATAGGCCCGTTTAATTTTGTCTGGCTTGCCGTTCCAAATAAAATGGATTTTTTTTCTCATATAATTTAAAAAACTGTTCGCTAGGCATAGGCAAGACCATAAGCAAATAGGTAAACTGGGATAATACTAAAGAGTTAATCAGGGAGATTTTTCCACAAATTGACCTTTCCATGGTAGCAAGATCTATTTTTGCTAACTTTCTATTAAAATGTATTGAAGTGAGATCATTTATTTCCTTTGGGATATGTATTCTGAGTATATCCACATCACCATCAGACCATTTTATTGGTAAACTATATGGTAATGTACAATTTTTTTAGTGATCCAATACGTAATATAGTACATTTGTCATAATTTGGTTGTAATCCTGAGAGGTTAGAAAATGTATCTAGATCCTCTATGAGGCTGTGGAGGGATTCTAGTTGTGGATTTAAAAGAAAACATGAATCATCAGCGTACAATGACACCTTTGTTTTAAGCCCTGGATTTCTAATCCCCTGATATTATTGTTGGATCTGATTTTAATAGCCAACATCTCGATGACAACAATACATAGATATGCCGATAGTGGACAACCTTGTTTCACTCCTCTTGACAGTTTAAAACTTTCGGAGAAATAGCCATTATTTACTATTTTACACCTAGGGTTACTATACATGATTTTGACCCATTTTATAAGAGATTCTCCAAAATTGAAATGCTCCAGGCATTTATGTATAAACCCCAGTTGTACTTTATCAAATGCCTTTTCAAAGTCTGCTATGAATAGCAGGCCTGGTTTCCCAGATTTTCCATAGTGTTATATTGTTTCCAATACTTGCCTTATATTATCTCCAATGTATCTTCCATGTAAAAAACCTGTCTGATTAGAATGAATAATATCCGACAATACCTTTTTAATTCTATGCGCTACACATTTTGCTATAATCTTTGCATCACAACACTGAAGTGTAATAATAATAATAATAATATGCCATTTAGCAGACGCTTTTATCCAAAGCGACTTACAGTCATGCGTGCATACATTTTTGTGTATGGGTGGTCCCGGGGATCGAACCCACTACCTTGGCGTTACAAGCGCCGTGCTCTACCAGCTGAGCTACAGAGGACTCATGTGAAGGTGAAATTACAGAGGGGACTCCAATTGTTTTAATGGACTGGATCTTTATATTTTCCACTTGTACCCTGTTTCAGTAATAATGAGATCTTCTTCTTGAGTGTCAGATAATCTACCATTTACATAGGAGTGGTTAAAACATGCTAATAATAATGGTCCTCTTAGTATATCAAAAAAGGTTTGGTATACCTCGACTGGTATGCCATCCAACTCTGGAGTTTTCCCGGACTTAAAGTCTTTAATTGCATCCAGAAGTTCCTCCTCTGTAATTTCACCTTCACATGAGTCTTTCTGTATGGCTGTTAATTTTACATTATCAATAGAAAAAAAATCTCTACAATTAGCTTCTGTTAGAGAAGATGGAGGCGACTGAAACGTATGCTTAAAGTACTTTGTTTCCTCCTTCAAAATATAATTTGGTAAATCATGGGTTACTCCGTCAATTGTAACCAGTTTCATTCAATTATTTTTGGTAGCATTCCTATGTTGAAGATTAAAAAAGAATTTGGTGCATTTTTCCCCATATTCCATCCAGTTTGCTATATTTTTATAATATATTACACTTGATCATTCTTGAATAAGTTTCTCAATTTCTTTTTGTTTTTCCTCTAATTTACTCTGAGCCTCTATGTTACAGTTTTTATTGCCATCTATCTGTTCTGTTAGACTTTCTATTTCCTTTGTTAGTATAAACTATTTTTTGACCTAAATTGCTTTTGTTTTTGAGATGAGTACTGAATTGCATGGCCTCTAAAGGCACATATAAAGGTGTCCCATACAATAAGGGGATTTGCTGTACCTATGTTATGTCGGAAAAAGTCAGTTATAAATTCCTTTGTCCTAGTTAAATTATCATCCAATAGGCTTTGATTAAAGTCTTTGCATGTGTGTTTGTATAGGCCCCAGCCTCCTGTACTGCCTTTGTAGCCTTTAGCCAGAGGGCAACACCAGAGAAACTACATGCAGATCAAGGATGTGATTTTACAACCTAAATATCCTCTGACAAGCTTTATCTGGAAGACATCACTGTTTTGTTTTGGGTTTGGGGCTTTAAAGATCACAGTCGTGTGTACAGTCTGTGTGTGTATGTGTTAGGTAGCACGCCTTTGCTGTTTAGAACTGGTTTGTTGCAGAATCTTTGAACTTCCAAGACCAGAATGTATGATGGGGCCTGGGCACAGATCTAGGATCAGCTTAACCTCACAGAATCCTAGCCCTCACCACTAATGGGAAAACCACAGAACTGACCCTACACCAGTGTCTAGGCACAACTTAATTCTTAAGGGCTGACAGGATAAGAGTGTGGAAGGCCCTGAAATGTAAATGACCTGAGCAGTCAAATCCCCATGTGGAGAGGTTTGTTTGTGTGTATGAGTGTGCGTGTGTGTGTCAAGGGTTTAAAAGGGGTCAAATTCCCATGACTACAGGAAATTAACATTTATTTCCACGGCAATCGTCTCCTCCCACTCGCCACATGCCAGAGCAAGGGTTAATCTTTGAGCAAACACTTTGTGTGTGTGTGTGTATTCCTACATGCCATGTACTCAGTGTGTATGTGTGTGTGTGTTTGCCCTTGGCTTGCACACTTTAAGATTAGAGGACTGACACACACACAGTGGAGAGAGATAGATGTGGGTAAAGCAAAGAGAGAAAGAAAGAAAGGGACTAAAGGAACATATGGAATCAGAAAGAAAAGACAATTGGGTCTGAGAGAGAAACAAACAGAATGACAGAAATAACACGCAAGAGAAAGAAAGGAAGTAAGAAAATAATGACAGACCCTGTGGGGTTGCTACCCATATCCATGAGAAAATTTGACGTTCAAAAACAAAGTCTCCAGACTTGCCAAATAAGCTCTGACTGCTAAGAACAGATATTTCAGAAAGAATCCATCCATCAAGCATAGCCAAGGCGTTGCCAGGAAACCAACAACAAACATACACGCATGCACACACACTATAAAAATAAACCAGAGGTTCTGGTATTGGCCCAAACAGCGGGATCAGAACAGAAACCTATGGCAACCTCCCTCCGTCCCTCAAGCAGCTAGCTCCCATAATATACCGTACATGAGCCATCACTGACACGGTAGTGGGCCTGATGCACCAGGGGAGTTGGGTGGCTAACTAGTGGAGGATGCATCCAAAATGGCAGCCTACTCCCTATATAGTACATTACTTTTGACAAGAGCCCTATGGACTTTGGTCAAAAGTAGTGCACTATAAAACAAATAGGGTGTCATTTGGGACAAAGACACAGCAGTAATACACATGGGAGGTGGCTGGCTGACTCTGTATGAGGTCTCCACCCCAGGGAGAGGGACAGGAATATTCCCACACATTACTGGCTCTGACTGACCCCCTCCCTATGACAGTTATATACACTGACCCCCTCCGTTTTATATTTGTATGTATTTTATTTATTTATACAGTATATATGCTGCTATAGAGTTATCTAACACTGACTGACTGATTTAACTGTTTTCTATTTACGTATTCTGCAGCTCAACAGAGAATGAAATGCAGTAAATATATATATATATATTTTAGTCTTGATAATATAGAGTTGTCCAATGACTTTGACAATATTAGATTCAAGGATTCTGTAAGGAATTAATTATTGGCATTGAATTAGAATGTATTGGAACAGATTAGGTGAAAACTGATTTTAAATGATTGACAGATTTTCTTTGATTCATCCATGACTGGTTACATGCTGTAACTGTAACACATTTGAATGCTGGATGATGTACAGTATGGTTGTATAGCAACTGTGTGACAGCAACTATGGCTTACTGAGGGGCCCAGGAGTAGGGTGAAGTTGCCCCTAGACATTTATCCTGGGTCAGTTTGGTATTTTCCCCACTAATGGTTATGTGGTCCTCTGTAGCTCAGCTGGTAGAGCACGGCGCTTGTAACGCCAAGGTAGTGGGTTCGATCCCCGGGACCACCCATACACAAAAATGTATGCACGCATGACTGTAAGTCGCTTTGGATAAAAGCGTCTGCTAAATGGCATATTATTATATTATTATTTTTTAAGGTCCTGCGGTGCAGGAAAATTTCAGCAACAAAATAGTGGTCAAATTAAGATCCCACATCTGTATTCTATTCTATTCTAACCGACATCCATTCCTAACAACTGTGAGTGAAACGTTACACTTTCGAATACATGTTTAATTTGTACATTTACACAGCGTGTGGGAGTCCATTCTCCTGTTTTACTTCAGGATAAAAAAGTCCACAATGGAGGCAAAGCGAATGGATGAGCTAGATAAAATACAGTCGGTCTTGATTAAGGTCTTTGTGAGCATAATGTTGCACTTTCCAATACGTTTAATTTGTGGGTAGACTCAACACTATTACTTCTTCTATTTTAGTTCAGGGTAGAAAAATATATAATCACACAATAAATCAATGAAAATATATGTTTTATAATGTTTAAATGTCATTCTCTTATTTTGACCAATGGACTTGACAGTCGGCTTAGCTTAGGCAGCGTAAACTACACAGCACTGATTAGAGAGTGGTCAGGGGTCAAAGGTTGAAAACGTTGAGAGGTTAACGGTATGAACATAGACCAAATATGGTGGATAAATGAAGAGAGTTCACTCAGGCCGTTTACCATGGAAAATATTTGTCAGTTCCGGTCTACTTAACGGGGTGGGTCTCCCATAGACACCAATGCAATAGCAGCTGGGTCTGGTCTACTTAGTTCATTTACTTTTATTGAACCAGAAAAAAACAGCGAGTGGGGTGTCTCACTTCCTCTTCCGTCTCTGCGTAGACTACATGGAGAAGCACTGAGATCAGACTAATGCCTCTTACGTAACCCAGGGTGACACGAAAGAGGAATGTAGCACGCTAAGACACCTCAGGATCAGAAGCTTCTTACTCCTACTCTTCTTACTACAGTACTCTTCTTACTCCTACAGTACTCTTCTTACTCCTATAGTACTCTTTTTACTCATACTCTTCTTACTCCTATAGTACTCTTCTTACTCCTACAGTACTCTTCTTACTCCTACAGTACTCTTCTTACTCTTATAGTACTCTTCTTACTCCTACAGTACTCTTCTTACTCCTATGGTACTCTTCTTACTCCTACAGTACTCTTCTTACTCCTATAGTACTCTTCTTACTCCTACAGTATTCTTCTTACTCCTACAGTACACTTCTTACTCCTATGGTACTCTTCTTACTCCTACAGTACACTTCTTACTCCTATGGTACTCTTCTTACTCCTACTCTTCTTACTCCTACAGTACTCTTCTTACTCCTATAGTACACTTCTTACTCCTACAATACACTTCTTACTCCTATGGTACTCTTCTTACTCCTACAGTACTCTTCTTACTCCTATAGTACTCTTCTTACTCCTATAGTACTCTTCTTACTCCTACAGTACTCTTCTTACTCCTATAGTACTCTTCTTACTCCTATAGTACTCTTCTTACTCCTATAGTACTCTTCTTACTCCTATAGTACTCTTCTTACTCCTACAGTACATTTCTTACTCCTATAGTACTCTTCTTACTCCTACAATACACTTCTTACTCCTATAGTACTCTTCTTACTCCTACTCTTCTTACTCCTACAGTACTCTTCTTACTCCTATAGTACTCTTCTTACTCCTACAGTACACTTCTCACTCCTACTCTTCTTACTCCTACAGTACTCTTCTTACTCCTACTCATCTTACCCTTCTTACTCCTACTTACTTACTTACTTGCTTTTTAACTTAAACTTTTATCTTAATTTTGTATCTAATCTTCTGACTCCTACTCCTCTTACTCCTACTCTTCCATCTTAAGTTGTAAGGCTGTATCTGAGCTGTTTGAAGGACTTACCATTTACTGGTACTGTAAACTTCACTCAGATTTATTGAGGTAATACAGTCTGAGAGTGGTGGTGGAATGAGCAGAAAACAGGTAGTGAGCTTCTATGTCAGATATCATGTCCCTATCATTATCATCTTGTTCACTGCCATGTACTGTATAGTGAAGAGCTCTACAATCTAGACCAGGACGAGCAAAACTTCAGGAATTTTATAAAAAGATTCATGTTTAAGAAAATAAAATCCCCAAGAAGAGAGCCTATATATTTCCGTCCATTTTTTCTAGCATGGCCATTTAGTAACTACTACCCTTTCCTCTGTATCTCTGGGGATGCTGATGTTGAATTTTAGGTCCCTCTCCTCCAGATTCAAACCCCAATTGAGATTTGAAGAGCTTTACATTCTAGACAGAGGCCAGCACTGTACACATATCTCTATCGTCCTTTCTGGCATGGCGATATAGCAACTAGCCCTTCACTTGTGTACCTCTGGGGATGCTGATGTTGAAGTCAAGGTCCCTCTCCTCCAGATGGTAGCAGGCCACCTCCTGCAGCCTTGCTCTCTCCAGTTCAGATAGGCTCTGGATAGGCACCGGCTGTAGACGCACACTCTGACCCAGCATGGTCGCCCACGTATGGTCCCCCTGTTGGGGGGGGGGGGGGGGGGGGGGGGAGAAGAGAATGGTTAATGTGCTATTACTTGGAGGAATTACATATATAGTACCAATCCCAGCTAAGAACTGAATTACTTGATATCATTTCCAAGGTACTCCTAGAGGAGGGAGGGTAGAGAGAGAAAAGGGCATGGGGGAGATGAGCGGGAGAGACGGGAAAGAAGAGAGAGAAAGAGAGGAAAAGAGATGAGTTAAACATGAAAAGGCAATCGTAGAAAACATTGCTCAGTAAGACAAAACATTTCCACAATCAAGACCCAAAACCACTTAACATTTGAATTAAAATGTTTTCTTTTTAATGGTTTGCCTCAAACCATACAATTTACTGTAGCTAAGTATGAAATGAACAGTAAACCATAAAGGTGGCTATTTTTACGGAAATCATTATCGCTGGCTTCAACCCATCTCCACGAGGTTAGTGCTATCCTTGGGATGTCCTTACCCTTAACCCTAATCCTAACCTTAACCCCTACCCTAACCTTAACCTTAACCATAACCCTTACCTAACCCTAACCTTTTTACATTCAATCTTCCATGGGGTAGGGACGTCCCAAGGATCACGGAAGGACTATCTCAACTATCAACCAACCATCAAATCATGTTTGACTAGGATCTACTCTATAGGGTTCGTCCCAAATGGCACCCTATACCCTACATAGTTTCCTACTTTTGACCAAAGCCCATTGGGCTGTGGTCAAAAATGCACTATAGGAATATAGTGCCATTTGGGATGCATACATAGCCAGAGGTTAGGCCTACCAAGAGCTTAAAAACATATTTTCCCAACAACTTCATTATAATTCTACTGTAGCTTGATAGGAATGATGATAAGGAAATTGCCTTGTCCTCAGCAGGGGGTAATTTGAGTTTTCTCTGAGAGTTGAATATGTCAGACGAATACACACAGGCATGCACGTGCACGCTCACACTCACACATTTCTTACAGAAAAAGAACCATCCATCTGTTTTCTCTCTATTTTGTTTTGTTTTGTTGTAGCCAGAAGACAAACTTTATTTAGACTGCTCAAGGCTATGTCTGGGGGGCCAAAGTCAGGCCATTCTACGTCTGGACAATAGAAGCAGAGAGTTCACAACCGAAGCACACTGTTTGAGGCCCTTTCCCTCTGGTTTAACACTGGACCCACAAGGCTTGTGGGAAACAAACTTAGAGTGCATCCCAAATGACACCCTATTCCCTATAGGCCCTGGTCAAAAGTAGCAGAACTGCAGGTCGCAGAAAACAGACTTTGAATGTACCATTGCTTTGGGAAGATGCTAGCCATGCTGCCTGCTCTTGCCAAACCCTTTATGCTCTTGCCAAACCCCATTGCTGTCATTGTCACAACAAACATGACAATTCCATTAGGAGTTGGCAAGGGACAAGAAAGCGACGGGAAGAAACAGACCCAGACTAGGAAGATGCTGTCCTAATATCCGAAAGCTGGTGTAGAACCTTAGCCTATACTCCTGCATTATCTATTGATGTTCTGGAATCAGTATCAGCTGCTGCTCTAGAACATTAGAGTAACTAATGCTGTTCTAGAATCCTTTATACACTCAAAAAACAGTCCAAGGTACAGTGTATCCATATGAAGTAATTTAGTCGAATATTATGTAATATACTGTAGCTGTACTTAGCATAATCCCTTGACATGGTAAGGAAATGGATGGAATGGTATGAACATGGTAAGGGGGAAGAGAGAAGGACAGATTTAAGTGTTCAGATGGAATCCATTCCTACATGGTTACAATTCCATTCCTGGGTGATTACCAGGAAGCTAGAACCTTGTAAACAACCTCATATTATTGGAATGGGCACAGGATGGAGAGAGTTAAAGAGGTATAGAATAACAAATGAAAGCCAGAAACAAGAAAAAAAAGAGGGAGTAAGAGGAGAGAGAGAGACAGAGAGAAAAAAGAGGGAGTAAGAAAGAAGAAAGAGAAAAAATAGGGAGTAAGAGGTGTTTTCTTTGATGGTGGATTACGGTGATAACATGGTAAGTAAAAAACAGACATGGTGCTGGGATGAACCCCATCTCTGGTGGTCCACTTTGATGACCCCTCACCCTACCTGCAACAATTGCTAACGTAGGCCTAGGCCTGACCGGAGGGGGGAAAAAAGGGTTATAAAATACACCATAATGGAAACAGGTGCTGCGCGAGTTAAATCCCCGGTTTGGTTTGGAAGGATTTTGGAGTCATTGTGGACAAGGACAACAACCTGGTAGATGGATACACAGCCTACAAAAAAGTGCAAGCAGGTATTTGTTTACAATAGGCTAATTCAGTTTGTTATTAGCTAATTATTCCGTTAATTCAGGCTTTCGTTCATTTAGACAATACGCAGGCCATATCAAGTTTAAACCGGTGCGGCTGGTAAAGGTTTGAGTAGGCTATAGCCTACTAAATACATTTATTTTTGCAGCCTATATTAGATTCTGGGAATTGTTTATTTAAGTTTAAATTAAACTATTTGATTATCTAAACAATATTGAATGTAAAGGTCTCGTTTTGTTTTATTGGCTATAGGCTTTCATTAGGTAACAAGGCTAATTAGAAGGCCACTTTTTTTTTTTCAGAGCGATTTGAAATTGTCAATGTGCTGCATCTCACTGTGAAAATAAAAATTATTTGTTCTTAATTCAATGTTGAATATACAGTACCAGTCAAACGTTTGGACACACCTAATTCAAGGGTTTTTCTTTATTTTTAAAAAATGTTCTACATTGATTCTTCAAAGTAGCTACCCTTTGCCTTGATGACAGCTTTGCACACTCTTGGCATTCTCTTAATCAGCTTCACATGGAATGCTTTTCCAACAGTCTTGAAGGAGTTCCCACATATGCTGAGCACATGTTGGCTGCTTTTCCTTCACTCTGCCGTCCGACTCATCCCAAACCATCTCAATTGGGTTGAGGTCGGGGGATTGTGGAGGCCAGGTCATCTGATGCAGCACTCCATTACTCTCCTTTTTTTCTTTTCTTTAAGTGTAGATCAGCTTTAATATTGCAGATAGATTGTAACTTCCATCAATGTAATTGTCTGCATCACTTCCAATTCCCCATATGTTTTTTCCTCCCACAAATATACACTACCGTTCAAAAGTTTGGGGTCACTTAGAAATGTCCTTGTTTTCGAAAAGAAAAGCAATTTTCTGTCCATTAAAATAACATCGAATTGATCAGAAAATACAGTGTGGACATTGTTAATGTTGTAAATGGCTATTGTAGCTGGAAACTGCTGATTTTTAATGGAATATCTACATAGGCGTACAGAGGCCCATTATCAGCAACCATCAGTCCTGTGTTCCAATGGCACGTTGTGTTTGCAAATCCGTTTATCATTTTAAAAGGCTAATTGATCATTAGAAAACCCTTTTGCAATTATGTTAGCACAGCTGAAAACTGTTGTGCTGATTAAATAAGCAATAAAACTAGCCTTCTTGAGTCTAGTTGAGTATCTGGAGCATCAGCAATTGTGGGTTCGATTACAGAATCAAAATGGGCAGAAACAAACTTTCTTCTGAAACTCGTCAGTCTATTCTTGTTCTGAGAAATGAAGGCTATTCCATGCGAGAAATTGCCAAGAAACTGAAGATCTCGTACAATGCTGTGTACTACTCCCTTCACAGAACAGCGCAAACTGGCTCTAACCAGAATAGAAAGAGGAGTGGGAGGCCTCAGTGCACAACTGAGCAAGAGGACAAATACATTGGAGTGTCTAGTTTGAGAAACAGACGCCTCACAGGTCCTCAACTGGCAGCTTCATTAAATAGTACACGCAGAACACCAGTCTCAACGTCAACAGTGAAGAGGCGACTCCGGGATGCTGACCTTCTAGGCAGAGTTGCAAAGAAAACTGGCCAATAAAAATAAAAGATTAAGATGGGCAAAAGAACACAGACACTGGACAGAGGAAGATTGGAAAAAAGTGTTATGGACAGACAAATCGAAGATTGAGGTGTTCGGATCACAAAGAAGAACATTTGTGAGATGCAGACCAAATGAAAAGATATTGGACAAGTGCTTGATGCCATCTGTCAAGCATGGTGGAGGCAATGTGATGGTCTGGGGGTGCTTTGGTGGTGGTAAAGTGGGAGATTTGTACAGGGTAAAAGGGATCTTGAAGAAGGAAGGCTATCATTCCATTTGGCAACGCCATGCCATACCCTGTGGACGGCACTTGATTGGAGCCAATTTCCTCCTACAACAGGACAAGGACCCAAAGCACAGCTCCAAACTATGCAATAACTATTTAGGGAAGAAGCAGTCAGCTGGTATTCTGTCTATAATGGAGTGGCCAGCACCGGATCTCAACCCTATTGAGCTGCTGTGGGAGCAGCTTGACCGTATGGTACGTAAGAAGTGCCCATCAAGCCAATCCAACTTGTGGGAGGTGCTTCAGGAAGCATGGGGTGAAATCTCTTCAGATTACCTCAACAAATTGACAACTAGAATGCCAAAGGTCTGCAAGGCTGTAATTGCTGCAAATGGAGGATTCTTTGACGAAAGCAAAGTTTGAAGGACACAATCATTATTTCTAACTTTGTCAATGACTACATTTCCTATTCATTTTGCTATATTTCCTATTCATACTAATGTCATGTATGTTTTCATGGAAAACAAGGACATTTCTAAGTGATCCCAAACTTTTGAACGGTAGTGTATATACATACACATACACAAACACATACATATATATATACATATACATTTACATTTTAGTCATTTAGCAGACGCTCTTATCCAGAGCGACTTACAGTTAGTGAATGCATCTTTTTTTTTATACTGGCCCCCCATGGGATATACAGTACATACATATATATATGTATCCTTTAAAAAATATATATTTCCCTTTATTACATTCCAACCCCATCACCCCTCCCCTAATTGGAGTAAACTAGTGAACAACAACGATTAGGCCTCTACTTCCAGCTTACACAGTGGCTTGCGAAAGCATTCACCCCCCTTGGCATTTTTCCTATTTTGTTGCCTGGAATTAAAATTGATTTTGGGGGGGTTTGTATCATTTGATTTACACAACATGCCTACCACTTTGAAGATGCAAAATATGTTTTATTGTGAAACAAACAAGAAATACGTTTTTGTAAAGCCACCTTTTGTAAAGCCACCTTTTGCAGCAATTACAGCTGCAAGTCTCTTGGGGTATGTCTCTATAAGCTTGGCACATCTAGCCACTGGGATCTTTGCCCATTCTTCAAGGCAAAACTGCTCCATCTCCTTCAAGTTGGATGGGTTCCGCTGGTGTACAGCAATCTTTAAGTCATACCACAGATTCTCAATTGGATTGAGGTCTGGGCTTTGAGTAGGCCATTCCAAGATATTTAAATATTTCCCCTTAAACCACTCAAGTGTTGCTTTAGCAGTATGCTTAGTAAGTTTCTCTGCCCCGGTGTCAATTCCAAGCTGCGCCCATCTCTTCATGTACAATTTGACAATTCATAATATTGTCACCCATCAGACTAATGTCAATTTCTTTAGGCTAACTCTATTATTATACGTGTGAAATTAGTTTCGATATATACTGAACAAAAATATAAACGCAGCATGCAACAATTTCAAAGATTTTACTGTGTTACAGTTCATATAAGGAAATCAGTCAATTTAAATACATTCATTAGGCCATAATCTATGGATTTCACATGACTGGGAATACAGATCTGTTGGTCACAGATACCAACACAAAAAAAAGTAGGGGCGTGGATCAGAAAACCAGTCAGTATCTGGTGTGACAAACCATTTTTCTCATGCAGCGTGACACATCTCCTTCGCATAGAGTTTATCAGGCTGTTGATTGTGGCCTGTGGAATGTTGTCCCACTCCTCTTCAATGGCTGTGCGAAGTTGCTGGATATTGGCCTGAACTGGAACACACTGTCGTATACGTCGATCCAGAGCATCCCAAACATGCTCAATGGGTAACATGTCTGGTCAGTATGCAGGCCATGGAAGAACTGGGACATTTTGTATAGATCCTTGCGACATGGGGCTGTGCATTATCATGCTGAAACATGAGGTGATGGCAGCGGATGAATGGCATGACAATGGGCCTCAGGATCTCGTCACTGTATCTCTGTGCATTCAAATTGCCATCGATAAAATGCAATTGTGTTCATTGTCCCTAGCTTATGCCTGCCCATACCATAATGCCACCGCTACCATTGGGCACTCTGTTCACAACGTTGACATCAGCAAACCGCTCGCCCACACAACGCCATATACGTGTTCTTCGGTTGTGAGGCCAGTTGGACATACTGCCAAATTCTCTAAAACGATGCTTATGGTCAGAAAATGAACATTCAATTGTCTGGCAACAGCTCAGGTGGACATTCCTGCACTCAGCATGTCAATTGCACGCTCCCTCAAAATTTGAGACATCTGTGGCATTGTGTTGTGTGACAAAACTGCACATTTTAGAATGGCCTTTTATTGTCCCCAGCACAAGGTGCACCTGTGTAATGATCATGCATTTTAATCAGCTTCTTGATATGCCACACCTGTCAGGTGGATGGATTATCTTGGCAAAGGAGATATGCTCACTAAGAGCCAATTTGGTGTGATGCAATTGCGAAGCCTCCGGATGCACGCAGAGGCCAAATTGAGCTCAGAACAATGCAGCGGGCTCCGTATAGCTTCACATTGACATGATTAGTTGATGGTAGGTGAGGGTGGGAGGTCCTGTATAAACACAAACTCACTTCCTTGACAACTTGCTTCACCACAGCTCTGCGCTGCTCGGCGAAGAGCAAGAAGTATGAATGCCCTGACTTCTGCAGAGGCCATATCACCGTAAACGCTGCAAGGCCAATGTAGACGTCGAATTGACCATTCAGCGTCTTTAAAAGGGACGTAAACAAATTTGTGCAAAACATTTGAGAGAAATAAGCTTTTTGTGCGTATGGAATCTGGAATCTTTTATTTCAGCTCATAAAACATTGGACCAACACTTTACATATTGCGTTTATACTTTTGTTCAGTGTAGTTTAGGTGTAGTTTCGATGGGCCATCAGCTGATGACATGTCTTCTTAAAACTGCTTATAACACAAATTCTGTTTGTGATATTAAGATTCTAACAACGACAGTGTGTTGTATAGACTTATTTGGGAAAAGTCAAGGACGGAGGGGACATGAGTTAAAAAATTACACATTTACATTTGTTTTGTGTCCACATCACGCTCTCTGCGTTTCTAGTGTTAAATGTATATGGTCCTTTTTTTGCTGGATATTTGTAGAATTTTGACCCGGAGTCATACAACATTTATGTTGTATCATGCATAATAGAGAGATATATGTGATCGTATACAAATGTAAGCAAGGTTTGAAATGATTATGTTTTAGTCAAATATTATCTGTTGGGCTTCTTGGGGTCAATTTGCAGTCTACAAATTATTTCTAATTATGTTCCGGCACCCTGACCATCCGCTCAATAAAAAAAATCGGCCCGTGGCTGAATCTAGTTGGTGATCCCTTGCGTAGAGCATCTCAAATAGAACAAAGTTCTATTTTAGCGTTCGGCAACGCATATGCTGGCCGATCTGGTTTCCCTGTTAGATTAAGTGTAGAAACAAAAAACTAAAACAAAGAGCAGTGAGGATTCTGGAACCTTTATTATGATTCTAAGAATGTTGAATACATTCTCATATGATAATATGGTTTGGTTATGTTGGAAGAATACACCATAATTAGGGCCAGGAGTTTTTCATGACCTCGTGACCTGATGAATCATTGTACACATGACTGATCGGATATGAATATTTTGATCGCCATCAACGACGCCTGTTCCTTTTATTTATACCATTTCATTTATTTTTCCAGTTTGTAATGTCCGCACTGGGACAGCTTTCCACTGGAGTCATCATTACTCAATACCTGCCTGACCGGGCAGGAAATCAAAGGTTAGAAGTCAGAGGTTACAGGTCATGTCCTGTTCAAACTATATCAGGACATAGTCAGGAGACCATGATGATACAGACCGCATCAAACTGCATCACCGTCACACTGGTGTTATATGATGGCTGTTTACAGTATGTGTGAAAAACGTACCAGAAATGATGTATGAAAGGACAGGAAAGGGGATCTCCTGTCAAATGTTACATCACACTGCTCTTCTGCTGTACAGCGTACACACACACAAACACCCAAACACACACTGGCTGGGATTCAATCAGAGACGCGTCAATCAGAGACAATGGGATTCAATCAGAGACTCGTTGTCGTCAGACAATTTCCTTGACGTTCTAGAAACTCACATTGAGCACGGTTACATGCACACATAATACAATTGTGTATAGTCAGATTAATATAATAGTTTGTTTAAAACGTTTACTTGCTTTGCAAGGAGAACGATTTCCCTAATAATCCTGTTTACATGGACACATCTTAAATCAGCTTACCTGATGGGACTTTTGATAAATGCAGAAAATCGCCAATCAAAATATATGTTCTACCACAGTGACCATGTTATTTTTGCAAAGACTATTTGATTCTGAGTTTGGACATATACAGTTGAAGACGGAAGTTTACATACACCTTAGCCAAATACATTTAAACTCAATTTTTCACAATTCCTGACATTTAATCCTAGTAAATATTCCCTGTTTTAGGTCAGTTAGGATCACCACTTTATTTTAAGAATGTGAAATGTCCAAATAATAGTAGAGAGAATGATTTGTTTCAGCTTTTATTTCATTCATCACATTCCCAGTGGGTCATAAGTTTACATACACTCAATTAGTATTTGGTAGCATTGCCTTTAAATTGTTTAACTTGGGTCAAACGTTTCGGGTAGCCTTCCACAAGTTTCCCACAATAAGTTGGGTGAATTTTAGCCCATTCCTACTGACAGAGCTGGTGTAACTGAGTCAGGTTTGTAGGCATCCTTGCTCACACACGCTTTTTCAGTTCTGCCCACACATTTTCTATAGGATTGAGGTCAGGGCTTTGTGATGGCCACTCCAATACCTTGACTTTGTTGTCCTTAAGCCATTTTGCCACAACTTTGGAAGTATGCTTGGGGTCATTGTCCATTTGGAAGACCCATTTGCGACCAAGCTTTAACTTCCTGACTGATGTCTTGAGATGTTGCTTCAACATATCCACATAATTTTCCTTCCTCATGATGCAATCTATCTTGTGAAGTGCACCAGTCCCTCCTGCAGCAAAGCACCCCCACAGCATGATGCTGCCACCCCCGTGCTTCAAAGTTGGGATGTTGTTCTTGGGCTTGCAAGCTCACCCCTTTTTCCTCCAAACATAACGATGGTCATTATGGCCAAACAGTTCAATTTTTGTTTCATCAGACCAGAGGACATTTCTCCAAAAAGTACGATCTTTGTCCCCATGTGCAGTTGCAAACCGTAGTCTGGCTTTTTTATGCCGGTTTTGGAGCAATGGCTTCTTCCTTGCTGAGCGGCCTTTCAGGTCGACATAGGACTCATTTTACTGTGGATATAGATACTTTTGTACCTGTTTCCTCCAGCATCTTCACAAGGTCCTTTGCTGTTGTTCTGGGATTGATTTGCACTTTTCGCACCAAAGTACGTTCATCTCTAGGAAACGGAACGCGTCTCCTTCCTGAGCGGTATGACGGCTGCGTGGTCCCATGGTGTTTATACTTGCGTACTATTGTTTGTACAGATGAACGTGGTACCTTCATGCGTTTGGAAATTGCTCCCAAGGATGAACCAGACTTGTAGAGGTCTACAATTTTTTTTCTGAGGTCTTGGCTGATTTCTTTTGATTTTCCCATGATGTCAAGCAAAGAGGCACTGAATTTGAAGGTAGGCCTTGACATACATCCACAGGTACACCTCCAATTGACTCAAATGATGTCAATTAGCCTATCAGAAGCTTCTAAATCCATGACATCATTTTCTGGAATTTTCCAAGCTGTTTAATGGCACAGTCAACTTAGTGTATGTAAACTTCTGACCCACTGGAATTGTGAGACAGTGAATTATATGTGAAATAATCTGTCTGTAAACAATTGTCGGAAAATTACTTGTGTCATGCACAAAGTAGATGTCCTAACCGATTTGCCAAAAGTATAGTTTGTTAACAAGAAATTTGTGGAGTGGTTGAAAAACTAGTTTAAACGACTCCAACCTAAGTTTATGTAAACTTCCGACTTCAACTGTACATATTGTATGTGAAAACTATAGATGCATAGTTTTAGTTTTTCCAAACTCACTTGAAGAACAATCTGGCCTTAATGACCATGTACTCTTATAATCTCCACCAGAAGAGGACTGGCCACCCCTCAGAGCCTGATTCCTCTCTAGGTTTCTGCCTTTCTGGGGAGTTTTTCCTAGCCACCGTGCTTCTACATCTGCATTGCTTGCTGTTTGGGGTTTTAGGCTGGGTTTCTGTATAGCACTTTGTGACATCTGCTGATGTAAAAAGGGCTTTATAAATACATTTGATTGATTGATTGACTTCACTCGCACATACGAGGGAGACTTGCGCTACCGGTGCTGGTACATTTGCAGATCAAATACACAGCTGGAATGTGTTTTATTCAGTGTATTAATCAGCTGTTTTAATCTGCGTATGTTTACTTAGATTATGACCTTACGCCGATTAAGATAAACAGAGTAAGGTATTTACATGACTAATGCCATACTTGGCTTTCTGACATAATCAGTTTAATATCAAATTATTAGTGTGCATGTAAACGTACTCAGTGACAGTAAACTCTGCGGATATCAGCTCAAGTGACCTTTAAATCTTGACAACACACCTCTGATTGAGGTGCGTTGTCTACTTTAGTACACTTATAAGTGTATTTGTCCCAATACTTTTGGTCTCCATAAATGGGGGGACTATATACAAAAAGTGCTGTAATTTCTAAACGATTCACCCGATATGGATGAAAATAGCCTCAAATTAAAGCTGACAGTCTTCACTTTAACCTCATAGTCATTGTATCATTTCAAATTCAAGGTGCTGGAGTACAGAGCCAAAACAACAACAAAATTGTCACTGTCCCTATACTTTTGGAGCTCACTGTAGCTCAGAAAGTATTCACACCCTTTGACTTTTTCCACATTTTGTTGAGTTACAAAGTGGGATTAAAATGGATTTAATTGTCATTTTTGGTCAACGATCTAAACAAAATACTAATATATATTGATTAGATAAGTATTCACACCCCTGACACAATACATGTTAGAAACACCTTTACAGCAATTACAACTGTGAGTCTTTTGGGGTAAATCTCTAAGAGCTTTGCACACCTGGATTGTACAATATTGGCCCATTTTTCTTTAAAAAATTCTTCAAGCTCTGTCAAGTTGGTTGTTGATCAAAGGTAATGCGTAAAAGATGAGACCATAGGTTTAGATGGGAAAGTAGATGTCTGTTTAAAAATCTAACCACATCCATAATATACTGGACTAAAGAATGTGACTATATAAGACTAAATTGATTATTAGCTTGAATTGAAAGATAAAATCGGTGCACTGCACAGATCGTATGGGAATCATGGTTAACAAGTCAGTCCGTATCAGTGTGTGTGTGTGTGTGTGTGTGTCTGTGTGTGTGTGTGTGTGTGTGTGTGTGTAAGCGTGCACGCGTGCCTGTCTGCCTGCGTGCATTTGTATGTGTGTTTGTCCATATAATCAGCAGTAGTTACACTACAATAACAGCCCTATTGAGTTTCAGTGTAATAATGAGTGTTATTACATCATTGTTGGCATCATTCCTGATCCCTAGGGTCTACTTGGAATTCATAATCTAAAACAGGCTTGATTAAATAACAGACACAGGAAACGCTGTCCTGATCACTCCAAATGTCACCGGAAGGGGAAAGAAACCAAAGGAAAGTAGCCATTTTGAACGGAATAACTCAAAGAATCCATCCTGCATTGTCCCAGGTTTGTTTGTAGTTTAGCAATCTTGTCTGACTATCATTGTTAGGCCATTTAAGACAACAATAGTCAGGAGTTAGATTAGAGGGGTCAGATCAATGCAATACAAAGAGGAGGAAAGGAAAGAGAATGTTTTGAATAGAAAAACACCTCAGAATCCAGTTTGTTCTTTAGCCAACTTCTCTGACTATAGTTGTTATGCCATACTCTTGATTGATCTGTTGTTTTATCTGTACCTGAAACAACCCCCCCCCCCAAAAAAAATTTTTTATGCCATTATATGACAATAGTTATGTTAGGAATTAGATAAAGTTCACACAGATCTGGGACCAGGCTACCAGAATGGTTCTCAGGAGCGGAATACAGAATTCAGAATGTGACAACAGCTTTGTGTGTGTGTTCCATTGATAAAAGATTATGCCAATGTTCTAAATTAACACTTCTTAGCTGAGGTGCAACTGAATTCTAAAGGTATCGGAGGAGAGGACAGACAATGTATCCCATTTTATAGGTTTATGCGCTACGCTTGGTGGAAGAAAAACTAACTAACAAACATACTAATTGATTAAAAAAACATTATATATAAAAAAAATTATTTGTAAATTATATCATAAAGAGGACTGGTGGAGTTATGTCACACATACAGCTAACAAAAATATATGGAAATGTCTGCTCTACCCAAAATTATAACCAACTACTTGCAGCATTACCGCAAAAATGGAAGAGGCAAGTGGAAGTGGGAAGAAGTAAGGAACTTGTCAGTTGGCCCTGCATTAAAGACCAAAATTGGTTAAAGAAAATTGTGATGAATAAAAAAGTATACCAGTTTAATTTAAGGACCAAAAAATTGACAGCTGTGACATATTGATTGCAAAATAGTTGGGAAGAGATTTTCGATGTACTAATTCCATGGAACATGGTTTATGAACTGATACTCAAAACAATGCCGGATTCAAAACTTAGAATTGTTCAATTTAAATTATTAGACAAAATTCTTGCAACCAATAGAATGTTATATATATGGGGGATACAACCATCCCAGCTCTGCAGATTTTTCTGCGAAGAGACAGAATCATTATATCATTTGTTTTGGTACTGTCCATATGTGTCACGATCGTCGG